GTTGAGTTGAGTTGAGTTGAGTTGAGTTGAGTTGAGTTGAGTTGAGTTGAGTGAGTGAGTGAGTGAGTGAGTGAGTGAGTGAGTGAGTGAGTGAGTGAGTGAGTGAGTGAGTGACATAAACCAGATGGCACCACTACTGATCCTTACTCTCAGAGTGGAATGACAAATGTGAGTTCCAAACATGACCATAATCACAAACTACACTCTTACCAGCTCTCATAGCCACAAAGTACTGGGCCTTGTCTGAAATCAGTACATTTGGATGCACAGGAGTAAATTTCTATATCATGTCTCACAGCTGAAAAGGCATTTTTTTAGCAATATTCCACACTTGTCATTCAGAAACACCAGAAGGGCACAAAGCCTGGACAAAGACAATGGAGAAACAGATACATCTGACTTAGTCAGTTACTTCACCACGAATGACAACAAACCTTTTATGATAGCACCCTACCAAGTTTCTGCCCTTGTATGGCTGACATCTTTACACCTCTCTTATAAAGAAGTGGTAGACTTGCACACTTTCTAACTGTCTAAGGCAACAATCATTAGTTCAAGTTGTAAATCCTAGATTAAAAAAAGAACAATCTGTCCCTGATTAAGCCAGCCTTGCTGCCCCCTTATCAGGACTTTTAAGGATAGAAGTGTTCTACATCCATAGACCAGAGACCAATAACTGATGGTATAGGATCTCTGCAAGGACGTATTATTCAGTACAACCTTGAAGCAAGGCTATAGAAGCCTGTACTATCCACAAGGTGGTGATTAATGGCTTGGGGCACAGGGCAGTGTTGTATCATGTGTATGATTATGCCAGGTTGAAATGCCACTCAGTCTTACAGGAAACATACCCACGTCATGACAGATGCACGCTTGTGTAATGTTACTTCAGGGGAAACAGACAGGATCATTAGCCTATTGTGTCCGCCATCACAAATTCCACAGTCATTATATGAAATGCTATTATATAATGTGAAATTGTTGTCCATTTTGCATGCCTACGTTTGTCTTGTGTTTCAGAAATGCATGTTGACTATGATGTCTCCTTCCAATACTGTATTTTGGTAAAAATGTGCAAGAGCATTCAGAGAGTGTGTATGGTTTTAAACCGCTTTTAGCAATATTCCAACAATATCATGGCTGGTGACACCAGAAATAGGCTTCATATATTGTACCCATGTGGGGAATCAACCCGGGTCTTCGGTGTTACATGCCAACGCTTCAACCACTAGGCTACCCTACTGCCCCACAAGATGTCTCCTTCCAATACTTTATTTAGGTAAATATGTGCAAGAACATTAAGAATGATTATTGAGATAAAATTGTACATGGCACCTTTAAGACAAGAAAGGAAATAGCTGGAGAGTTTATCTGAAATTTCAATATACAAACACACATAATATAATGTCTACTCGCTCTGCTGTGCCTTGGGAAAAAATGACTGAAGAAGCTAACAATGTTTGGATGCCATTTCGAAAGACTTCCACCATTTGACATTATGCAGTGCATTGTCAGCATTATCTATGTTAACTCAGCCACATGCTTCTCTGCTGGGCTAATATTAGCCTGATGTCAACAGTTGTAAGCTGTACATAAACCCCCTACCACTTTTCACATTTGCCATGCTAGCCTGTCTCACAGTCCCTAAACCATATTTTTTTCCTGCCATACAGTCCTACCTGTCCTGCAAAAGTTTAAATGAAGCAAGTCTAGATTTTACTAAGGTTCCGAATCTCCCACCTCACTAAAGCTCCTTTTCAATTTAAATGGAGTTCTTTTGTTCAATTAAAATTACGTTATTTGAGACTAAGTGTTAGTCTATTGTCATGCCTGCATTTTCATCTTTTCTACTTTATTTGATACCAACAGTATTCTTGAAGATCCAAACATGTCTGTCTGTAAGTTATCTGTAAACAAAGCCATTTTGAGGTTGAATCAAAATAACATTATTAGAGAATTAAAATAACATTATTAGAGACAAAGCGTTATTCTATTGCCATGCCTGCATTTTCATCTTTCCTACTTTACATGATACCAACAGTATTCTTGAAGATCCAAACATGTCTGTCTGTAAGTAATCTGTAAACAAAGTCATTTTTGGGTTGAAATAAAATAACATTATTAGAGACGAAGTGTTATTCTATTGCCATGCCTGCATTTTCATCTTTCCTACTTTACATGATACCAACAGTATTCTTGCAGATCCAAACATGTCTGTCTGTAAGTAATCTGTAAACAAAGCCATTTTTGGTTGAATTAAAATAACATTATTAGAGACAAAGCGTTATTCTATTGCCATGCCTGCATTTTCATCTTTCCTACTTTACATGATACCAACAGTATTCTTGCAGATCCAAACATGTCTGTCTGAAAGTAATCTGTAAACAATGCCATCTATTATGTTGCTTGTATCTGGGCGAGCATCAGACTTAACTGGAACTGACACAGAGCGTTAGGAGCTATGAACATGAAAGTAACTGTATAATTGCAAAATGTGGCAGGTTTACTGCAATGATCTCAAACTGTTCATCTGGGTTGCTGGTAACTGGCCAATCTGGGGGTGTAACGCCATAGCAACACAACTGGAAACATGTGCCAGTATATCAATAGTTAGAACAGTCTGACATCACTGTGAGATGATCCCGGTAGACACTTGTTTGTTGATAGCTTGCTCGTAGCCAGCTGCATCTACTTCAATGTGAACGTCCATTGAGAGGTGACCAATAGGCTTCAGGACTCATGATGTACAAGTAATATGAACCAATTCTGACACATTTTTAGTGCCATGAAGACCAATTAGTAATATGAACCAGTTCTGACACTATCGCCATGATTAGTAGACCAGCTTGTAATACAAACCAATTCTGACGATGTTATCATGATTAGAAAACCAACTTGTTATACCAACCAGTTCTGACGCTATGATGATTAGAAGACCAACTTGTTATACAAACCAATTCTGACGCTATTATCATGATTAGAAGATCAGCTTGTTATACCAACCAATTCTGACGCTATTATCATGATCAGAAGACCAACTTGTTATACCAACCAATTCTGACGCTATCACCATGATCAGAAGATCAGCTTGTTATACCAACCAATTCTGACGCTATTATCATGATTAGAAGACCAACTTGTTATACCAACCAATTCTGACGCTATTATCATGATTAGAAGACCAACTTGTTATACCAACCAATTCTGATGCTATCACCATGATCAGAAGATCAGCTTGTTATACCAACCAATTCTGACGCTATCATCATGATCAGAAGACCAACTTGTTATACCAACCAATTCTGACGCTATCATCATGATCAGAAGATCAGCTTGTTATACCAACCAATTCTGACTCTATTATCATGATCAGAAGATCAGCTTGTTATACCAACCAATTCTGACGCTATTTACCATGATTAGAAGACCAACTTGTTATACCAACCAATTCTGAGGCTTATTACCATGATTAGAAGACCAACTTTTTATTCCAACCAATTCTGACGCTATTTACCATGATTAGAAGACCTGAACTTGTTATACTAACCATTTCTAGTAATTTTTAATCTTATTTATTTGTCAAGTTACTGATCTATACTGGAAACTTGATTCTTATGTACAGCATGACTTCTGATACAAATGTGCAAAATGTCAGAACCTGGTGCAAAAACAAAAGTTTAGTTAAATTTGTTTTCTTAATAAGTGCTCAAATTTCTTTCTGAAATTTAGGGGCAGGACAATTATACTTTAAAAGTAGCAGCTAAGCCAGAATGTTAAAAGATACATATTTTTGTTTACTTCCTCATATTATAATCATGAGCGGAGTACAAGGCCACACAAGGCCATACAAGGCCACACAAGGCCATGCAAGGCCACGCAAGGCCACACAAGGCCATGCCAAGGCCATGCAAGGCCACTCAAGGACACGCAAGGACACGCAAGGACACACAAGGCCACACAAGGATACCGTGTCTGACCACCCTTAAGACAAACATTCTATATAGTTGCTGGGAATCTATTTTCAACCAGAATCGCTATAGGGAGGTAAATTAATTTGACATAGATCACGTTGATAGTGTCTCTAACAGACCCCTGAGCACAGTCCATATATAACTATATCAGTCTCATCACCTTCTCAGATCTACCATCCCATTCTCTCCCACCTTTCCACAAATGGAAACAGGAGACTCAGTGTTTCAGTTGTGGTATTATATTAAACATTATACAGAACTCAATTTCAGGGACCATATCGTGTTCTTCTGATCTGAGACTAACGGCCTATAAGGGACTAACCATTCGATATTTGAAGTTGGAGGGAATATTGTATAGAGACGATATTTTCAATTACAGCTGCCAAACCCTATATTCTCTTTCATTAACACAATAAGTTTAAATTACTATATTCTGTGACTGCTGGACAGAGTACCAGCAAATTAAGGCAATATAATATGTTGTTGAAATAATCTCAGGCACAACACATTGGATGATATTATTAGACAGTTACTTTGTATGTTTGTTGCTTAACGCCACACTCAGCAATATTCCAGCTATATATCACGTCCGTCCATAAATAATCGAGTCTGAGTGAGTAAGTTTAGTTTTATGCCGCACTCAGCAATATTCCAGCTATATAGCGGCGGTCTGTAAATAATCGAGTCTGGACCAGACAATCCAGTGATCAACAATGTGATCTCTGACAGATGTATCTCCCAGCAAACAATTTCCTGTTGTCATAATGTTGATGCAACGTCATGCTTTCGTTGTTATATCTTTATTCTGTGGTCTCCCATGTATGTTTGTCACAACCATGTACCCTGACATTGTGATACATCAGTTCTACGTTGCCACAAGCTAAAGTTATTTGATACTAAAGTATTTTATGTTTTCTTAACGTTTATTTAACGTTAATAGCTGAATAGTTTTCCCTGTAGTGAACTGGGTACATAAGAAATAAAGCAGAAATTCACTTCAATATTTATTCCTCAAGTTGCATGTTGTTTTGGTCATGTGTTTTCTGAAACTGTAGCTGAATAGTGAAGAAAGAATCTCAAAGTGAAAAGTTTTAGAGAAAACTCTATCATGACAAGTTATGAGAAACAATGTTTTAACTTTGGGAGGAGCCCAAAGCCTAACATTTCATCAACGTAAATTTGCAACGTTGTTATTATGTTGTGACAATGTTATAAAAGGATGTAATACTAATGTTGAGACAACGTTGCGTCATGATGTTACCAATCTACAACCTTCTCACAACGTCGCGATAACACGTCATTGGTTCCCAATTGTGTAGATCGATGCTCATGCTGTTGATCACTGGATTGTCTGATCCAGACTCGATTATTTACGTACCACCACCATATAGCTGGAATATTACTGAGTGCGGCGTAAAGCTAAACTCATTCACACTCACTTGTATTCTCAAACAGAAAGCACCATTAGCTTTATATATCTAAAGTAACCAGTAAGGTTCAAAGTTTTAAAAGCTGTGATGAAAAAGCTATATTTACCTCTGAATATAACATTTTATTGCACATAACATTCAACTGGAATGATGTTCTCTCGAACTGGCGTTTCCCAACAAGCCTACTTAGTACTTCACGCTAACTTCTTGATCTCAACGTATTACAGGTTGACTGCACATGGGTGGAGACAGTGAAATGCTTATCGAAGCTCCCAATACAGAATGCAAATAAGAGCTGAAGTCACTTTCCGGCGCAGTCAGTTTGTTCATGCAAGCGTTTAAAACAAGCAGTTATGACTGTCACCAGAGTCATTCTTTTTGGTGGCAAGTTGACATAGACAAAAACATGCTCACCCATGCATGTAGAATAAACATGATAAAAGCAGTTGTGTTGAATATGTAACACTGCTCATCGTGTTCAAAGGATGGCACTAATTTGTGTAACAACATCTGAAACCTGTACAATCTTCGTCTTGACATGACATAACTTGTTTGAATAGCTGTCTTTTTTTTCAGCTTTTGACTTCATTGACGTTCAATGACATAATTATTTATGCTTCACTACACATAAGGTACAATTAGTTGAACAGGTACATACACCATCACTGAATTCACCATACAGTGAGTTCTGTACACAGTGCTGATGTGGAGCTTAGGTTCAACACCATCAGTCAACTTTGGGAAAACAAAGTTAATATTATTTTACATTTACACGTGTACATAAATAGATATTATCATATATCTGTTTGAGCAAAAGAACACTGATTAAATGGCATGGTATCAGTTTAATTATTTTTTTCATTATGCCAGAATCCATTTAAAAAATAACTAGCATCAGGCTTCAGACAAGAGGCTCAAGTGGCAGATAATTTAATCTACATCCACATTTCCGTAATTCTAACTCACAAATAATGTCCCAGCACAGAATTTATGCAGTGGTTTCTTGGAAAGTTATCTGATATATTTTAGTAATATATACCTATAAAGGCAGCATTATAAGCTTACAATATAGGACTTAAGACACCTGACAGCTGAGGACATCCCTTGAGAATTCTAAAACTGATTGAACAATACAAAAAATGCATCTGAAGGATGACATATGTAGATATAAAAGTTATATTTGCCTAAAAACTCATGAAATATATATACGGACAGACCAATTTTATTTCTTGTTTTACAGATTTTTGTCCTCAAAAAAACTAAAGGCAGGAGGAATTTCTTTTTTTAAATCACCAGTCAAAGTAACATTCCTTTTAAATATTAAATTTATTTTACTTTTGGCAATTCATTAAGTGTACATGGGCACAAAACAATCTAATAATAAATTTCATGTAAGTCTACATTTTTGGCCAATAAAAACTTTACAACTTTATTTTTTGAGCAGGAATAAGTAAGGTATTTTTGTTCTTATTCTTGAAGAATTATGACAGGCAGATCCGTAGAACAAAAAATAAAATTGGTCTGGCCTAATAGAAACTTTTCAACAACCAGCTTGCTCAGATTCTGTAATATTATCCAGTTGGATAGTATAAAAAAATAGCATAAAATACACAGTGCCTGTCGATTTTGTTTCTATCCTACAATATTAATCTTCAATCTCCATAATTTAGAAACAAATGATTCAGGGTATGGATTCCCTTGCAAAAATAGAAATAAAATTTATTCGATAAAAGTACTGTATCTTGGAGCACTCATAGATTTGGGATATGTATCTTATCGGACCCAACCATAACATTACATCTCTAATTACCGGTAGCAGAAAGCTGACTCCATGATGACAGAAGTGGTGGTGGTGGAATTGGGTTTAACGTCGTGCTTGAGAATATTTCGCTCATATGACGACGTGTATGCGTGTGTATGTGTATGTGCTGCTGCTTGTACTAGCCCAGACTTAAGCTGGTTTTATAGTGCTAGCCCACTGAGATACCATGCCGCAGTGAAGCATGAATACCCCACTCAGACACATTATACTGACTCCGAGCCGACCAGTCCTTGTTGTACCCATTAATGCCGAGTGCCAGGCAGGGACCAACAAGTACCATATTTTAATGTCTTTTGGTATGACACGGTCTGGGATCGAACCCGTGAGCTTCCACACTCCGTGCGGACGCTCTAACCACTACACCGCGGAGGTGGTCTGATACAGAAGTACAATAGATGTGACATTGTAGAACACTCAGCATGATGTGCTGCTAATCTAGACCAGAGTAGAAGATAGCACTATCTCACAACAATGTAAAGACAAGACAATCTTGATGGGTATGTCTGTTCAAATCAGGGGTTATTCTCTTATCCTTATGAATTCAAAATGTAGGTTACCGTAACACTAGCTAGTGATACAGAACCTGAAACGAAGTTATCCAATACTGCCCATGCAAGTGTCAAATAGTTGGCAAGTCAAGATTATTACAGTTGGATCCTTTCAGAGAGTTTCTGGACTCCATTTTATTACATTTCATTAAGGTAAATTCATTTGACAAGAATGAATGAGTGAGGGAGTTTAGTTTTACACCGCTTTTGGCAATATTCCAGCAATACCACGGCAGGGGACACCAGAAATGGGAGTCATACATTGTACCCATGTGGAAAGTCGAACCTTGGTCTTCAGCGTGACGAGTGAACGCTTTACACTAGGCCACCCCACCACCCACATTTGACTAGACGATGGTCTAAAAATTACTAGTGAGTGTGTATAAGTTGTATTTTCAATTTGATATTAATTGTTGTTTAATACATAGTGTCCAATTAAACATTATAAATAAAATAATGGTACAATAATGAAAATGGATCAGCTTTTTAAACAATATTTTTCATCATGTATATGAAGAAAACATTCAATTTGAAAAAATATTGAATAAGGCTACAACAGTTTTGGAATAGTTTATCTCAAATATCTCAGTAATTAAATAATTTTCCAATCAGTAACAGATGTTTACACACAAGGGACATATGTATACATTGCATTCGAATTATGCAAATATGCTTTCTTTAGATGGATATATCTAAATAAACAGCTGTGTTATTTCAGGATCAATAGAATCAAAGCTGGAATATTTGCATAACCAAATTGATTCGTTTCGTTTCTGTTTTATTACAAAATATTACAAATGTAATAAAAAAAATTATGTAAATTTTATTACATATTATGTAAAGTAAGAAGTCACGTTACTTGTTATCAATGACCAAATGCTAACAAGAAGCTGTGGGTTCCTTATGTTTGAGCATGCACAAGTTATCTCCCTTTCTTAGGTTCTTGGGATGGGGACAAGGGGGTTTAAAATCTAAACTGCATAAATGTTGAATCTGACCAATGTTTCAGCTTCAAGCAAAACCTCCAGATTTATAGACAAATAGACAGACACAAAGCATCCTGAATGATAAGATGTTTCAGCATATATAAGTCTTGGGTGGTTACTTTAGCTCTGAACTCATGAAAATCCGGGTTAGAATTGGTCTTGAGTAACCCATGCTTGTTGTAAGAGGCGACTAACGGGATCGGGTGGTCAGACTCACTGACTTGGTTGACACGTCATCGTATCCAAATTGCACAGATCGATGCTCATGATGTTGATCAAAGGATTGTCTGGTCCAGACTCGATTATTTACAGACTGCTGCCCCATTGCTATAATATTGATGAGTGCAGTGCTAAGCTACCAACCAACCAACAAATACTTTGGCTTTGGGGTTTTAATCACAAGAAAGTGAACACATTTTACATTAGCTATTTCAAGTAATAAAATCTCTCAGTTATTTAGTTACTTTGAAACAGAGTAGACTAGCAATATACAGCATCACTTACTTTCATCATTCATCAATCAATGCCAGTTTACATTAAAACTCAGGTCCAGAGACTCTATCTACAAAGCATTCACAGAACAATACCTTTGAGAAGCCTGACAAAGTATAGAGTGAGTGAGTGAGTTTGGTTTTACGCCGCTTTTAGCAATATTCCAGCAATATCACCCAGAAATGGGCTTCACACATTGTACCCATATGGGGAATCGAACTCATGTGTTCGGCGTGACGAGCGAACGCTTTAACCACTAGGATACCCCACCACCCGACAGAGTATAGAACTGTGATAAGTTGTAACTAGGGCTGGCTATCAATATAGATCATAGAGATCTATAATCGTTAACTAAATATCAATCGGTTATCGATAAATATTGGAGACATAACTTTGAGCAAAAGAAAGTATTATGAAATGAATATATTTCACATCACTGGTAAGTGGCAACCTGTTTTAGCATGGATTATAAACAAAACAGTATCCTGAACATAATTTAGAAGCAGCCCATGAATAAAGTCCTAAATTTGCATATTGTGTGATAAAATTAAAACTTTTTTATATGTAATGTATTATATTATTGATAACAATTTTCATATCGATAAGCATTAATTCCTATTGACGATATTTCCAATTATCGATCATTTTAGCCAGCCCAAATCATAACACCATGTACACTGTGTGGATCTGGACCCATGTACCTGGCATCAGCATCTGTTGTACAACCTCTGTTATTCTTTATTAATATTTGAGAACCCACAAAAATATCAGTCCTGGATAGCTTCATGTTTAATGAAAACTAGAAAATTATTTGCAATATTTGCTGATATTTTAGTTATTTACTTGATAATACTAGATAACTGCAAGTCATCCTATTTCAGCAACATTAAAGATGCTTTTTAATAATAATAATAATGTCTATTTATATTGCGCTGAGTTCCATCCACAGAGGTGCATGCTCAAGGCGCTACAATAGTCACAAATGAGAAGTTCACGGGAGGAGATAGTTCGTGGGGATAGAACTTTCTAAAGAGAAAGGTTTTTAGGTTGGTTTTGAATGTCTCAAGGGTGGGGGATTCTTTAATGTTCTGAGGTAGTGGGTTCCATAACTGAGGTGCTGCTACTTGAAACGATCTGTTTTCACAATTATAATACTGCACCTATTCAGGCAAGACCTATTCTTTCATACTGAGAAATACAGAGAAAATACAGAAAGGTCTTTCTTACTGAGAAATACAGATAGATCTTTCTTACTGAGAAATACAGAAAGGTCCCCAGCTATGTCTACGCGTTCTTAGAAGAAACAAACTTGACAAGAATGTCTGGCTGGACACTGTTCATTATATCAATCACAGGTTTACCTGCTTAAAGGATTCACACTTAACTGGGCAGTAGAGTAGCCTAGTGGTTAAAGTGTTTGCCCGTCACGCTGAAGACTCGGTTCAATTCCACACATAGGCACAATGTGTGACACTCATTTCTGGTGTTCCCCGTCATGATATTGCTGGAATATTGCTAAAAGCGGCATAAAACTACACTCTCTCACTCACACTTAACTATTATTTTGCCCTCTCATTCAGTTTCAGCACTGCTGAGTAAAAAAATAAACATCACCACAGACCTTTTGCGTTTTAAATGGCTAGTACTGTTTTAAAGCTTAATGACATTTGCACAGTGGATCAGCATGTTTGTCTAACCCTGATGAGAGCATTAGTCATTCAGCTCGTGCTGTGTGTCATGACAAAGCAGCCACACAAGCTTTAACATAATTCATACTTATACAAAGTTAAACAGTTCACATCCACTGTATAACATGAAAAATTAAAATTGAATATTTCCATATTAGCATGGTTAGAGAGCAATTTCCATCTCAAAATTAAACAACTTACAAAAGAACCACTCTCAGTAACTATAAAGTAAATCTGTGCATAACTGCAAAGGTTAAATCAATGCTCCAAAGAATGGCTTGATATGCCATCAGGAAGCAGTATTCAATTACCCACTCACACATGAAACAGCGTGTGTTCAAGTTTCAATGCATGTATTGCTTCATGATATTGATTATGTAACCTTACAATAAAAGCTTGAATTACAATACAATATAGTATTGCTTGAAAATTCAGACCCAATATTGTATACATTTGCACATATATAAATATGAGCAGGTTAGGCAGCTGACTGTGTGTGCTTGCGATTAGGTGCCTGACTCTGAGGGTGTGGGTTTTGAATCCCGCATGGGACTCAACCCCCAAAAAGTACTAGAATTTGTACTTTACTAAGAAAGTGTAATCCCAAATATAACATATATGTTTTATATATACACACGCGAACACACACACACACAAACACATACGCATGTATTTTGAGTCAATATATGCAACTCAAAATTCAAGCTAGTTTGCTAGCCCAAGACAACAAAAATGCAATGAGGACAAAACAAAATCCATTGACTGTGGTCTCATACACTAAATGTACGATTTAAGGGCTATAATTCTAAACCAGGCCTCAATGCTTCAATTTTGCTACAAAATAGAATGAAATAAAACAGAAAAAATGTAAACATGGCAAATTTTGGTTTCATTAAAACAGAACTTACAACAAAATCTGAAGACTAGTGAATTAAAAGTAACTTCAAAATAACTGATTTCTAAGCCTGCATAACCTCTCAAGACGTCACTGAGATCAAAGATACAAGAAACTGATCAAAATCTGTGGATTAATGAATTGCTGTGTTAGGCCTCCCACAATGCTCCATGTCATGTTAGGTCATTGCCCCCAAGGGGCGGACAAACAAGCAATTAGTAACTAAATATATCCTGATTGATCTGCTCCTCCTGTGATTGTCCAGTAATTGTTTATGCTCTGCCAAGCTTCAGTGCCTTGAGATGCTAATTCTCCACAATGTACAGTAGGGTTAATCGGGACTTGTTCTGGTCCTCAATTTACTGCTTAAGTAAACTACCATGAAGAATGTTATACAATAGTCATATATAACTACAGTCATTATGTTGTAGAGTATAAATACATAAGTAAAACTATATTTTTAAAAGAATATTTATTTTTAAGCATTATTAAAATATTATATAAATTATTATGATATAGCATTACTATGCATAGTATTATGATTTAGAATTATACATGTATGTACAATTATATATGTATGTATTATTATAAATACTCACTGTGTATGACTAAGACTTAAATATTCGCTGTGATATTTGGGAGCATACATAAAAAGCCTATTACACTTTAATCATCTACTTATAGATATTATAGTCCTAACTGTCCATGACTCTTCAATTAAATATGGCTGATAAACTTTGTTCATGTTTCAAATTGCTAATAATTATATAGAATACCATGCATATACAACAATGGTTAAAACAACTAATACATCCAACTTGAAATTCCAAACCAGTATGAAATAGTATTCCAGGTTGTCCAAGTATTTAAATACAGGGACATATAGAGATGTCTGTTTCCTTATCTACTTGTTTGTATTTAGTTACTGTCTATTATACATTCTGGTTGCTGCATGTTGTCATCAAGATCATACCCCAAATACCCCAATTCCACAGATCGATGCTCGTGATGTCAATGTACAGCTGGAATAATGCTGAGAGTGGCATTAAACAGTCAAAACAAAATTCAAGCAAGGGGGAGAGAGAGAGAGGGGGGGAGAGAGAGAGAGAGAGAGAGAGAGAGAGAGAGAGATAGAGGCTATAGTGTTGGTCGTTATCATGTTGAAAACCCTGGTTCAATTCCCTAAATGGGTGTAACGTGTAAAGCCCATTCATGTTGTGATATAACTGTAATATTGCTATAACTGCAAGTCTTTGCAATAATTTTCCCTTAATGCCTCAAATAAAAATAATCTATATTATATAACTCGACACATGAGGAAATTAAAACATGTCCATATTTAATATTGGACTGTTTTTAATGTAAGGCCTTTAAAAATTTTGTGGTTCCGATTACCTGACCAACCCTTCAATTCTGGTGCCGACCCTATTTTTTTAAGCGGTATGAATAAAATAAGCTTTCAGATACCATTGTTTTTTTCCCAGCATCGATGGACATTGGTCATTCTGATTGAGAAAGTCAACATGATGACCTCAAGCTTGATTGAATAAACAATTTACTTCTAAAAAGAAGTGTAAAAAAATAAAGTAAAAATCCTACCCACCTTCCCTAAATTTCAAAGACATGTAATCGGAACCTAAACATTTTTGTTATTTGGCCCAACATAACTTCATTTGGGTGGACCTTTGGGCTAAATGACAAGTAGGGGCATCAACAACCACATAAGTGTAGCTATCTACTGTTGTGTGATCTACACATAACTTAGTTTAGAGATAGGGTTTTTTCATCAATGACGTGATAGGTTAAACAGAAGGCTGGTCCCATGTCTCTGCTGGTTTCAGCGACATCCCTTCATCAAGACATCGGTTCTTTGATAGATCTCCCCTCAATCATGTCCACTGACTTGTCAACAATAGACACTTACAATAATAGTCTTGTAGAAATGTTTCATAAATATAGATATAGTTTGTATTGTATTGTCTGACTGACTGAGTTTGGTTTTACGCCGATTTTAGCAATATTCCAGCAACATCACGGTGGGGGACACCAGAAATGGGCTTCACACATTGTACCCATGTGGGGATTCGAACCCGGGTCTTCGGCGTGATGAACCAACGCTTTAACCACTAGGCTACCCCACCGCGTCGTATTGTATTGTATTGTATTGTATTGTATTGTATTGTATTGTATTGTATTGTATATCTGACAGCAGCCACTGCTTATTTTGCACTGAGGAACCAGAAACACTTGAACATCTTTTCTACGATTGCAGGAAAACTCAAAATCTGATAAGACAGTTTTGAATATGGTTTGAAGGAACAACCAAGACAAAATTAATAATATCAAAATCAATTATCTTACTTGGAGACCCCAATCAAAGTATTCTGTTAAACCATTTGTATAATATTCTCAAAATGTATATCTACACGTGTAAAAATAAAGAAACAAGTTTGCATTTCCCAGGTTTGATAAAAAATATGAAGCAAATTTTTAACATTGAAAAGTATGTTTACGGCCCTTCCAATGCCACTTTAAAAAACAAATGGTCAACATTGATGCCGATACTTACAGAGATAGTGTAGTAACCTGCATCAACATGAGACATCCCTCTTTTCAGGAAAACCCACATATTCTATTAGTCTTTTCCAGAGTGAGTGAGTTTGGTTTTACATCGCTTTTGGCAATATTCCAGCAATATCATGGCAGGGGACACTAGAAATGGGCTTCACATGTTGTACCCATGTGGGGAATCGAACCTGAGTCTTCGACACAACGAGTGAACGCTTTAACCATTAGGCTACCGCACTGCTCCAGTCTTTTCCAGAATGCGGATTTGTGGAATATAAGCCCATCTCCCCCCTTTAAATTATATGAGCTTGATGCAGATGGTATTGTTTAAAGTCAGGTTAGGATGTACCATTTGTCACTTATTGGAGTGACAGCAGCTGGATATAATGCATTTGTGATTAGTTGCAACTAAACAGGTAGTTGTTAGATTCTGCCAGATGTTCAATGTCTGTATAATAACCATGCTGTCATCTAAACAGCTTATCCAGTGCATGCTTACATACCTAATATAATTGTCACAATGCATGTACATAATCATAGAACGTATTTTTGTCTCATTCAAGCAGAACTAGCTACTACTTGGAAATGGAAGGCTTGTGACACATCATTTACACCTGCCTGCTGTAATAATCTTGAAACAAATCTCACGATTTTCTAAGGCTGGAGACATGTTTTAAACAGCATTGCAACTAAAGTTACCATCATCACTGTGGAATTATGCTCTTGAAACAGGAAACTGATTAACTTCAATTTTACCAGGAGAGTTCATGTCAATATCTGGCAGATAGCAAAGACATTACGCTGAACCATATGTCATTATCAACGCATATGAATTCAATATCTTCAATATTTTGCCAGTAAATATGTTCCAAAGAGTTCAGGTCCCCGTTTCACAAAGCTCTCGTAGCGCTACGACTATCGTAAGTCAATGTTACAGTATGGGAGGTACGAATGCTGCAAGGAAAGTTACGAGATCTTAGGCTTACGAGAGTTTTGTGAAACGAGGCCCTGGTCAATATCTGGCAGAGAGCAAATAAAGTACACGGAAAGTTTGAACATATGTAATTATCAGTGCATATTGATTCAATATCATCTGTGTTAAAGTTTGCCAGTAAATATGTCCCAAAGAGTTCATGTCAATATCTGGCTGATATCAAATACAGTACACTGAAACATATGTCATTATCAACACATATAAATTCAATATCATCTGTGTTAAAGTTTTAATTCGTTTGCCAGTAAATATGTCCCATGTCACTGTGACATAAATCATATCTACATGAACGTTTACCAAATGTAGTACATGTTTAAAATAGTCACAAAATGTGCAACTACCTTCTAATATTGAACAAACTAAGATGAATAAGAAGCATTTCACAATTTTCATTAACTCAAAACATAAGTAGTAAGTACTGATATTTACCAGGTGTTAATTTGAGTGTTAATCATTAGATGTTTAACCCTCATCTAAATTACCATCACTTGATCTCTTAGACAAAGAAAATATTGTTAACCAAGTTAAATGTGGGCGAAAGCCTGCTATTCAATGTGTATAGTTCTGCTGTTACATCATAATGGTCAGTGTTGCATCTGTGTGATAAAAATAACAATATGGTGTGTGGCTTAGTATAAAAGAGCATCATCTATACATTCCCATTCATCATCCACAGACAAAACATGCTGGAGCTTAATAACAATCATGAGATGCACATCCTTTGACAGATCACTGTATCTAATAACAAAAAGGTATTCAGTCGACATGATACAGGCCTAAGGGAACACGTGAACAAAACTTGCCTCCATGTCTCAGAGCTGATCCTGACTCCAGGGGTATCACGAGAAGTGGGAAAATACCGCTAAGTCCAACTAGAACAGAACTTAGAACAGAGTAAGTCCAGATTTCATAAGTTCTGTGAGACTCTTCGTCAATCATATCCAGCCTTTCCGGATCGAGCGCCACGTCTGGTGGTCGTTTTGATTTGACACCGTTTTTCAATACTGCTGGCTTTGCTCGGTGGATCTCCGCTGTGGTATAAGCTGAGTATATCGCGTAGATAACTATCATCACATACACCAGATGTTGATAGCACGCCATTACGGCAGGTGACAGGACTTATCACCTTTGAATACACATGTGCACAGTCCACAACAACATTGACGCGACCTTTCAACTTTGACCTCGCCACATGGACGATGTTCCTTGTTCCTCCTTTGCAGTTGCCTCCCTTGAAACACAAATCTCTTTGTGGTGCTTGTTCGCACGTCCTCAGAATCTGATGTTTAGTATTTTATTCGTGGTGGTTAATCATCTCGCTGTTAAGTTATCGAACTCTGCAATGGCTGCACAGAATAAGCACAATCCTATCTTCACGGCTGAGTAATCACATAGTTCAATTACTTCCGTGAACGCATCGGGAACTCACGGAAATACCCGAGGATGAGGTGACCGCCGATGCTTTCATGGGGGAATTCGACCTTGCCCTTCTGAGGAATTGGTTGGAATCACGTATCCTGAAAATGAACAAAGCAGAAACTTATACTGCAGCGCTGTGTTAGAGTGTATACGTTGAGAAAAATCTTTCTTTTACAATATTTACGTTGTATTCAATAAAGAACTTCAGACTTTCTGCCAAACTGTGGCCTGAAATATTGGTACGGAATTTTTACCTTTGACCTTAGCGCTATTCCTGGCAGTCCATTTCTCGCGGGAAAGTGAGAAGACACCGCAGAGAAGATGCTATAGAGAGGAAGGATGTATCCGGGCTATGTACATGTCTAAAAAAAACTTTAGCAGATGGAGGCAGGGAGAAACAGGAGGCGTTCCTGGGAATGAGACGGGAAGGGTGCAGGATCGGGGCGAAGGTCATTAACTGAAGAATATGGATTTTCTGAAGACTTCAATCTACGATATAGCTCAAGACGCCTCCCAAGTCGCCAGTCACCACGACACGGACAATGCGCGATTCCTCAGACCGGTGCGTTGACCTTGCTTTTCCACCTTGCTTATTCCATACAAGGTGTATAAATATTCATAACGAACGGTAGGCTTTGTAGGATGTCTTGAACGAGAGTAGACCGGCCGCTACGATGCATTATCGACAGTATCATTCAATCCTGCAATATTTTCAGCACAAATGTTAAACGCTGATGATCCCTTGTGAGAGTTGTTTTTGGTAATCAGCCGGGAGTCGTTGGTTTACCGTAGATGATATCTGATTGCTTGGGGTAGACAAGGCGAGGAGCTCAGGAACTATGTTCAATAAACGGTTTTCAGCAGGTATATACACACTGGTTCTGTATTGGCACCATATATTGATGTCTGGAAGGTAGTATTAGCAGTTCTTTACACCATCAGGGTGGATAAGGTAAATATGGTTCACACCTCCCTGTAAAGATTTAGGTCATGGCGTTGATATGTGAGTGTGAAAAAGGTCAAGTTAGTGTAAGGTGCAGGTTGGGTATCCCAGTGACTAATAAAATCATTTACCAACAGTTAAGGATTTGTACCACATGCAGGGGCGGATACAGCTTTTTGAGAAAGGGGGGATGCACACTATTGAGAAAAGGGAGGGTGCACACTTCATTTTCACCTGAGTTTCAATGGTCATTTAATAAACTTTCAGGACAAAAGGAGGGGTGCGCACCCCTGCACCCCCCTCTGGATCCGCCTATGCACATGGGACATGATGCAGAAATAAATTTGTATGAATAAATCATGGCCCAGACAACACCCTTGTTGTACTCTATTGCTCCTTATGTAATACATGTTTTGGCAGTCTTCCCCAATCAGTATCCCATGCTTCTGACCTACATAAGCATGCACATGTTATAATGCTGCTGTGGTAATGGAGTCTTCAGGTCCCATTGTGCATTTACAAGATAATGTTGCAAAAACAAAATGGCTTTCTCCTTAGCAGTGATAGCAGATATGCTTTCTCAACGGGTTTATAAAAATGTTTCCTAAAATCTTTAAGAAGATTGTAAAGGAAAGAAGTGCTGCTCTCTTATTTGATAGTCAAAGAAAAGATCATAAATCTCTGTAATGTTATCTGAAAAGAGACATATTATGTGTAGTATCAGGTTGGAAAAAGAGTCTTCTTGTGGTTTCTTTGAAACAAAGTAATTTTAGTCAACATTTGGGCTTGGTAAAAATATATACTTTCAATCATAAATTTAATGTAAGAATAAAATACAACTACTTTCTTTGCATTATAAAGAAGACATTATTGTCCTGATTGATTGGAGTATATTGTCATGTCAGGGAACAGTATACATAATAAACATTATTATAACAAGCTGTGTAAATGGTGTAAACAGTGTAGATAGAATGCCATACATTCACTGTATATAGTTTGTCTCACGAAGTAATGTGTGAAGGGTGGTCAGTTAATTTCCAAAAGGAGTTGTTTGAGCATTTATGACAGCTGCCAATTGTGTATCATGGTGTGTTTGTTCTTCACAGTCTTATTGAATAATCTTATAGCCAGGAGCAAAACACTGCTCATCTATGTCATGTCTACTTACAGTATGGAAATAGCAATCATCTTAATAGAGGACATTTTTCAATTCTAAAGGTGGATAAATTTCATACATTTCAGGCATTAGTTTGGAGTAACATTTGGTACATTTGTAGTGTATTGGGGCGGTGGGTAGCCTAGTGGTTAAAGCGTCCGCTCGTCACGCCGAAGACCCGGGTTCGAATCCCCACATGGGCACAATGTGTGAAGCCCATTTCTGATGTCCCCCGCCGTGATATTGCTGGAATATTGCTAAAAGCGGCGTAAAACCATACTTACTCACTCACTCACTTGTGTATTGTGTATTCATTAATTTGATGACACACATGTTTACATTATGTAAAGCTGAAGAGATAAGCAAAATATCATTGATATTACTATTCTGCTCTGTGTTAAGACCTGAGGTTATTTCCTTAGTAGGTTGCATCAAGTGAACTTTGTGCAACCTTTAAGCTTAGTTGACTGCCCAATCCAGTTGAAGGATGTGTCAGATAATAGACCATTGGTGTATGATATATCCAGATCGACGTAATGACACTGCCGTTACTATGTACATTCATGAAATGTCATTGGAGCTCATTTTCAACATAATCGAAAATTAAAATTTTGAGTAAAATTAATAAACTAGATTACGAACATAAGTCGCGATATGCAACAAACATGTTTTATTACGAGATGGTGCAACAACAGGACATTCTATTTCCAAAAACTTATCACGACGGGAAGGTGAACAAAGGTTGGTGGTTCGGCTTATGTACTGGACATACCATTTTGATACTGTTTTTCATGGTCAGGTTAGGACCTCGGCCTATCTATGTGATCGACTTAAATACAGTACATATGGTATGCTGGTTTGAATGTTATGCTCTCTTGTTTTGAGAATTTGGAAGCCCAGACTCTGATTAGCAGAGGTTACCTGACACCATCTTATCTGAATTTGAGATGCAGAGATATTGTAACAGAACTGAAGGTCTGATTATATTAACATTGAGTATGGATAGCAGTTATGTGAAACTGACTAAAAATATACAGCCTAACTCATTTATATCACTGATCCATTTTAGATCGGTGAGTGGTTTCATTGATTACAGAGAACAGGTGCTTGATGTCATTCAAATTGATATGAATCTTGAATAATGAAATATGTTCAAGAAGCAGCTTGCATATCAATATTGTTAAAACAGCTCTATGTCATGGACATATATACAAATGTATTACTTTGGCCTGAGACCATTAATCACAAGTATTCAGAAACAAATGAGTTTATTATTCAACTTACTTTGATTGTTGCATACTATGAATAATGGGAATCAAAACAGTGGAAATAGAACATTCCTGTCGACTTCTGTAACCATGGTAACAGTGACAGTTCTTGCCATTGGTTATTTGAAAGAAACTAAAGTTGTATTTGAGCTAATTAGGTACTTTCCTGGCATTTTGTAATATACTAGATGCAAGTTTGCTCATCATTTTTACATAAATATTTTGCATATAAGCTTTTTGTATGAACACAACTGAAAGTAAACCTGACATCATCTCATGCTATTCTAACACAGTCGTGATAATTGGTCCTCAAGCTGGTCACTAGCCAATATAGTTTGGGGTATGCCAGCAAATAAAGCATGTGTTAAGATTGCATATGCCGGGGTGAATTGATGATGTCATACAATTACCACTGACAAAAGCACACAGTGTTGTGTTTGTTATACACATAACACCGACATATACAGACCTATTGTTCATGGGTGTTTAGGTTAAACATATTTTATTCTTATGGAAAGAATTGGGAACAAATCATGACAACATATAAGAGCCTCTCCCATAGATTTACATGGATACTTATTTACAGTTAGTACATCAAATGACAGAAGGGAAAGACTGACTGAGTTTCGTTTTACGCCGCTTTTAGCAATATTCCAGCAATATCACGGCGGGGGACACCAGAAATGGGCTTAACACATTGTGCCCATGTGGGGATTCGAACCCGGGTCTTCGGCCTGACGAGCCAACGCTTTAACCATTAGGCTACCCCACCGTCCAGAAGGGAAAGAAGAGAAACATGTATATATTAACACTTAAACCTTTCTCTTTGTAATTGTATTTACAGTCCTAAAAGATTTCATTCACATGATTAGGTAAATTATGTAAACATGACCCGGAATTTTGACATGATGAGCAAATGCTCTAACCACAGGGCTGTCCCAATGCCCAGGGAAGAGGGAGACTGACTGACTGACTGAGTTTGGTTTTTACGCCGCTTTTAGCAATATTCCAGCAACATCACGGTGGGGGACACCAGAAATGGGCTTCACACATTGTACCCATGTGGGGATTCGAACCCAGGTCTTGGCGTGACGAGCCAACGCTTTAACCACTAGGCTACCCCACCGCCCGGAAAAGGGAGAGATTAAGGAGGTGACATCTATTCCAAAACCAAGTTATAGTGTCACTGGTTCCAGTAATATATATGAATAGTGACATAATACACTGGATAAATGAGGATGGACCAAGGTTGGAATATATTGCCTTGTTATTTCAAAGTTATTGTCGGTTATAAAAGTAATTTAGTTTTCTTTTCAATATACTTGCATTGTGCCCATGTGGGGATTCGAACCCGGTCTTCGGCGTGACGAATAACGCTTTAACCATTAGGTTATAAAAGGTGATGTTCAGGGACCCCCAATAATCATTTTAAAGGAACCATGCAGGAAATGTAAGGGACCTGTAAAAAGACATTCTGGAAATATAAGGGTCCTGCAGGGGATTGCTGTAAAATTAGATAATTACAAAATCGGAGGACATACTGGTAGCACATTTCTTCACTATGTAAAACAATGAAAAGCACGAATATTGGATACTAAATATTATTAGGTCTGCAACACTGTAATGTAAATACAATTTTATAAACATAAAGGTACTGAATATAAATATTTATTCATGAATTCTATATGTTTAGTATCAAGGAATTAAAATAACCTACTTGTCATGTAATTGCTTCAGTTGAAATATTTCACTGATATTTTCTCTAAAGCAAAAAGTGATGCATCATGACAATGCTGCTTTAAGCCTTATGACAGTACCATAAGGGACCTTTGCTGCTGTATGGCTTGTTCATATTCCATTTTGCATATCTCACTTTAATAAATAGCAGTCAAGTTTTAGGTAAAAAAATATTTTGTAAATATTTGATTTTAATGACCCTGAATAGTGAATTGAACTCATAAGGGGATATGGTTCGATTCACTGAACAAGCAAGTGAAGATCCTGATTAGAATTGGTCTTCAGTAACCCATGCTTGTCATAAGAGGCGACTGACTTGGATGACAATGTCATCGTATCCCAATTGTGTAGAACGATGCTCATGATGTTGATCACTTGATTGTCTGGTCCAGACTTGATTATTTACAGACCAATGCCATATAGCTGGAATACTGCTGTGTGCGATGTTAAACAACCAACCAACCAACCAACTTATTATCATGATTATGCACGAAAATCCTATATAAGATATTTCACACATTTTCATGAACATAAATCTAATCAAAACATGTGTTCCATTACCAGCTATATTGTAATAGCTTGTACTCACATTTTAAGCCAATTTTCCTATTTTCTCATGTCTTTCAGGCGGTGACAATCGAAAAAGTTCCAGACAAGCTCTTGCTCAATGCCTTCTCATTTCTGAAGCACAAGGAGCTTGGGAGGGTGGCACAAGTGTGTCGGAAATGGCGTCTGCTTGCTTATGACAGTCGACTATGGCAGATCGTGTCGCTCCGCCCAGAATTCTCAGGTCTTCATGTAAACCACATAGAAACTCTGATGGCGCTGATAAGTCTTCGATTCGGTGTCACTCTCAAATATATTGAGCTGCCAAGTGAACTTATTCAAGCACCTGTGTTACATGAACTGTCAAACAAATGTCCAAATCTTCGAAACATGACCTTGGACTTTTCGAATGCCATGCAGCTCCATGACTTTAATGACCTCAACTCCTTCCCCTGCAATTTACGAAGTCTCTGTATCTGCCTCTCGGAGGTCATCTTCCTGGAAGGGTTCATGCGCAGGATATATAGCTGTCTATCATCGCTGGAAGTCATGCACTTAATAGGTAAGTCAATGTGTCGCAAAACAAACATATTTCTTGGACTTTATTTTATTAACTTATAAGCTTCAGAATCTCTGCATTGAATCTCTTTGCATTTACTGTCGGAATGTTATTATATTTTATATGTTATGTGTTGGGGATTGAAATTATCAGTTTATCATTTATTCAACTGTTTTACTACTCATGAACAGTGTGCAACATATCAACTGTTTTACTCATGAACAGTGTGCGAAATAGCCACTGGCCCACTAAGTAAAAATCCAGTCGAGCCTATAAATCTCCACAGCCACTGGCCCAACTGGCTAGTGAATTTTCATGGTGTCATTTTTTAAATATATCACTCTCTCCGACTAGTTAAGTTATAATTCTCTTTTAAATTATGCAAGATTATGGCCTGATATATGATGCTATTTTACCTTTTTGTAATCTTTGGCTTAGTTTCTACATTCAAATTTCAGGCTTGTGAATTATTTTGTGGGTTAGTAACTTTCAGGCATAGCAAGCGCGACAGGCTAGCAAAACTTGGAAACTATTTCCCACACTGCTCATGAAGATCTGGGTTAGAATTGGTCTTCAGCAAGCCATGTTTGTCGTAAGAGGCAACTAACATGATCGAGTGGTCAGGCTTGCTGAATTGGTTGACCCACATGTCGTCGTATCCCAGTTGTGTAGGTCGATGCTCATACTGTTGATCACTGGATTGTCTGGTCCAGACTCAATTGTTTACACACCACACAGAGCTGGAATATTGCTGAGTATGGCTTTTAATAACAACCAAACAAAAAACTGAACTATTTTGCATATGTATCTCGTGTTCACTGTCGACGTCACCTGATAGTTGACGTATTCTGTCTGTGATGTCATCACTTATGGGGATACATTAAACAATGGCATGGCTCCACTGATGATGTCACAGATACCTTGGTGACATCACTACTGTTCTCCATAGATTTTTGGCCTAATTTGTTTTTAATGCTCCTGTGGCCCTTAATTAGCCAATTTTGTTGGTTTTATCCAAACTCCATTAAATATATTATGATTTTTGTTTTCCCTTTTTATGTTATATCAAATGTTGCAAACACTCTGGATAAAAATCAGGTGAGCTACAGAGCCTTTTAGTTGTAGTGGTTTTCCAGGAGACTGTTTAATGAGGTGTTTGTTCATTCTCAGTCAAGAGCTTCATAGTAATTCTCTGTCCATGGCTTCAAGATAAGAACACCTGGCCACATCTTTTTATCCCATTTCATGTGAAATGTGCTTAACTGTGCCTGCGATACATGGATCAATTTTTCTGATAATTACACTACCAGATTAGCCTGGTTGGACAATTACAAATGAGCATACAAATCAGGCTTTGTGTTACCAGCCCTGCTGTTGCATCCTGCTTATGCCCTGGAGACCGTACAGTGTTAATGTAGGTCTGACTGCTGTCTACAGTACACACACACGCACACACGGTACACCCACACACACACACACACGAAGTAACCATCTGTCGACTCTGGAGGCTTTGCTGATGACTCTGTACTTTGATCTCTACAACTGCTGTGTTAGGTGGTGGTCAATTAACCTAGACAATTTATTTTCCAACACCTTGTCAGATCGGCTTGTGGAAAATTTAACCTAACTAATTTTGGGAGGTTAAGTGTTATTTCCCTCCATATACTGACCCTGTTAATGGCATTTTTCATACAAAGGTAATTCACTTATTTTGTTTGAAGATTTTTTCTCAAATTTTTCAAATGTAATCCACATTTGTCTTGTGATCTGCAAACAAAGTTATTATACCATGCTGATACAGGGTGAAAAGTCCTTGAATTTTACTGTCAACCAGGAAAGGCTGTGAAAATCACCAAAACACTTGTGAAATTCCTTGAATTTGTACAAAGTGGCATAAATGTGTTCATAAAAGGATTAAAATTAATGGGAGACTGAATTCATTTTACATGTTGGTTCTGAAAATCATGATTAAAATGTTGTGGTGTTCACGCTCTTATTCTATATTTTTTTTATTGCATGACTAATATAGCTCAGCTCAAGTCTACTTTGTCCGAGTAAGGCATCAGTGTTAAACTGATTGGTATCTCAATGGGCTAAAGAGGCAAATATCTGGAATAGTGCAGGCAGACACATGCTTCTTCTGAGGAACATTCATAATTTATGGTGGTGGTGAGTGGATGGTGGTTTGGGAGGGTGGTGTTGTGTGTGGTGGTGGGGATCATCAATTCTGGAATGATGAATTTTTAATGACATGGGGAGGTCACTTGCTTTGTTCATAAATTTTAGGGGGTAGGGGGATCATCAGCTTCCATCATATCTACACACATGAACCTGGGCGCGACGGGTCAGCACACACAACATTTTATGAACAGTGCACTTAAGGGACAGGGCTCTCCACCATACTATGTTCATAAATTTTAGCCTGAACTATTGCAATAGTTAAAATACGAGGACACCTCCCATCAGTGCTTTAATGTTATAATAGTTCAGGGAGAAAGTGTGCTGTATTACCATGCACTCATACAGGATCATGTACTTGGAGGGAGTTGATTCCTGCTTGATTCCCGGATGCAGCTTACCAAAAGATGGTACTTGTTATTACCCTGTCTAATTATCGACATAAAGGGAATAAAACAAGGGATGGTTGGCCTGGAGTGAGTATTCTGTGTCCAAGTAGGATGTCTATGTTTGATGCAAGTAGGATGCACACACGCATGAGTTACCATAAAAGTGCTGTTATGTTGAATGTAACAACATTAAAAGCTGTTTCCTCCTCCTATAACGGTGTTGTACGAAATAATATCGATCTGAATAATATTGTAAAAAAATATGTATTTGGATATGATAAACAAGAGCATTAATATAAGAAAACATCACTCAGTAGGTTTAGGAGATTTCTTACTAGATAGTTCACCAACATGAAACACCTCCATGACAGTCTGTGAAACAAGAAACACAAAATCCAAATATGCTGTGCAGAGTTGTGTCCCTTTGCAACCTGAGTCAAATGGTAAGGGGCACTTGCTTGACAAGATGTCAGAACCATCCCTACTGGAATACCAGAACTGAATTGAAGCTTCATGTTGCAACCAGTGGCATGAACACTATTTTCATGCTGTTGGGTACAATGATCCACAATTAACCAACTTGCATCAATCAAGCATATCCTGACTTCATTTCTGTCAATTGTTTTATTAGACATGGGTTTTTGTAGCTACTGGGAAGAAAATTTGCAAGTTTCCACTCAGCAGTTATGAAACTTAGGCCAGACCAATTTTATTTCTTGTTTTATGGATCCGCCTGTCGCATTTTTTCAAGAATAAGAAAAAAATAAAAATTAATTTTCCCCACTCAAAAAATAAAATCCTAATGCTTTTATGGGCCAAAAATGTAAACTTACAAGAAAATTGTTTTTAGATTGTGTTTTTGCCCCATATGCACTTCATAAATTGCCAAAAGTAGAATACTTCGAGTATTAAGAAGGAATATTACTTTGACTGGTGATTTTATTGCTATTTTTTTCCCTCCTGCTTTTAGGTTTTCTGAGGACAAAAATCTTAAAACAAGAAATAAAATTGGTCTGGCTTTACAGTGTTTTTGACATGAAAATACCTCCTTTTCTAATTGTGATGGTAATATTTTCAGGAACATTTGAGCTGTCAACCGAATCTGACGAAGACAGCTATGAAGTCATCAACATCAGTAAGATCAAAGCGCATACGCCAAACTTAAAGATTGTCAACTTTTATGGAATTGGTTTCATTGATGACTCCCACATCGAACTATTGACCTCCAACTGTATCCATCTGGAGTGTCTGGCTCTCAACTTCTGTCTCCGAGTGCGAGGATCATCCTTCAAGACCTTGATACAGCGCTGCAAGAAGCTGAAATCCCTCCTCCTGCAGCACACAGGTAAATCACAGACTCCTCAAGGTCAAGGTCATAACAAACCTTCAAAACTGGTGCTAGTCTGCTAGCCCGAGACAACTAATTAGTGTTGAGGACAAGTAAAATTCAAAATGGTGTCCACATAGGCTGACATTATTATTTCAGATCTAAAATTCTGAACCAGTTCTCAATGACTTCTTTGATGGCATTTTAGAAGGTGAGTTGATGAAGAAAAATGACAATTATTATATTATGGATATACAACTTCTTTTATTCTGTGGATGACGTTTGACATAGGTTCTAATGTCGTTGTCAAGCAAGTGATGACTTGCTTGACAACGACATTAAAACCTATGTCGAAACATCTATAACTTCTTTTATTCTGTGGAGGCGACGTTTTGACATAGGTTCTAATGTCATCGTTGTCAAGCAAGTGATCACTTGCTTGACAAGCGATTATTAGAACCTATGTCGTAAAACATTATACAACATCACTTGCTTGACAACGACATTAGAACCTATGTCGAAACGTCGCCTCCACAGAATAAAAGAAGTTGTATATCCATAATAATTGTCATTATTTTTCAGTTCTCAATGCTTCAGGTTTGCTGCAAATCTAACCAACATTAAGATACCAACATTTTTGTTTCATTCAAGCAGAACTAGCTAAATGTCATGCTGACTAGCTTGATAAGGTTTACACTAGTTCGCTTGACCAGATTTAAAAAAACCCCTGAATTTCTATGGCAGCACATCTCTGTGCAAAAAGTACTAGAATGTGCTGAGAAAGTGTGTATACATATGATACATCTGTGTAAAGATTTGTTTTAGCTTTTCAACCAATAATATCAAACTTCCCATACCGGGTATCAAACTGATTAATTTTCTGACTGAAGCTGAAACAATCTTGCTGACAAACCTGCCTGTATTTCAAAAGATGTAAACCCAATAATTAATTCTGGTGATGTGATTTGGGTTAAAGACATGCTAACTCTTTTGTTTCTGTAGACATTGAACCTTTTCCTTGTAACAACAATCAGTCTCCAATCTGGCCATTTTTGTAAAACTGGCGTAATAGGTAACAGAAAATATATTATATAAATGCTACTTGTTGATTTGCATAATCTGTCCTTCAGATATGAATGTCTTATGTATGTTAACATTTAACTAAACAAGCAGGGTTAATCCATCCAAAACAAGATGAAAAGCAGGTAGTATTTGTTGACAGTAATAATTTAAGGGCAGCTGGCCACCACAGAAGGAAGATAAAGGGAGATACTGCTGCTATGAAATTGCATCACAATGCTTTTTAGACCATTGTGATGTCATAGGTTACTATGATGTCACAATTGAATGGCATCACTAATCTCTCTGCTGTATGAGCTGTTGGGATGTTCTCAAGACACTGGTTATGACCAGTTAGACAACTAATTTTGGATGGTACACAGCATCTCACTCAAGTATCATTTGATGTGACACAAGACACATTGATACTAGTTAAAACCGACTCAGTAAGTCTCACATGTTAACACTTTTATTGATGAGCGTTGATATATATGATGTGAAAAGATTCTCTCTGTCATGCACATGAGCATTGCTGAAAATTGTGAACCTTATTCACTTAAAGTGTTGATGTTGCTGTTGTAGGTGTTGAAGACACACACATGCAGAGTGTGCCATGGGAGACGTCCTCGGTCACTGAACTCGATCTCACTTCAACAGAGCTTTCAGCGGAGTGCTTGGAGAATGTGCTCACACGTATGCCTGGATTCACATACCTTGGTCTTGGGCACTGCGAGTTCTTTTCAGATAAAGTACGGAAAATGTTTTTTAATAATTAGGCGAGATGAATTTTATGTCTTGTTTTACGGATCCGCCTGTCATATTTTTTCAAGAATAAGACACAAAAAAAATTTCCCTGCTCAAAAAATAAAATCCTAATGTTTTGATGAGCCAAGAATGTAAACTTCCAAGAATTTTTTTTTAGATTGTTTTTTTGCCCCATTTACACTTCATAAATTGCCAAAAGTAAAATACCTTGAGTATTTACAAGGAATATTACTTTGACTGGTGATTAAATTTTATATTTTTTTCCCTCCTGCATTTAGGTTTTCTGAGGACAAAAATCCGTAAAACAAGAAATATAATTAGTCTGGCCTTAGGGACACATACAATTATCTAATTTGTGCATTTTATTGCATTTATCTAATATTGATAGCACCATTGTTACCAATGGATATCCTTTCGTTATATGAAATATTTGACAATTTTTCTTGTAATTTAATGCACATTTTTGAAAGGGTGGGATTATCAGTGTTTGTTTTCTTCTTTGCATTGTAAGATTTAGCAAAGCTGTCAATAAGGTTGATATTTTTTTTTAACTTAGTGGAAGATGTGACTGACCATTCCTCTGTGCATAAAACAGCACAGAAACTGTGATAATGTGATGCTTTTGCTGATTTTAGGAATGCTTCATTCACATTTGTCAAGGTCTAGAATATGACATAGGAGAGGCAAGCATTTCACTGAGTGGCAAAGATGTCATCTACCATGTTGACAAGACATACTTGGAATGATACAAGTTCCATCTCTGCATTGTTTATGCCGGTGTATGAAGTAAGCCAAAACGCCAGCCACACATCAGGGCTGGTAACTTCAAAATATTACCAGCCCAAAATGGATTTAATCAGACCAGACACCAAGATATGGTGAATTTACTCAGATGTATGGAACATCTAAAGTTTTTACCAGACCATCTGGCTGGCTAGCTGTAAATTTAGACCGTCCGTCAGAAATCTAGCCCATCTCGGTTGGTTGGACGGGCCTTATTTCATACACTGTTAATGCTAGGCTTTTGCATGCTAGTTGAAATTCTCATTATTGGAATTTAGATTTTTAATTGGTTTGACATGACATTCCTTGTAACACTGTCCAGGTATTGGAGAAGTTGATGGAGAAAGGCAAGTTAAACCGCCTCCAAGCACTGGATGTAAGCCACACCCATGCACTGTCCGAGAACACACTGTACCAATTCCTGCAGATCCACGGACCCAATCTCCGTGGGTTTGATGTTGGCAGGGAAATCCAAACTCACAGAGAACTTCTGGCTGAATGTCATTCCATTCATTAAGAGAATGCAGTAAGTTTTTCAGGCCATGCCAACATTGGCCATATTTACAAGATGTTAATTTTACTGGTAACAGAACTGTAATTACAAACTGCTTTATATCACTGTTGTGCCCCTTGAAGATCTGGTTTAGATTGGATCTTCAGCAACCCATGCTTGTCGTAAGAGGTGACTAATGGAATCATTGGCTGATGACTTGGTTGATCCATTTCATCATATACCAGTTGTTTAGCTCATGTCAAACACTGGGTTGTCTAGTTCTGACTTGATTATTTACAGATTGTCGTCTTTTGGCAAGAATATTGCTGAGTGCAGGGCAAAAATAAATACAAACAAACAAATATTACTGATACTGGCCATGAGAGTGTTATCCTCGGTTACACATGGCTCCTTTTGCCATTTCACAGCCAACAACCTAAAATTATAAACATTACAAAACAAAACAAACTCAAAACAGACTTGTAAGATCATGTTAAGGACTTTAAGGTCATGTCCATGTTAACGACCTATGATATGAACTAGTCAAAACATCAAATCATGTTATTCTTGTAAGCACAAGCCAAGTTTGTAAGACCAAAAACAAATTTGTTGAAACTGGAGTTGGTGCTCATACTTTTCCAATGAACTTGTTGCCTTAGGTGACTTTGGGACAATTCATGGGCACCTAGTGCAGAAAGTGGTCTGGAAATTGATGTTAGGTAGTAGGTTTTCAATCACTTTGAAATGGAAGTTTTAGGTTAGATCAGTGTGGTGCCAAGAAATGGACAAAAATTGTGGAGAGAAAGCAAAAATAGTTAAAGGTTTTCCAATTTGGTTTGATCAGTAGCATGAGGCTGTTTCATCTATAAATCTTAAGGGGTGGTTGGGTAGCCTAATGGTTAAAGCGTTCACTCATCACGCTGAAGACCTGTGGTCGATTCCCCACATGGGGACAATGTGTGAAGCCCATTTCTGGTATTCCCTGTCATGATATTGCTGGAATACGGCCCTAAAGCGTCATAAAACCATACTCACTATAAATTTTAATGTATACTTGGTACTAGAAATATTTGCTTCCTTGAGATGTCTCAAGACTGCCATGGAGTGTCCATAATTCCAAATCTGAATCTTTGCCTGTTTTTACAGAGTGTGTTGTCTTGGCACTGCAAATGGCTGGTTCCTGAAGATGTCGAGTCGCGTCCATGTGGACCAGATCGTGGAGGCGTTCGCCCAACACTGCCCCAAGCTGCTGCGTGTGGAGATTCAGTGGGACCCGACACTATCAGATACAGCGACAAGAGCAACAAGTTCATAGATCATCTCAGGTTCAACTATTTTCTAACTTGAACCAAGTTTATAGCTTTTTAGAAAAGATTTTCTGTTGACGAGACTGTGAATGAATGCAAATGAATGCAAATAATCTATGTTGCAGTTTGTGTTTGATGGTCCTGTCATTTACGTTGAACATTTATCAGAAGATGTGTCTCATCAACCATTGAAACTTGTGCAGATTTGGTCTCTTGGCTACATGGCTGAAATAATGCTGATGCGACGTAAAATTTTAATTCAACTCAACCCATTGTAACTGAAAGGAAGGGAGATGTATTGTTTTGCCCTTGGTTGGTGTAGATGTTCCCATTTTGTTCAGGGCCATGACTTGAGAACCGTTAACTGATTTTCAAACCTACATGTCGACAACAAAGCACAAACCCTCTTCGGTTGAATGAGGGACCGCATTGTGCAGAATCGCAAACCTGACACTGAGAAGTATGAACATAGGTTTGAGGCTTACTGCAATAGGGGGTTGATGCGCTACATCCCGATATCAAATTTTAAAGATAAGACTCATAGTGACAAAGACATTATTTACCAAAGCCTGTTCGTCTCCCCAAGCCGTCACGTTTGACGATTTATGTCTCCCCCCCGAAGGGTCGGGAGCCATATTGTGTTTGGTTGAGTTTCCTCAAAAACTACTTGAACAATCTTCACCAAATTTGGTAAACTGCCTCTCCATATCATATAGATGTGCCTTTTTTTCAATTATATTTTTTTCTGTTTTCATGGCAACAATTTGGACTTTTTGAAGAGTAAAGTTCGTTTCCAGAGCAAAATTCTGAAACTATTTGACCCATCTTCACCAAATTTGCTATACTGCCTATCCATATTTTCTGTTTTCATGGCAACAATTTGGACTTTTTGAAGAGTAAAGTTCGTTTCCAGAGCAAAATTCTGAAACTATTTGACCCATCTTCACCAAATTTGCTATACTGCCTATCCATATCATGTAGATGTGCCTGTTGGGGGTTTGAACTTTTCTTTCAGTTTTATTTTTTTCTGTTTCAACACTTACAGATTTTGAAATTGAAGGAATCAAATGATATGTTTGAGGTCTCAATGTTGAATTAGGGGAAGGGGGGAGAAATCTGTTTTTACGAGTAAAAACACTTTCTAGTTTTATGCCTTTTGGGGATGCTATGAGTGCCGTTTTGTACGATCGGTGACTGTGGCTGATACACAAGTTTTGTTTCCATTCCATTAGTTTTCCATTACAGATGCGTTTGTTTCGGTTAAGAGGAAATTGTTGCAGTTTTGGAAGTTTATTTTCCTATTTTGGTGATTTTTGTTCTGTTTTGGTGTGTATGAGTTCGGTTTTGAGTATTTGTTCACGGTTTGTTTGGTAGGCCTGAACTTGCATATATATATGAAAATCTGTGAGTGTGGAGAAATAGGATTTTATGAGTCGTGTTTTTGTGCTGTAATAATTGTACTCTGTATACCACATCACCAATAACACTTTATGATCTAAAATGCTTTGCATTCTTCAAAAAGGATAGATTAGGACATACCACACCTCTGCACACATATGTAGATGATATTCATAAAATGTATATATATTAAATTTTTGTTTAAATTTCAGGTTGCGCTGTCCCCACTTAAAGTCCTTTACATTAAGTGATGGAGAGTACTACGAAATGGTCAAGTCAAATTTCGAGCGTGCTGATCGCCTGAAAGTTGTTCGGACAACCACCAACTACAGCACAAGTATTGTCAGCCTCCTAGCTAACTACAGTGACCTGTTGTTCAACTGATTCACGTGATAAAGGGGACGGTTGATCAGACTTTCATTATACGTGTATTCAGGGTTTGTTTAAAGTGAGCCCAGCCCCCTCCTCAGCCTGAAACAGTTAAATTCTGACGTTGTCGTGAACGATTAAATTGTATTGTGATCATGGCAGAGAACAGAATTTGCATGTCTTGTGAAGGTCAACAATTATTATATGGTCATATGTTAACTAAGGCTTATACAAACTTAAATTACCATTAACTTCAAATTGTACTTTAAATTGATGATGATATTGTAATGTATTACATCAGTATGTACCATGTAACTTTTAAAATGTTCCCAAGAATATCAAAATCTTTTGCTAATACCAATCATTATCTTTGAAATAAAAAGTAAGTTAGAATCAATAATGATTGTATTACATGCAGGAATACCAGTAAAATATAAACTGGACAAAATAAGTTAGGGATATTGGTATTTTTATGATTGATATTTTATCAGTGTGTCAATGAATAAATAGATCATTATTCATAATTTCAAAATTTACATATATCCCTAACTATTTTTGTCCAGTATATATTGCAAATAAAGATAAGGGCCACCCAATTCTTTCATATTCCTATAGTTAATCTGTAATATCATGCCATGCCATGCCAGATTTACCAAGGTAATATGAAATAATCACATGCCATGATAGATTGTGATAATAGTAATGTGAAAGATTCGGGTGATCCTTAAATTGTTTGAGTAGTATATATCCAGCATTGATGGTACAATGGCTATTGTGATGTCACAATACATTTTAGACTGAAGGTCACCACTTGAGGTAAACTACAATTTTAATGTTGCTTTATCGATGTGTTTATCTGTGGCAGTCAAGTGGTAATAAGAATATCAACAACATCAAGGTTCAAGTTGTGCTTCCACTATTATGAAAGCTGATCTGTGTGAGCAGGTTGAGCAGAACCTCAGATATCACATCATTTTCATTTTACGATCAAAGTGATTCCATAATGGTTGTAAGATAATATGATACAGTGTCTCTTCTGATAATCGTAATGGACGGTCATCATAATACTGCTGGATTCAGTGCAAAGATTTATGAATTTTTAAAGATTACCTTAACCTGAAACATTTGTGCTGAACAAAAACAGTTATGAATATTTTGGGGGTATTTTATGAAATTGTGTACTCAGTCCCCCAAAATATCCAAGATCCCCAACTTTGTTTTTCAGTATATAATCTTGTAGTATGAAAAGCATGTCTCTACAGGATTACTGTATGACACAAGACATGTTTGTTAAGTGCTGTTCTTATATTTGTAGGAGACAAATCTATATTTTGAAGTTAATCAGTGTGGGAACTGAACTAATGCTGATTAAGCCAATTATTTTTTTCTGAGCACAAATTCAGAAACAAATCTGTAAACAAATGGAAAGGGACTAAGTACTGTTTCATCTTTTCATCAAAACAATAGTAACACTGTTGCTCTAAGTTACAGTAACCGAAACTATATGTACAACTTTCGTGAATACATTCTTTTGATGTCTTTCTTTGCCATAAATATTTGTACTCTGTTGAGCCAACGCACAAACAAAAACAACTGCACCTGTGTCAGAATGAAATTGGCAGTTGCATCTGAAGTTCTACCTGAAATTAGGGGCGGTGGGGTAGCCTAGTGGTTAAAGCGTTGGCTCGTCACGCCGAAGACCCGGGTTCGAATCCCCACATGGGTAAAATGTGTGAAGCCCATTTCTTGTGTCCCCCGCTGTGATGTTGCTGGAATATTGCTAAAATCGGCGTAAAACCAAACTCAGTCAGTCAGTCTACCTGAAATTAGACTTTATGCACATGGTCAATGAATCACTCGAAGATGTGTGATGACAACAGAAATTGTTTATGTTGATAAAGGTTTCATCTATATCGCAATAATACAAGATTAAAACAATGTCAAAATACCAGTGTTTAGAAGTTGAACTGACCCTGCATGGAAAAAATGATACTCCAAAAATGCTTTTGTCTGTTTAAGCCATGTACCTGGTAGGTTAGGTTGGACATTTTTTAACCCGTGTTTGCACTCATTACTGCACAACCAGTTTTCATTCATATATATTTCTATTGTAGTCTCAGTTTAGAGACTGTTTTTGTGTATTTTTTACTGACTTGGGAAATTTGTGTGAATGATTTTATTTGTAAATGTATCATTTATCATGTAATTTATTTTCCACATTGTCTCCAAATTGGACTGAGATATTTTTTTAGCTTGTGTGTTCATCAGTGTTTAAGAACATACTTTAAAGACTGGAAGACAGTTGAAAGTTTTCTGAGCATTGCTCAGTAAACAGAAATAAATTAAGAGTAATAAAACAGTGTAATTTGCGAAAATATTTTCAATTATTTTCATGTTATTTTAGGTATAAATATCTTAAATATTTGAAACATTTAAATTATTTTGAAACAGGATATAGTCAAATACCTACAAACTTTGATTGTTCTTGGTTGTGTTTGTTTCATGGTAGAAACATCAGGAAATAAGTTCTTAAAACTTAATTTCAATAATATATATCATGACTTTACGATAGTATTTAATATAGACTGAGACGCTCGTTTGGCATCAGAGAAATAAATTTCTGTGTAACCCAATTAGTGTTGGGAATTGGTTAAAATCTTATAATTGGTGATTGCTTCATTACAACCGATCAATCATCAAAAATAATTGGTTAGCGTCATTTATGAATTTTTCCTGGTTATTTTTGTTAATGCACAAAAACATAAAGAAAAAACATGTAGTTGTTAGGGAGTATATTTTGGCAAATTTCACATCTTGAAAGGATGACTAATATGTTAAGATAAATTCAATCATGACTTGGAACGAGCTTGTAGTGCTCATGAAATGTAACTGATAAAACCAACCTTGTGAAAAATATTGTTAATGCAAAAAGTGTTCCAGAATTGTTGAGAAAACATGATCGATTGCTTGGTCGTTTAGTAACTGCGACCAATCTTCGATTATTTCAATTAATCGGACCACCACTAAACCCAATATGTTATTTATTACACTATTTTATTGGCACTTATGTGAACCTTTTAATGGAGAGAAAAATATTTTGACAGTCTTTTGGTAAGTGTATGTACTATAAAATTAGTCCTTGAAAGGACGGGTTGGAGTTGTTGATTTTAGTTGATTATTTGTATATAGAGTTATGTTTTTATAGAACCAGGTGATAATTACTTAATATTGCTCACAATGTTTGTTAGAACAATTGATTTGGGTGATATTTCCTTCTTCCTCAACTGAGAAATCATCAGTGTTCTCAGCATATAAAAGGTGACAGGGTTTATCTAGGAATATTGTCAAAGTTCCTTTTGCTGGCAAATCGGGAAAAAATATCATTTTGTTCAAATTTGGGATATTTTAAAGTGCTTGTTTTTCCAAGGTATTTTAACATTGCATTCCGTGCAACAAAGTAAAACTAAGCATTAAAGCCTCTTCGTCTTTATGGGTCCTCTTATCAGAAATTAGCATTTCAAGGCCATAACCTTTGTTTTACTATTTTAACAATAATTTGGAAACATTAATTTCGAATTTATGAGTTGTAATGTAAATCTCCTGGTGTACTTGGTCACAGAAAGTTGCAGATGTTATAAATGTAGCATTGTTATGGCAACTAGTTAACACTGAAGAGATGGTCCAGTGAAACTGAAAACTGAAATACACTCTTTCAGCAATGCTTGTGGATATCAACTTTCAAGCAAATATGTGGGTATTATAATGAACTTTTTCTGAAAAAAAAAATGTACATTTCAGTTTGACAACTGAAAAACAAATATATGACTCTGATCTTGCATTGAAGGAATAAAATGTGCTTTTCTATTCAAAAGTAATGTAATGCTTGTTTGAACAATAATAGAAAAATTGTGATCTCAAACCAGTAAATGTCAAACCAGAGCACACCCCACCACCTATTGTCAAACCAGAATACACCCCACCACCAATAAATGTCAAACCAGAATACACCCCACCACCTATAAATGTCAAACCAGAATACACCCCACCACCTATAAATCTCAAAATCAAACTGTTGTTCCTTATTTTGAGCAAATGTGCAATATGTTCATTATTTGATGTAGCACTGGTCTGTTACTGTGTGATAGTATTTATTATTTATTTATTCTTGGACATTGTTTGTGATTTATGATGTATCATAACTTTAATATATACCAGATTATATTCAAGTGTGAGACGTCAACCAAGTTGACTGTAAAGGAAACCTTAGTCTGATTATGTCACATGTGATGTGCTGATGACACTTTCGGTAACATGCACCCAATATGAAGTCAGCACTGTGGAATGGCAAGAGATTCAGTTGTGTCCAAAGTGAACATGCACTAAAACCAACAACCGAAAAGCAGCCAAACTATGGAATATGTGCACAATAGAAATAGCAGCGTATGAAACTTCCCCAAATTTGAACTAGACCACAGGGCTGATAACTCTTAGGACACACCAGCCCCACTCAAAACCCACAAGTCCTATTAGTACCCGGTATATACACTGCAATTTGGAAAGTGGACAAGTGTAAATAACTATATTTGGGATTACATTTCCTCAGTGAAGTACATATATTACTTAATACAGTACAGTACTATCAACATAATAATATTAACCTGTCCATCAGGAAACATTTATATATTTTCATGCCCAGCTCGGGAGTTGGGTTTGACGCCTATTTCGAGTGGAAATAGCAAAGCAAATTCAAAACGAGACAATCCCCATAAAGAATGCATTGTATCGGGCAACACTTGCAATATTTTCAGTGGAACCAAATACAATAAATTGGGCAGACCTTGACAAACTGAGGGCAAATGCATTCAGTTTGTTACAGTTTGAAAACGTGGCAGGGTTTAATCATTATGATGCACTTTTTGTGGGGTTATATCTTTTATTAATTAGTGTGGCTATTTCTGTTTAATGTGTGAGCATATTCCATGGTTTGGTTGCTGTTTTCACTGGTAGTCCTGTCGTTAATCTGTCTATCCAGGACACTGATTAGAGATGTTATAGTTTCAAAGCACACATTATTTTATTATCAATAACCAACCCAGTAATTCTCACTATTAGGGAGCATCCATTGCGTACAGGGATGGAAATTGTTATTTTTAGAGCAGTCTATTTTTTTTTACCGAGCACCATCGAACAATCTATTCGTTTTCACTAATAACACACACAAAAATTGTTTTAAAAAAAACCCATTTTGTTCACCTCCCCATAGATTTTAAATGGATGCTCCTCTGGGCTGGAGGGCTGTGCCTTTTTTGCAAAGTCCTCTTTTCACAGAGAGTGTTCAAACAAAGTTGTAACTGACCAATAATGTCTACCAGGCATGCAAAAATACTAAAATGTATCATAAATGGCATTCATTGTACTGTCATAAGACAATGCTCAGTGTAATAGTAACCTTGCCATACTGTGGTGTAATCTAAGGTGGCCATCTGTGACAGCAATATGAGTTTTTCAGAACATGTAAAAGACAATAATATTTACATCTGTAGTGTAAACTTCCACCGATTGTTCAGTAAAACCAACTGATTAGTATGAAACCCAACACTGATTGTACAGTGTAACTCCACTACCTATTGTTGTAAACCTTGATTGTTCAGTTCACACTATGAAGCATGGTGTACAACCCCATTGATTGTACTGTTAAGATCCATTGACTGTGTTAACTTGCATGTTATAAAACCTCACTAATGGTTAAACCCCACAAAGGTGTTAAACCTCACTTACTGTGGTGTAAACTCCAACAGACCATCATGACCTTTCTTTGGTGTTTAACCTCACCGACTCTGTTGTAAAACCTTATGGTGGTACGAAACCCCACTTATTGAAGGACTAAACCCATGGTGTCCTCACTAACCCAGAATGTTCAGGTGTTTCACACCTGGTCACACACCTCACCTCTAACCATATGGATGAGAGGGTGATCATCCTGTGGACAGGCTTGGTCCCCACAAGCTTTCTCAGGGCTTGGGAGTCACAACCTTCACCAGATCTTGAGCAGTTTTGTGGAGCTGTCAGCTTGTACATCAGATATATTTTATTGTTTTGATTTTTCCTAGGAGGCCAGAGTTTTAGTAATATGTACCTTTACTTTTACCACACAAGTCTGTCCTTTTGGATACGTGGAATGTTTTATCTGGAAATAAAACCCTTGAATGGGATGTGGAATCTCTTTTCTTTACATGACGTTGTCAGTTGATCTCATTAGAGTCAAACATATGACTGTTTGTGTTGTTTAACATCATCCTCAGCAATCGTCCAGCTATATGAAGGCAGTGTGCAAGTAATAGTCTGGACAAGACAATCCTGTTACTGACATTATAAACATCAATCTGTGCAACCAAATAGGATGACATGCATCAACCAAGTCATGACCCTTGACACCTGATACTGTCCATCACTAAACAAGAAGCATGGGTTTCCGGGACCATATCCACAAAGTGTTCATAGCGTTACAGCTTATCGTAAGTCTTGACACCTGACACTGACCATCACTATACAAGAAGCATGGGTTTCCGGGACCATATCCACAAAGTGTCCGTAACGTTATGACCTATCGTAAGTCTTGACACATGATACTGACCATCACTGTACAAGAAGCATGGGTTTCTGGGACCATATCCACAAAGTGTCCGTAACGTTATGACCTATCGTAAGTCTTGACACATGATACTGTCCATCACTGTACAAGAAGCATGGGTTTCTGGGACCATATCCACAAAGTGTCTGTAACGTTATGACCTATCGTGAGCCTTGACACCTGATACTGACCATCACTATACAAAAAGCATGGGTTTCTGGGACCATAAAAACAAAGTGTCCGTAACATTCAAATATTGTGCTAATGTGGAGCAACTGAAGCAACCGTTTCAGCATTATGAGCAAATGCTTTAACCACTAAGCTACCCTGCCTCCCCAAATAAATGGGAGAAAGTTTATCTGATGCCTGAGAGGATATTTTGAAAACTATTTTCCATTGATTGGTCTACCACAGTGACAGGAAAATCAAAAGTTGTTCTGACTATAATTGTAATTTACATGAAGTCATGTAGTTAAATGTTTGTTGTTTAATGCTGCACAGACCAATATTCCAGCTATATGCCAGTGGTTTGTAATTAATCGAGTCTGGATCAGACAATCCAGAGATCAACAGCATGATTGATCTACACAATTGGGATTATAAGATGACATGTGCCAACCAAGTCAGCGTGCTGTAAGCTTTTTATTCCGTGCTGACAGTTGCTGAGAGAGTATCAATCAACATCAATCGGTAAATTGCTACAATAAGAAAACAGATAATTACTTATATTGCCAAAACATATTACAATCTAAAGTTCTAAACACATGAGCCAAAATACACACTTTTTCCTAGCCAAAGTTAGCAGAAAGAGATTTTATGAATGCTTCATTCAGTTTGAAAAGCACATGGCATGAACTCTGAAAAGAGTCTGAAAGAAATTCATACCAAATTTACATTAAATGATCGAAATATGGATTAAATTGTACTGCAAAACATTATTAAACATATTGAGTGTGTACTTACACCATGGGGAACTGGAGTATGGCATGCAATGCCTTAGAACCAAATTACTTTCATGAAAAAATATCGCGTGTGCGATCGATGACAAAACTGAAACCTAAAACCAGCTGCTTCCGGTGTGATGCGACACAGAAGATTGCGCAGTGCATACCGCTAAAATAAATTGCGCAAAACATACCGCTAAAAGTGAGTGAATGAGTTTAGTTTTATGCCGCAATCAGCAATATTCCAGCTATATGGCAGCGGTCTGAAAACAACCGAGTCTGGACCAGACAATCCAGTGATCAACAGCATGAGCATTGATCCACGCAGTTGGGAACCAATGACATGTGTCAACCAAGCCAGCGAGCCTGACCACCCGATCCCGTTAGTCGCCTCTTACGACAAGCATGGGCTACCGAAGACCAATCCTTACCCAAACACGGGTTCGCTAAAATATACAATACATACAAACTTGTCACATGTGACACCACCTCCCAGGGATCATCACATAGGAAAACGCTGGACAGGTAATATTGTGACAAGGGTCATAAGAGTGCCAGATCTCCTGATCTTCAGTGGAGATACCTGCTTTTGTTGTCTACTTAAGTAAAGGTGAGCCTAGGGGCGGATACAGCTTTTTGAGAAAGGGGGGTGCACAGTTCATTTTCAACCATTTTCACGTGAGTTTCAATGGTCATTTAATAAACTTTCAGGACAAAACCCCTGCCATGCCCAGCTAACATCAACAAGGGGATAAATCAAGACCTGTTGGCGCAGAGTCGGTTTCATATGTCTGTGTTGGGTACAGAATGAGGTAAACTCATATTATCCTAAGGTCACCGTTTTGTAAAATATTGTTGTACACATATGTATGAAAGTTGAAGACTCGGTCGAGTTGACTTATTCTTTGCGCTCAGAGGACTGGCGAAACGGAATGTAAGCGCAAGTATTGGATCTGAAATTGCTTAGCACATGTCCATGGTACTCCGATCATGTGTACAATACAGATCGCGTAATACTTTAAATATTCTGCTATCACATTTACTACATGAAAGGTTTGACCTGGTTGTTTCTAGAGATAAATCAAGCAATCGCATTGCTAACAAACTACTGCCCGCCGCTGAATACACACTCTTGTACAGCGCATGTGTATAGGCCGCGTTTTCCCCATAAGAAAACTCGTTCAGAACAGGCGCATCGCGGAGCGGAGCTTTATCTTTGCCGCAGCTCCAACACAAAGCTTGCGGCAAACGCTGCACGAGGTTGCTGTATATTTCACTGCGAGGAGCTTACTTATTTGAAATGAAACCGATCAACTCGACCAGTAAGAACAATCGACATTTTGTGATGATGTTAAACGTGCATGTATGTGCGTACTTCTATATAAAAACAGAGGGAGGTTCTATGCAAGATAACATTACTGAACTTCTGCATTGTATCATTTAAAACACCAAGCTTTTTAGGATATCCTTATACTGCTTTACTTATGATCTTTCTTTTCTTTCTATTTTTAGGAATTATTATGGATATATACGCTTGTGGATTTAATGGATTTCAACAAATATCTCTACTTCATGAACGGGATGTTCAAAACGAATCCACACAGATCAATGTGCAGCCATATTTTGACAGCCCAGTCAAACTACATGTGACAACAGATTGTCTCTCGAGTTGTTTGATCACGTGGTCAAAACTACGTTTTCGATGTAACTCAGGTAAAAGAGGATAAATATACATGTATATGACAGCGAGAAAAATATTTCAGATGTATGCAGACAAGCTGATACAGCGAGAAAAATTCATATAGGGAAATTATGGACATATGCAATTTTGATAGACATTTACCGAGCTCAAGTGAAATGGGAAATTCATATAACTACGAGCCCAGAATAACTGAGAAATCAAGAAATATGAAAGGGACATTCTGATCAATGAGAATATTAAAATCAATTTTTTCGGAATATTTGAAACATTTTTCAGATGACATGTACATGACATCGAGCCTGTAATCTTACTTACGTAGGAAGTCTTGACATGATCCATTATACATTGTTTAATATTCAAACCTCGAAAATAAGCATTTTGGACACATTTTAACCTTATCCCTGTATCTTGTGCTTTTCTGTTTTGAGGATTTATTGTCATGCCAACTTCTAAGCGTGGCTTGGTTTATTCAAGTCTCATCGGTCAAGAGACGGGCGGTATGATACGTTCTGTCATTGTGGCCGAACATGGCGACTGATGAGTATGTACAGTGTACGTATAAAGGGGGGCAGTGTTGTTTCCAGAGTCTACTCCCACGGAAGATTCATGTTGTCCCGTGGCGGCAAGCTGGAACAGGACGGTTTACAGGACAGCAGCAGGACAATATCTCGTCGGGGGCGGGACTGACGTGCCCAACCCAATGCGTGTAGACGTGGATTCTCGGGTAGACGATGTTGTAGGAGGGGAGGACAGGTTATACTGTATACACGGTACGTTTGTAATACTGCAGAACAGTTCAGTTTCATGGCTATTTGGCCCTGTTAGAGCTGGTCTCTGGCAAAGTCTGCTGATTGTTTGAGGCGTGCCGTAATATAGCTAGAATACTGCTGTTAGACAAGAAAACCCTAAACTACAAACTCAGACTTTAGAGGCGACTTAATGACTGAGTAGCCAGGCTCTCTAAATTGATTGATTGCGTGATGTGATTGCTCATAGTATCAAGCACTGGATCGTCTGGTCCAGACACGTTTGTTTAGAGGCCCCATCGTATATGAAGTAACTGTCACATTACTATTTATCTATAATGCTAAGGGGGCGGGGGCGTAGCCTAGTGGTTAAAGCGTTCGCTCGTCACGCCGAAGACCCGGGTTTGATTCCCTACATGGGTACAATGTGTGAAGCCCATTGCTGGTGTTCCCCCGCCGTGATGTTGCTGGAACATTGCTCAAGGCGCCGTAAAACTAAACTCATTATTCATTCACTACGATGCTATGTAATGCCTTGAAGGCACCAGGGAATAGCCGGTTGTTTAAAGCGTTTGGACTTCCCTCATCAGTCTTAAGGCATGGGTTAAGTATCTTTCTGGTAACCACCTCTGGTACAAGTCCAGATACTTTCTTGTCATTCATATCGTGGTTGTGGTCATATGCGGCCCCGTCGTCTAATAATCGTCAACTCGCTTGCAGACCCTCAGTCAGGCAAGCCAGAATCTAGAATCAGGGCTCCGTTTCTCAAAGCGATCAAGTCAAAACATCGATTACACAACTCTCGCTTCCTGCTGACTTGGTTACGTCCTATTGCGCAACTTAGTACAATAACCAGTCCAGAATTTTAAGACCAACTCATTAAACTGGATATATAGACATTAATGAGTAGTATTTGATACATCTATTCACTTGTATATTGCAACACTACGCTCCTTTTAAGTCTTGCAAACACGTCGTGCAGTGGGCTCTGTCGTAACGTGCTCTGACAAACGGAAATTTTGAAATCGTTGAAATCTCCAAACGAGGCTCGGCCGCTAGAAAAGTTTGGCGGTATTTTACGGCCTTGATATTAGATCGATCACATTGTACGTAACAAAAATACACTTAATAAGCGCAAAGAACACATAACAGGTGTAACCAGTGAGCCAGATGCATTGTGAATCATTTAATGACCTCTTCTAACAGGGGCAGTCTGTGACGTCTTAGTTAACGACAAGCTGCCTAAAACTCAACATAAAATATAGAATAAAATTTCATTAAACTTTTAAATTAAGATTAATTTGTAAATACCACTTTCTTATGAAGCAAGGAATTCGAATTCAGTGTAACCATAGTTGTTTGTAGTGTCTCTTTTTACTTTCACACGAGAAAATTCGGATCGGCTGAAAAGTAGTCATTGTCTGAATTGGTTAATTAGACTTATGTCTCGGTTTGGTAGCGCTGTCGTAGGTCAATGTTAAACCATAGTCGTAACGTTACGATCGCTTTGTGAAATGGGTTCCTGATTGTGGCTCTAGGTTTGTCAGGTCCATACCCGTGGTCAATGGCTTCTCCAAGATAATAGACACCTCGGACCTGCATCACTTCCGGCAGCGACAGCACCAACAGGCACGCCGTGATATAAATGGCATTGAACCAATCTTGAACCATTTTTGGTACCGGAGAGATGCTGGCTGTGACGATAAGGGAAGGACAAGTGTACATACAAACATACAATGTGTAACCGACAAATGATGATATATGATAATTAGAGTATTTGTATAGCGCTGACTTCTACCACACAAGACCAATGCTAAAAGCGCTGACAAGTAAAGTTCCCATGTACAAGAAAATACAAGGATTTATGAAACATAGCGTTGAAAAATGTGTGTTTTCAGTCTGGTTTTGAAAGTGGCAGATCTGGTATTAGTTTTAGTTCGAGAGGCAGAGAGTTTCAAAACAGCTGCGTACTGAAAGGACTCCGCGTCAAACGATTAGAGTTTATAAGTAGGCATGGACAAAAGAAACTGATGGTGGGAACGGAGAGTTCTGGAGGGAGTGAACAGCGTGATCAGGTCTTGAAGATAGGCAGGTCCCATTTTGTGAATTGCCTGACAAGTATTTTGAATTTAAAATTCAGTCACCGTATGAATGGGCCAGATCAATCTAATATTTGTGGAATTGATTACTTAACGAACTCTCTGGACACGTCCTTGGGGTACATATATGCTGTGACTGCTAATTTCAGATGGCGGAAGACTTTCAGAGATCGTGGATGGTGGCACTGGCAGTGCAGATGATAACCCACGTGAAGCCTCGGATGGAAAGGTTGCGTTTTTGAGACAAGTTTTCACACTCTCTCCAGTTACCAGCCTGTCTTGTGGCAAAGAACATGTTGTCTTCCTCACGAAACACGGCCATGTTTACAGTTTTGGACTTGGGAGGTAGGTAGTTGAATTATACGGTGGTCATGCCATTTGTTATTTTTTACAATAAATGTTGACCGTATTCCTACTTGTACTGGAGTCGGTGAGGACAGGGAAAGGTTTCCCGTGTTGTGTTCAAATGGACAAGCGATAATGGGGAATATCTTTACGTGTACTACATCTGACAGTTACTGGTCATGAATTAAGGTCACGTATAAGTTTGTGACAGTTTTTCACTGGGCACAATTTCACGAACATATGATGGAATAATTTTAAATGAAACAGCGTTATTCCGTGGTGATCGTTTCTATCCGCTACTTAATATAATTTTTGTGTATTTTTATGGAGTTATAAACGTAAAAGCCATTTGCACAGTATATATTTATCATAGCGTATTTCCAGAGTGTGTTTAATAGATTCCTCCATATTGAAGTCAGTTTTTAGTATTCCTTTTATCATGCCTGGATGACCCAAACAGTACAGGTCTGGAATCTAGTGGCAAGACGAATGTGGTCCCGATTAACGGGATCAGGAATAACGCGGATCAGACGTACATAATCCATATTTAGTGGTTCAGATTAACGTGAATCAACCAGAGGGGGTCCAGACTTAGGTGAAGCGGACTAACGGGTCCACTGTGTGTTGTAGCCGTGGTCAGCTGGGTCACGACTCTGTGGAAGAGGAGACGGAACCGAGGATGGTGGACTCTCTCGACGGCCTCCGTGTTGTTGGCGTGGCAGCCGGGGGATGGCATTCGGCCGCCATCACAGGTACTGTGTATACTGACTGTAGAGAACAACTCATCTCAATGTCTTTGCTTGTCAATCTTGGATTGGGTGGTTTGTGTGACTCCAATTTATCCGTTCATGGTCAAAGTACAAATCACTTATTGGCCAAGACTGAATTATTTGCCTGCAGCGTGAGCCTCGTGAACCGCAACAAGACTATGAAAATTTACCTTGTTACGAAAACGTATTTGGTTTTGTTTATTCTGTTATTTTGATCATAGCTATTGTCCGTAAGAAATAGGGGCTGTGCTGGGGTGATAGGTTGTGACATTCGTGATTCCCAAATCTAAGTTTCAAAGCTAAGTACCACCATTATTAACAAATGAAACGGTGTTTCGGAGCTCTGTTAAGTTTTTCAGACCTTTTGCGTCTATAATAATTACATGTACTTTTTTTGTGTGCATTATTTTTGCCTTTTGTATCCCAACGAACGCAATTACGTTTTGCTCTTCTGTGATGTGTGCGTTTTATTCAGATGATTGATTTAAATCCTTGCTTGTAGCAAGTGGTGATCTGTTTACATGGGGATGGAATGAAAGTGGGCAACTTGGCCACTCGACTGGACAGGTGCTCGGCGCAGATGCCACTACATTACACGATGTTAGCATAGGAAGGACGGCTGGAGACACACCAAATCATGCGCAAATCTGCCCAAACAAAACTTCTGATCCTGAGTCGGTACAAGTGAAAGATGCAGACCAAAACATTCGTCAGCTATCACAGACTGTTATAGTCAAACAAAGCCACGACTTTTCCCTTAATTTTGAAGACAAGTGTTCCAATCCAACACAACGTCTTCCAGTCTGTTCGGATCCCCTCAATAAAGAAATATCAAGTCTTGGAGCCAGTAAGCAATTAGCAGAACCCCAGAACTCCATCGTCATGGACGAAGTGGAACTCAATTCTGGATGTGGAGATGGTGCAACAGTTGGACAAGGGACGAATGCAGATGAGGATCAGGGAAAGCTTGTAGAACAGGATCCAGGGAAGGTTGTAGATGAGGATCAGGGGAAGCTTGTAGAAGATGATCCGGGGAAGGTTGTAGAAGAGGATCCGGGGAAGATTGTAGAGACAGATAAGGGGAAGTTTGTTGATGAACTACAGGAGAAGTTTGTCGATCAGGCCAGACTGTCGCTGATAAGTTCCCCGCTGTTGGTGACGTCACTGCCAGACGACTACACGGCCGTCAAGGTGTCGTGTGGATCTCGCCACACTGCCGTTGTCACAGGTATGTTTGCCATGTGCTTTAGAACCCTATATGCAAGTTTACCTTATCCAGCTATAGCTCACAATCAGCTTTTCGGTTGTGAGTCGGGTTTAAAAAATTCAAAGCTTAAGATTATGTTCATCGGAATCTGTCTGGCAAAGATACAATTCAGTTTGATTTGTGTCTATTCCTGACTTTAAGGTACATTGTACGTGTTATCATGTTTAATATATTCTGTTAGTGTATGCTTTCAACTGTTCCTAACTTACACTGGAAAACAGTTGTCTAAGATTCGCTGTACAGAGTTGCCTCCCTCGGGCTTGACAGAAACCCATGATCGTGGGTTGGATTCCCGGACCTAGGTTTGTCTGCACAGACCCCTGTAAATTTCCAATACCTCATCACTTCGGGCTTTCCTTCCAGATTAAGCCTACTCACATTGTGGCGTTGACACCAGGACCCGATTTCTCGAAACACACAAGTTTGAGTTTGACAAGTTGAAACAGCTGAAGTTTTAACTCAACTGCATTTTTGAATTAAAAAAATGGCAAACAATTTAAGTAATATATCCACCAAACTCAAATTGTCTACTATGTTTGAGTTTGATGTCGATTACAGTCCATTCTGGGAAATGCATTTTCCTGCGTTTCCTCAAATTTCAAAACTCAGACTTAAGTTTGTTTCCAGAAATCGGGGCCAGCTCACTCAAATAGTTGGTCCTTCGTTTCCCTTCTCTGACCCAATTATTTACAGATCGCTGCCATATGGCTGAAATATTGCACAAAGTGTGGCGTAGAAATTAAATTCAATCAATCAATCGTTTCCCTTCTTATGACTGCTGTTCGATAGTTCCAAACTGCCTTTTTGTTAGGGGTGGGTATTGCAGAGAATATTCATCTTGCGATATATTGCGATGCGAAAGCATGTATTGCGATATGTATTGCAATATATTGCATGAAGTATTTTTAAACAAAAAACTACTTATAATCGAGTTACTGCGTGATTTATAGAGCAAAAACACAACAAAATCACTATACTTGATTAAGCTTTAATAACATCTTTTAATCATGATAAAATAAAAATGTGAATAATATTTGGCACAAATGAAACAAGGAGCATATCCGAAGATTTCCGAGTGTTACGACGTTTTCCGAATGCCAGTCAAAATACCGGTTTTCGATCAGCGTATCGCAATACGTATCGTTTCATGTCTGAATCGGTAAATACCGGTAAACCAGTTATATTGCGCAGCCCTACTTTTTGCATACCATTTAAGAATAATTATCTGTTCAATAACATAAGCACAGGGTCCTTTCACGCTTCAGCTTACATCAAACTCATCCTACTTGAAGTAACTGACTTCAAACATGTAATATACCTTTCAGATGACGGTGTTTTGTATACATCAGGATGGAACAAGTACGGTCAGTTAGGCCATGGTCACACAAGGTCATCTGATGTCTTTAAACTTGTGTCCTTGACATCAGTCAAGGTTATTGACGTGAAGTGTGGATGCTGGAACACTGTGATCCTTTCAGAAAATGAGACTTCATCCGTTGCATGATAAACACAACACACTCCTGGCCGTTTTGCGGTTATCGTTACTGCAAGAAGGGAATCAAGACAACAGACTGTGTTCTTTGACACATGGAATGCTTGGAAATATAAAATTTATATTTTCCTATGTTACGTTTTCACTACAGTTGATTACATTCACTTTTCTGGAGCGACAGTCGAATGCCTAGCTACCATTATTAAAAAAAGCCGGGCTTACACATGATTGTTGCTAAAAAGGTTGGGCAAGCCATCAATACTATCTAAATATAAAGCTTTGCAACCTATCGGGCTTACACGAAAGAATTGGCTTGCTGCGCGCCTGGCCTTTGATGATGAACGAAGTTAATGAGAAAATCATTACAGCATAACCTTTTTAAATCGAAGTCGAGGAACCATTAATCTTCGACACAAAGGCTGAGAGTCTTTAATTTGTTCACCGACAGCGTTATTTGTATATTTTTACTATTATAATCGTGTCTATATAAGTTGAGAATGAAAAGTTGACTAAAGGAATCCACACCGTATACAAGAAGTTACCGTTTCATAATTAAGATTATTTCTTGTATCAATATGTACATATTTTGTTTGCAGTTATTTTCTAAATAACAGGAAATAGTTTGGTCGTCTAAGTTCCTCAGTGGATGGGAGCAGAGACATTAACTCGAAACGCCAACACCAGAGAATCACTAGTCCTGAACATCAGCCGAAGTCCTAAGAGGCAAATTAAAGGCACAATATCACACATTTTCGACAACATTTTAGCCTATATTATATATATTGGGGCATATACACTGACTTTTGCTGCCTATCGATGCAATAAAAGACTTATTATGCCTTATGACCTGCCTGGAATCGATATTTGAAACTTCGAGGCGAACAGCTTCCGAACGGAAACACTTGCCATATATGGATTGTAAACAATTGCTCCGTACATTGACAACTGTCGTACGCGGTGTTGTCGGTGTTTGCCGAAGTGGTTTTCATTCACAAGTTGTGGGTAGGATATTTGTAAATTGCGCTCCAGGGAACATGGCTTTATGGTGTTCGCTTGAAATAATGTTCGGTCGGTAGAGGGCGCGAGAGTCGTTTTAAAGCAGCGTTGCATTAATTCATTCGAACTTTTTAATTTAATATTGTAATCTAAATACGTAATTTTGGGGGGAATTAATTATATGGTAGCTTCTTCCCCGAGGGCTGATAGTTATTATTATTGAGAGAAATGCATTTTGTATTTTTAGAGACATGTGGTGTGACATTGTGCCTTTAATAATGAAAAGTACCCATTAATGGACCACTGTAAGTGAGTAATAACGTCAGGTGATCGTGAAGAGAGTAAGCACGAACCAACTCTCACTGTAAGTTTAACTGTTAAAGTACTGTCGGAAATAGAAAAAAACAAACCGTTTTTTCACATTTATATCTACAATTTATGAAGTTAATATGTGAAAGTGTGAAATATCTGTTAAACTAAGTTCTGCCTAACCACAGTCTCAGTGGTACGGAGATAGGAAACGTGGAAAAAGGACTTTACTGAGGAGAGATAAGTGCAGAAATGAGCAATGCGGTTTTTTTCCAAGTCCAAAGCGACTTATTTAGAACAGACCATGGCATTATGCAAAATGGTGTGCGATGATATTGTATTTCCAAGGACACGTTTTAAATGCCTATTGTGAAACTACACTTAGCTTCATTATAAACGATAGCTGACGTAAAAAAATACTAATTTTAATACAGAAACTATTAAGGATGTAGCTACCATGGAGCCTCACTATCACTGTAAAAACAAACAGGTAGGAGGGTTCGTCTCAAAAGCAAAACCAGGACGAGTATCAGAGACGGTGGTTGGGGTCGTACTGGGGGATAGAGATATTAGCTAAGATCAGATAATCCTTTAGGGGAATTAAACTGGGGTTAGTAAACGGCATGTCTTAACAATTAACAAATAATATCCAGTCCTGTCGATCTTGGGGTGGTCTTGCCACCTATATATTTAGAGACATTTAATACTATAGTTGATTTAAGCATTTCTATGGGTATCATATTCTTTTACATATCTCAACATAAACGTTATGAAAGACACGTAAGATGACAATCAATAGATGTGACATATTCAATACACATGGAAAAAGCATAAAATATCTTTGAGATGACCCCTTGTGCCTGTAGGCAGCACATGCATTTCACAGGTGTGCACATAAATCATGAAGTCCAAAGGTTATAAGGAAATGCTTGTTAGGGACGGGGGTGGGAAGGAAAGCGCGCGCGCACGCACGCACGCACACGCACACACCTCTGGATCCGCTCCTGACATGCATTTTATATAACACACATCAACGCATTTACTCTCTTTATTCCGACCGCCTCCGTGGTGTAGTGGTTAGAGCGTCCGCCCGGAGAGCGGAAGGTCGCGGGTTCGATCTCCGACCGGGTCATACCAAAAAACGTTAAAATATGGTACTTGTTGGTCCCTGCCTGGCGCTCGGCATTAATGGGTACAACAAGGACTGGTCGGCTCGGAGTCAGTATAATGTGTCTGAGTGGGGTATTCATGCTTCACTGCGGCATGGTATCTCAGTGGGCTAGCAATATAAAACCAGCTTCAGTCTGGGCTAGTACAAGCAGCCGCACATACACATACACACGCATGCACGTCGTCATATAAGCGAAATATTCTCAAGCACGACGTTAAACCCAATTTCACCTCACCTCACCTCACCTCACCTCACCTCACCTCTTACGACAACATGGGTTGCTGAAGATCAATTTTGACCCAGACTGTTTTACAGGCCCAACATATTTGTGAACCTGTGAGAATGGTTACTGAATATATTCATAGTCAGTCTCATGATATCGATTAGGGCTCATTCCAAATATTATAGACAAAACAATGTCTGTCGCCAATATCAACTGGTCTCTGCATAAGCCGTACCTTAGAGAGGGAATTGCCAGGTTACACTGAATCCCTATAGCTATTGAATACACGCACAGAAGTTGGCATAGACGTTGGCAGACGAGTTCGATGCTTAAGAATTATTTTTTGCGCGGAAAACCTTGAAATCGTATATACATATTGACAATAGTGCGTGACCTCGACTAGATGGATACCAAAAGACCAACTGTCGTTTATTTCCCGATTTCAGTATGTCTCATGACAACGTTGTCAGTCAAGCAGAGAGTTAATAAATTGACAATAGTTAGCGCATCATGGAATTGGCTCAAATGAATCACTATCTTCAGCAGCTGATGACCGTCAACAATACAACGTCAGTCCTCAAATATTGACAGCCTCAGCCAGATGAGGACTACCAAGTCGTCTGTAGTCAACTGAGTTGTTCCGACAGATATTAGAAGGTCACCAGCTGTCATCAGCAGAGCGTGTTTTAAATGAAGGAAATCTTCTGCGTCCCCAGATCTACATGTTTTTTCCAAAACACCAATACTAATATTACTAGGAGATTAGGTTTTTTGAAATGCGTTTCCCTCCTGGTAAGGACCACATTCGCTCTGTATCGCTGGGACCTTAGACATGCTAGTTGTCTGTCTCAACTTTCCGCCCAACCCTTTCTGCAATGCAATAGATCAAACTGAAGCAAGTCTGGGGCTAATTAGGAATAAACAGAGTTATCTATTCCTATCAAATTTTCCTATTTTCAGAGACTTTGTATAACTTGCCAGGATCCTGTAATTATGGATCCAAACATGCCCCGGATATGCTTATTGGTTTTGCAAGACCATACCTATATTTCTGAATTTCTCCCACATTAGACAACTGTTTTAAGATCCCATATTCAATTTGCATGCTGTGTAGCCTTTTCATGGCATTTGTTTGGACTTTGTGCATGTGCTTGTTTGTTCCTTGTTTCATTTGTATGGGCTGGGTCTGTTCAAGATGAAATCCATCTATGCAGGATACATTGATTATTTTCTGACTAACACAGAAGTAGCGAATGAAGTTACCTATGTTTTGTTTGTACCATAAGCTCCCGTTTTTCTGATGACTTGATTTGCGTGTGTTTGCCTGAGAACGGGTACTAAAGGTAGGTCAAAATGAACTAACAAGTCAAAACATTGATTACACAACAGTCTCGTTTCCTGCTGACTGAGTTTCGTCGTATTGCGCAACAGAGTACAATAATCAGTCCAGAATGTTGAGACCAATTCATTCAATTGGATACATAAATATTAATCAGTATTATTTGATACATCTAAGCACTTGTATATTGCAACACTACGCTCCTTCTAATCCTTACAAACACGTCGTGCATTTGTCTGTCTGGCACGGACTTGATATTATATCAATCACATTGTGCGTTACACAACTACACTGAATAAGCGCGAAAAACACATAAGAGGTGTAACCAGTGAGCCAGATGAATTGTGAATCATTTTACGACCTCATCAAACAGGGGCAGTCTGTGACGTCTTAGTTAAGGTCATGCTGCCTACACCTCGCCATAAAATATAGAAATACGATGTGATAAAAGTTTAAAATTAAAATTTACTTGTAAATACCATTTTCTTTTGAAACAAGGAATTGGAATTCAGTGTAACCATAGTTGTTTGTGGTGTCTCTTTTCACTTTCACACGGGAAGATTCGGATCGGCTGAAAAGTAGGTCATTGTCTGAATAGGTTAATGAGACTCATGTTTCGGTTTGCTTTTCTGCAAACACAGTTCAAATAATGATGGGTGTCATGTTGATATCTTGTTTTCCCTATTGTTGAAATGCCACACAACTACATCCTAATCACTATATTTCACCATGGTTAAATTTATATAATGTTTGTACTGTAAACTGATCAACGTGTATTTATGATAATGAATTTATGCTTGATATTATGCAATATGGAAAGTCTAATCCAAGTACATTGTATGTACGGTGAGCATGTGAGGTCTTTTAATTTGCATGATTACATTCTCCAATTATCCATGGGGTAGTGGAATTAGAGAAAAGGTGGGAGGTATCTGTTCAAGGCGTTGATACGTTTATACGTCTCCAGACCTCCAGATAACCTGCAGCGTTGCTTAAAATGCTAAATCAATACATTTGAAAACAAGCATACTTCAAAGAACTTTGAAAAGTTTACAATTCTGTGCGTAAGTGAGTAATGCAGCTTTAAGCAGGTTTCGATCACAAGTATTTTTACAGATATACTCATGCCAATAATGGTTGTCACCCCCTTCAATTTTATTTATTGGAGAGGGGGTGTGGGGTGTTGGGGTGTTGAGGGGGGTGACAACCATTATTGGCATGAGTATATTTTGTTATTGATTGAATACAGGAATCATGAATCAAGAACTGCATTGTATAATGCAAGGATGCGAAACATGTCGCAAATTGTAATGTTGTCGTCAGTTAACACCCAATAAACCAGAAGAGACTAATAACATAAAGCATGACCTAAACAGCTATCAAACCCCAATGTGAATGACAACATTTAAGCCTGTAACATCTGTAGCTATTTTCTCCCATTCTCATTTGTCTAAAGAACTGACAATGAGGTGAAGTGAACTGAGTAAGCTGGTGACCCAATGGAAACCTGTCCGCTTGCAGAAAAATGTTTTCTTAGCCAGGCCCTCATCGGTATGAGCCTTGATTTCAAATGAAGGAAACGTGTATAAGCAATGAAAACATTTGAAAATTTAAAAATTCACAAATGTTTCCCCACCTAAGGAAATATTCATATTTCGAACCCAAGTAAACTTAGTAAAGAATCGGAAATTACAGCACCTATCACAATCAAAAGGAATGTATTGGAAATGTACTGTATGATTAAGCATTTCAGATCAATATGAGGAGTGTCTATATTTGGTGGTAGGATACCAATAAACCTTTCTGGTCAGTGTGTTATATCTATCGATTGTCATGCATGTCTCGCTGTACTTTTGAAGGCTGGTCGTTAAAAATGTACCCCAGAAGTTCAAAGGTTTTGTTATGTAGTTCCATTCCACCTACTGCAATGACCTAGTATACTTATACAACCATTTATTGAACAGTTCATGAAGTTGATGGTAATCCAGAAATGTAACATTTAAAGTTACACAATTGTGATGTGTCGAGAAGAAAAATGCATATTATTATTTAAAAAATGACTTGTGTTGTAAACGGAAGAGTATACACTATTGAGGGGAACCTGACATATCCAACAATTGTTTTTAATATACATAAATTATATATTTTCTATATGTTACCGCAATGTCCTCAGTAAATAATTGTGGGGTTAGGGGTAGTCGAGTGGTTAAAGCGTTAGCCCGTCACGCCGAATTGCGAGTTCGATTCCCTACAACAAAGTGGGTACAAAATGTGAAGCTCATTTGTGTTGTGCTCAGCTGTGATTTTACTGGTATATTGCTGACAACCATACTTAGTCACTTCATAAATCATAACACTATCTTCATTTTGTAATAATATATTTTGTAGATTTCAACTGAAACTGGTCATCTGTTCACGTTAGTCACGATAATAAGGTGTCTTGTTATACAAAAATGTTTCAACTGTTCGAAAAGGCCATCGCATATATTTTTTTTATTATAGCATATTTATATAGCGCACATATCCACGCAACTGGTGCATGCTCAAGGCGCTGGTATTTTTTCCCTCGATCATTGGATGTCATTCTCAGCGGCACATATTATTATCAATCTCAACTCCCTGTGGAGTATACAACTCCTGCTGCCACTAGGCGCATCGAGTTATTGTGGCTTTCTCATCCTTACGAGGTACCCATTCACAGCTGGGTAGACTGGGACACAGTCACAGTACTTTGTCCAAGTTCACTGCACGCTGCTGTACCCGCAACTAGGTGTTTGCACATATTCATGTGGCCGCCATCTGGTCATATACCAACGGATTCGTGGGTTCTTTTAAGTGCACAGGGTTGTGTACTGTACACTAGGGGTTGTGACAACTCGGAAAGAGTCTGGTAGACTCCCGGCACCTCAAACTCGCTGGATCATTAGCCTGGCGCCTAAGCCTGCTAGCTAAGCCAGCCGCCCCAATGTTACTTGTATGGTTTGTCTTAATATGACACATCACCTGTCAATGTGGTCTGTGGTTTATGCCTGTAATCATTGGTAATATGGAAGAGAGCCACGCAAAAGTGTTTCAACAAAATAAATTCAAATGCCCCTCAGAGGGTATACAAGCCCACATCATTCAAAGAATATTCATATATGTCACCGTTTTTAATAGTAATATATTTGTACATTTTAACCTGCAGGAAGCAACCCCCCACGATATCTTGCCCACTTTTATACTGTGTTTGTCAATGAATAGTTTAATGTTTTAATGTTCTCAAACTAGTTTTAATACTATATGTGATAATCTAGTAGTAATACAGTCTTTCGATGACAGCTTTTCATAAAGTATACATATATTTTGTTCTCACTGCTGACTTTCTGTCGTCGCGATATGGCTGAAATATTGTCGATGTGATGTAAACCTTTAACTCACTCACGCACTCACACTCAAATGCCCAAATGGAAGATAACCCGATGCTAAAAGTTTACTGCACCATCATGCTTATTGTAACCATAGCGTCTTCAACATCAGAAGAATACATGCGTATTAGCAGCATCCTTGTATATTCACACACAAACAAACTAAAACTAAAAAAGTAGATGTTTTTGTCAGTTCGCCAGTTACTGCCAGTGTGAAAAACACGACGAATGAATCACCTCGTTTCATTTGTGGCTATGGCCCACACTAGTAGTAGGTTAAGGGTTTGTGTATACTTCCTTAAGAGGCATTTAGAAGTTGGAGGATATGATATCTTGACGAACAACGTCTTTAACACATTCATTTGCACTTAATTAAAAAACATTAATTTAGCAAGGATAAAGTGAGTGAGTTTAGATATGCCGCTTTTAGCAACATTCCAGCAATATCAAGGCGGAGGACACCAGAAATCGGCTTCACACATTGCAACCATGTTGGGAATCGAACCAAGGTATTCTGTGTGACGATCAAACGCTTTAACCACTGGGCTACCCACCGCTCCAATAGGGATAAAGACAAGCAGGTAAATTGTAAACTTTTGCTTTGCATCACTGATTCTATTTTTCAGGCAGATCACTGTCCCACAAGACCACAAGTAACATGTTTTTACGAAAGATACAGAGCAGTCTACAACGTCTTAAAAGTATCAGACCAGTTGTAACTGCCAGAAGAAACAACACACAAAGGAAAGGCTACGTACCCTATGGTCAAACAGGGTGTGGAAATTATGGGTTAACGTTCAGCCCTCAGACAGTCCAGTTAATGAACCCGGTGAAGGACAAGCTACTGAAACTGGTGCCAGGGATTCCCTTCAACGAGCATGTGTTCAACATCGGTGACTACGGCACAGGAGATGGAGCAACTTCAATGACGTTCCTGAAGGAGTTGTTGGATATTCTGAAGGAACGCCATGGTTCTGAACGGCAGTTCCAAGTTATCTACGAAGACCAGTCTTTAAACGACTTCAATTCTTTGTTCAGACGTCTTTCAGGGGTTATCCCTGATCCTCCACCTTACCTTTTGAACATGGACAATGTCTTCGCTTTTGCAACAGGTGTACACTTCTATAAACAGTGTGTACCGTCCGACTCAATGCATTACATCATGTGTATGATCGCTGCCCATTGGCTGTCCAAGACACCGGTCCTGTACAAGGAATCCCTGTGTATCTACCCTGACAGTTCTGCAGAAGAAAAGAAGGCCCTTCGTGATCAGAGTCTCTCAGACTGGGAGACGTTCTTGTTGATGAGAAGTAGAGAGCTAAAAAGAGGAGGAATACTGGCTGTCTCCCTCACCTGCGAATACGTTGATGAAACAATCGGTCGAATCTCGTTTACCTTGCAGAACCTTGTGTTTCTAATGACACACCTGTGGCGGGAATACAGAGATACGGGAAAGATTACTAACAAGGAATTCATCAACACCAATATAGCATACTGTCATTACAACATGGAGGATCTGAAGGCACCTTTTGAAAATAACACATCTGCAGTTTGGCAATCGGGTCTACGCCTTGTTTCATCTGACGTGGTCATCAACAACGACGTCTTCTACTCCGCCTGGAAGGAGAAGAAGGACCTGGAAGGTGTTGATGACAGAGATGGATTCGTCAGGGCGTATGTGGCCGCCCACAGGAACTGGAGCAACAGCATCTTCATGGACGGCCTCTCTGACGATCGCTCACGAGAGGACAAATTGAAAATTGTGGATGATTTCTATGTTGATATGCAGGAGCGAATTGCAAGTATGAATCCAGACGCCTTCAGAGATGACTTCTGTCTCAACTACCTCATCATTGTCAAGGAATAGGGTCCATGGCCTTGACTGCAGATGCATCTTCCTTCAACAACCCTTCATAATTGCAACTGTTAAAAACAAATAATTCCTCTGAAATTGAAAAGGAGGATCGGTTGGCAACAATGAACGATCAGACTGATGGTATAGCATAACACTGTATAGAAGATCGCGTATACCATGTGTAAACTTATCTCAGCTCTTTGTCTTTCAGTTTTAGAGAAGAGAGTTTCTCAAAGTTATTTCAATAGATGCCATACTGCCTTGTGCTCAGATTTAAGGGCACAACACGCGGACTGTTATCAGGGTATAACACGTGGACTGTATTGAGGGTATAACACATAGACTGTATTGTGGGTATAACATGTGGACTGTATTGTGTGTATAACACGTAGACTGTATTGTGGGTATAACACGTGGACTGTATTGTGGGCATAACATGTGGACTGTATTGTATGTATAACACGTAGACTGTATTGTGGGTATAACACGTGGACTGTATTGTGGGTATAACACGTGGACTGTATTGTGGGTATAACACGTGGACTGTATTGTGGGTATAACACGTGGACTGTATTGTGGGTATAACACGTAGACTGTATTCGGTATGACACGTGAACTGTATTGAGGATATAGCTCGTGGACTGTATTGTGGGTATAACATGTGGACTGTATTGTGTGTATAACACATAGACTGTATTTAGTATCACACCTGGAATGCATTAAAGGTTTAACAGTCTATGCTTTGTACTTTGTTTTCAATTTGGGCCTATTGTGGAAACCTGACTGTTTGATGCTTGGTAAATATTATCATCATTGATTTAATTGCTATAACCACACATTCCAGGTGAACAGTAGGCTTGGCATTAAATACATCTCTTACCAACACGTTGTGGTTGGTTGGTTGATTAACACTACACTCAGGCACATAGATATCCCATAACTGACCAGTTATTACAAATACAGGTCCACTAAAATCAGCGATCAATATTATCAATAACGATCACCCAAATCAATATACAGTCGAGCACTGTTGTCTCAATATTCATGGGACCAAGAAAAAATATCAAATTTATCCGAGGTTTGAGGCATCCGACCAGGGCATATCATCGCATATCACTATGAAAGAAAATAAAACAAAAAGTAGATTTTCATGTATTTATTTGCACATACATTTTTACTCGCAGGGATCGCAATCACACTGTCAGCTTTCTCTTTTTAGGTGTACCAACATCTGATCTAGCTATTCCCCCTAGTCGCTTTTTGCGGCGGTTAAAGGAATATGGGGATTTGTTTTACCTTTGACCCACCACAGTTAGGCAAGGAGTTGAATTATCTCCCTTTGTCGGGCACATACGCTCGTGACTCAGATCTTGGCCACTTGGCCCTGACGTCGAGTACTTAGTTTAGATGAGAAATCTACCTGTTCTCTGGACCATGAAACAGGTACATAGAAGAAAAAAAGATTCATGGGTGTTCGGGGTTTGTGACGTAAACCTCAAATTTCATGCATTCCGCGTTTAACTTTTGAAGGCTCGATGTTTAAAAGTACGCCTGAACTTCCAGGTTGACAAAAGAAGCAATTTGCTACGAGCCACTAGCGTACTTTTTTGACAGTTCCACCCCACCTACTCCAGTGACCTAGTATACTTATACAACCATGTATATAACAGTTCACGAAGGTATACGTCCATGCATTTCGTTTTGTATATAACAGTTCACGAAGGTATACGGCCACGCATTTCGTCTTTTGAACCCGGGGATATCACTTGGTAAGTTGTTTCATAGATATATCACTGACTTACCTATGGCAGATTCCACACTCTATATTGATGGTCATCGACAAATGCCATGTTTGAAGTTACACACTTGTGATATGTCTAGAACAATTGCACATACTTATATAAAAATGATTGTTGTAAAAGGAACAACATACAATATTGAGAGGAACCTGATATATCCAACAATGAATGTTGGTGTTATCATGAACGTAAATTATATATTTTCTGGTCTTTGAATGTCATTTAGAAGTGATACACATAAGGAAGAGAGCTTTATGGATGTCAACTTCTTTACTACTGTTCAGCACCTATTTACACTATTTAACTGTTAAGTGTTGGCTTCTATTCAGCGCTATTTAACTGTTAAGTGCTGGCTTCCATGTGTCCTTTGCCAGTTAACTGTTAAGTTCTGGCTTCCATTTGTCCTTTGCCAGTTAACTGTTAAGTGATGGCTTCCATTTGTCCTTTGCCAGTTAACTGTTAAGTGCTGGCTTCTATGTGTCCTTTGCCAGTTCTATGTGTCCTTTGCCAGTTAACTGTTAAGTGCTGGCTTCCATTTGTCTTTGCCAGTTAACTGTTAAGTGCTGGCTTCCATGTGTCCTTTGCCAGTTAACTGTTAAGTGCTGGCTTCCATTTGTTCTTTGCCAGTTAACTGTTGGTTCCATTGTTTTGCCCCCATCTTTGTTGTCTTATTACTTTTGTTGTTCTCACATGTACATATATATGCTTTCTGCCTCCTACCATTCATTCACCTGAAGGAGTGAGGATATACTCTGAAACGTGGTGCTACATAGTAAAGTAGTTGACATCCATAAAAAATATCTTCTTTACATATATTGTCTATTTGTTACCACAATGTCCTCCGTAAATAACTGAGGGACGCCGGGTTAGGAGTAATCGAGTGGTTAAAGCGTTACCTCGTCACGCCGATGATCGAGTTCGACTCCCCAAAACAAAGTGGGTATACAAAGCGTGAAGCTCACGTGTGTTGTGCTCGGCTGTGATTGTACTGGTATATTGCTAAAGCGGCTTACAACCATACCACTCACTTCATAAATCATAATATGTTCATTGTTTCATATATACTCTTCCAAAAAAGTTCGAGAACCTGAACTTTCAATTTCAGAAGTAATAAGAAGCATAAGCGCTAACAAACATTAACAAACATTTTCAAATCTTACGAACGCACCACCATTTCTCTTTATGATCTTTATCTCTAAACACAACGCATGGAATGCACTTGCATTATGCAGTAGTCCTATACACGTGCATGGTAGTCATTCGTGATCTTGACGGTTTTCAAGAAGGTCGATAAATCACGGTAGACCTTTAATTTTGACAATCATCTTGCATCACACAATAGTTAGTCTTTCTTTCCCGCCTTTTTTTCTGAACATAATAATCCTACACATGCAAATTTCACGTCGTACACCAATCATCTTTCAAGAGCGATTACTGTACAAACAACAATGGTCATAAGGACGTGCAAGTGGTGATACACTCTCAAACCATTCATTATCATATCAATATTGATTTACTCCGATATATCTCCCAATTTCTTCAATCGTATATCAAAGATAACGTTCCCCTACTTTTTTTAGAGTACATTTTGTGGTGACACTCATACGGTTTGTCTAGATATAACGAGTCATTTGTCAATGTGATTCAGTATATAGTTTGTGCCTGTATTCATTGTTAATATGGAAGAGGGCCACTCAAACATGTTTCAACTAAAGAATTTCAAATGCTAATATGGAAATTAATCTGATACAAAAACTTAACTACACCATCGTGCTTGTTGTAATATTATCACAACATCTTTGTTCAACATTAGAAGAATACCTGCGTATTAATAGCGCCTTTGGGTATCCGTACACAACAAAACCAGAACTTAGAAACTAGATGTTCCTGTCAATTGGCCACAATATGAGAAGAATAACAAAAAAGCAGAATGGAGAATTAATGACATTCACCATACATTATCACATCAATTCACACGCCTGACATCGGCACCGATCTCTCCAACAAAATACACAGGGGCGGTTACAGCTTTTTGTGAAGGGTGTGAGCGTGCGTGTGTGTATGTGCGCGCGCGCGTGTGTGTGCGTGTGTGTGTGCGGGGCGGGGCTCTTTTGAAAAAGGGGTTTGAGGGTGCACACTTCATTTTCACCCGTTTTCATTAGAGTTTTATTAGTCATTTAATAAACCCTCAGGACAAAAAAGGGGGGTGGGGGTGGGGGGCGATAATTACGCTGTTAAGTTATAAAAGTGTTGCATGTCACAAATATTTTCTCAGGTAATGAGAATCGATAGAGTCTTTCACGAGAATTTCACAGTGCACAGTTCGTCTCTCACAGATTGGCTTGAATTGTCACAGTGTCGGCGGGACGCAGGTTATGTTGACCTCAGTTCATCGCGTGTGTGGACATCCTGACGGTTTACCCGACTGGTCAGTCAAGGCGAGACCACACAGGTATTGCCTCTTCAGGGTCAGCACTGGTCCCGGACAGTCTTGAGATAAAGACCGCCACTTCTTCATCCCACCATACTGCATGTGTACTCTCAACATTCACCTTAAAAGCACAGCAACACTCAGACTTCCCATTCCACACTCAGCCAACCTTGCATCACCTTGCACGTCTTTCACTCATTCCTACACAATACAACCACCCAACCACGACATACAGTCCAACCACACGGTACCATAACACATACAGTCAAATCAAATTACTATCTTTACTATTACGACGTAATTCTGTCAAGATCACATAAAATTGCTTCGTATTTCTGTTGAGCCAGTAACTGTTGTATCCGAGCCATTGTCCCATTAAAGGGACACTGATCCAGAGCAAATTCCCCTGGACTGGTTGTTGCTTTAAAGTCTCTATTCTGAAAATTATACGAATTTGTTTCTCCTTAAATAATCATTACATTGGCAAAATTGCTTCATATGCCTGTTTAGCCAGTTGTATCTGGGCCATTGTCCCATTCATCTGGAGGGGCGGTGTGGTAGACTTGTGGTTCCATTCCCCACATGGGTACCAAACAGAAGTGTCTGTTTGATACTCAAACGTTTTATTTCCAGAGCACATGGCAACAGTGGGTTATGGATGCTGCCATCTTCCTTCAAAACCATGAACTTAAAATAAAAAATTAGGAATGGCAAGCGGAAAGGAATAACTAAAGCAGAACAAATTGACTATCCTTCATAACAGGTAATATGTGAAGAGCTGTGACATTGCTGGAATATGGACTGTTGGAAGAGGATTGTCTTTTTACTCTATTCAGCCACATTTCTGTTGGCTTGGATCTTCAAGGTGAGGTGAAATTGGGTTTAACATTGTGCTTGAGAATATTTCGCTCATATGACGACGTGCATGCGTGTGTATGTGTATGTGCGGCTGCTTGTACTAGCCCAGACTGAAGCTGGTTTTATAGTGCTAGCCCACTGAGATACCATGCCGCAGTGAAGCATGAATACCCCACTCAGACACATGATACTGACTCCGAACCGACCAGTCCTTGTTTTACCCATAAATGCCGAGCGTCAGACAGGGACCAACAAGTACCATATTTTAACGTCTTTTGGTATGACGCGGTCGGGGATCGAACCCGCGCCCTTCCGCTGTCTCTGGGCGGACGCTCTAACCACTACACCACGGAGGTGGTCGCTTGGATCTTCAAACCCCAGATTCCCCCAGACTATGGTCCTTGGTTTTACAACACCATACAACAGCTCACTAATTTCAAACTGAACAAACCACAACTTTACAATAATTTATTCACTCAAATATTTACAACTCATATGTACATAAATGTTCATATCCAAACAGCAGTCACACAAAGCTTATCTGCACTTGCATAAACATAACAAGGCTTATCTACATTTATATAAACACAACATAGATTACCTACTTGTATTACTTTTATTCTTCACACAAGATAGAATCACCCAGGTGCCCAATCAATGCATGATTTGTTCTTGTATAATATACTACTCAAATTGTGTTAAGGATTGGGCATTCTTTAACATCTTTTGAGGAGTATATATCTGCCATATTTCCCTTGTTCATGTAAAGGAGCTCAACAATTAGATGTTTAGAATACATGTATATGTTTAAGAATTGATGTAAAGATTTTAATATTTTTACTTAAACAATGCCATATATAGAAACAAAGTAACCTTAAATGGTCAAAATACGAAAATCAATGAAAACAGAATTTAATTCAAGTTTGATTAAACTGTGAAATAGTAATAGTAAAAACAAATATCAAAAGTTTCATTAAACAATGGAATGTCAACCATTCAGTCAATCAATGTGATTTCAAAAGTTCAGTTAAACATTGAGATATCAAATGTTGAAATTAACGTCATCAGCTTAAACAGTGGTACATGAACAAACAGTGGACGGAATGATGTGTTTTTGGAATGTGAAACATCAGACGTAAGATAAACGCTAAGATACTGATTGTCCCTAGATAATATTCTCCTCCTTAAAACCAATCGCATTGAACATTATCATCCCAAAATGACTTCCACAGGAGATATTGCCTGTGTGAGATCAAGCAATTTTCTCCAAAATGACACCGCTACAATGAAATTACATTCTAAGATGCCTAGCGGTTGGAACAATCGAAAAAACACAAAACATTATCAGGCAATAAAGGTATAGTTTTTTGATGACGTAACAATTGAATGACGTTATCCCGTCACTGCGCCATTCTAGTGTGCCCCCTCGTAATAGAACCATTTTTCATTATGTCACAATGTAAGCGACGTCACGATGCATGTCAGTTGTCATCACCTCGTACGGCCTCCTACAGTAAACTACTCCGTTGCATCATGTTTCTTGGTTTGCAGTTGCTTCACGCAGCTAACATCACTGGTGGAAACATTACGTTTATGTTTTACGACATCGTATGACATCACAATTAAATGACATCACACTCAAACGACATCACTAACGTCTATGCCTGTAACTGGTGAGCTGTGAAGTCAGAGGCAAACACTTTTAGGAACAGAAGCAGTTGGTCGAATGCATTGGATAATGAATAAGATCTTGCCTCATGTCTTCTGACATGAAGAATATAAACACTCATGCATGAAAGGCAAGAATTTATTGATGTCAACTTATTAATTTTGAGGAAAGACCTCATGCATGAAAGTTTTAACTGTAATGGTCTCATGTTGAAATATTCCATTTCAAAAGGTTTCTTTTTTGAGAGTCTGTTTTTCTCCATAAATTCTTGAGACAATCCCCAGTTGCAACAATATATATTCAAATAATACTGATCAGGTAGGTTTCTACCAATCCTCTTTCGTTACAGTACCAGTACTATTCACGGTCATAACAAACCAAAAACCTTGGTGCATGGACAACATCAAAGTTAACATCGATGGATATTGAGGTCGGTCATTTACATGTTAACAGAATGAGAGCAATGGTTTTAAATGAATATTTAACAACTCAGTGAAGAAAATCTGACATGAACTGTCCCAACATTGACAGTTTTGGTTATCAGAACAGAAATATCAAAAACAGTGTGTCCAAATATTATGACAAATTTTAAGTACATTTTTCACGTTTTTAAGTAGTCTAAGTCATTAGGACATTCATACTCATATGCCTCACATTGAACTCATAGGTGATAAGATTCATGTCTATTCTTGGGTGATATATACTACCCGTCAAACGTTCAGACTCACTTAAAACACTCACTATTTGTTCTGTATATATGTACATGGTTACATCGAAGATTGATTTCTCCACTAACTTTGGGCAACCAACTGCAAACCTTACGCAGATGAATTACACGAGGATCATGCATCAATTTGCTGAAAAACATGCGTAAATATCGTGCATGTGGACAGCTGTGTTGTGGTGTAAAGTCTTGTTAAGAATTTGCCAATTTTTACTGATTTTTATCATTTATTGAACTCAAGACAATCTTTTCAACGTAACAAATTTGTTTTACAATACATCAGTTCATGTGTAAACAGTACCTTTAAACAGTATGGAATATTTTGCCAAATTTAGTTTAGAACAGTTGCCTGAAGTAAGTGGCTATATTTACACTTATGAGTCTAAACGTTTGAGGGGAAGTATATTTATGTCTATTCTTAATCTACTGGTATATAGATAGACATTGGATGCAATGGTTTGTCCTGAAACTCTCCCGAAGTCCACCCCGGCCCCAACCCCTCATGGATTCCTGTCTTCAATGTAGTTCCTTTATGGCTGACCAATGGCTATTCAAAGTTTGCAAGAATATTGATTGATAGAAGAGTTAAGCTTCTGCTTTGACTAAAAATATTTTCTAATTACACCTATAACAAATACTGCAAACCATCCTTGGCCGATGGACAAAACCCAGCCCTCTCATGCTTTGTCATAAGACAAGTGTGGACAAATAATATGCTGGCTAGCTATTCTCGAAACGTTCATAGTCCTACGAACTTCTTAAACCCATTCTTAAGACATTGGCTACGATCAAAGTTATGAATTCTTAGGGCTACGAACGTTTCGAGAATAAGGGCCCTGTTCATTATTATTATTATATTGCACTTTCCTACAATTAAGAAGACCAAAATGATTGCTTTGCTAAAATGCATTCGCAAGGAGAACAGACTTCCAAAAACATATTTGGAACATGTCTGTTTTGTCCAGGGCCACATTCACAAAGCAACTGAAGCTCCACGACCAACTCATACACACAGAAACACATGGATTGTCATATGCACTACTCATTTGGTTTGGTTGTTGTTGAACGCCTCGCTCAGCAATATTCCAGCTATATGACAGCGGTCTGTAAATAATTAAGTCTGGACCAGACAATCTAGTGATCAACAGCATGAGCATCAATCTCTGCAGTTGAGATACGATGACATGTGTCAACCAAGTCAGCGAGCCTGACCACCAGATCCCGTCAGTTGCTTCTTATGACAAACATGGATTGCTGAAGATCAATTCTAACCCGGATCTTCAAGGCTCTGCCTACTCAGACATTTTTCCACAAATAAGTTTTGGGAGGTGGGTAGCCTGGAGGGTGAAGCATTTGCCCGTCATTCTGAAGAACTTGGTTTGATTCCCTATATGGGTAAAATGTTTGAAAACTGTTTGAATCGTAAAACCATCCTTACCCACTCACAAACAATGAGTCTCAGAACCATACAGGTCAAAGTTCCTCCTGATTTGAACTGTCAACAACATGGTCAAAACAAGCTAAACCAGTCCGGTTTAAGTAGTCATCACAATCTTCAATATACTCCCCATGTAAAATCTATAAAGAACCAAACATTTATAGCTCGTCCCTCCTTTGAACTGTTGACAACATGGTCGTAACCAGCTGAGCCAGCCCAGTAAAATAATCGTCTCCTTCTTCCTTCTCATCGAGAGCCAGAGCCTCATACTCGCTCTTCAGGGACTCCAGGCTGGTGACAGCAGAGGTGAAGGTCGGCCGACACTCGGACACAAGGGTGGTCATGGCGTTGAGCACCTTCTCCCTGGCATCATGGTCAGGGGCAGTCAGTAGTTGAGGTACCAGCTCACACCAGCCGCTCTCTCTCATGGAGGACTTGAGGTTGAATCTGAAAGGCGACAATAATCTATGTCAGGGAGTGGCCAGGAGTGAGTGAGTGAGTGAGTTTTAGTTTTACGCCGCACTCAGCAATATTCCAGCTATATGGCGCCGGTCTGTAAATAATCGAGTCTGGACGAGACAATCCAGTAATCAACAGCATGAGCATCGAGTGGCCAGGAAGTATTCAGGGCAGTTCACATCTGGATTGTTGCTGAATATAAATACACATCTTTTTCCATGACCTCCAAACATGTTCTAATGTATTATTAATTTAGTATGGCAGGAATAATACTGGGTGTGGAATTTGACAACAAATTCTCATTTTGGGGGGAAATTGTGTGCACATGACAACTGCTACCTGAGCAGGACATGCTGACCATCTTCGAGAACACCTGGTGTCATCACTGATTTTCAGCAATTCATTCACATATTTTTGATCACTAATGCCTAATATGTCCACAGGGATTTGTTTTGATAGATTATCAAGACTGATTATTCTCTGGCTTTGACCTCAGGCAAAGTCATGACTGTCCACACTTTTGAGCAAAAAAATCATTTAACCCAAAAATTTCAAGCAACTCCAGATCATTAATGTGTTTGCTGGTTTTACGCCACACTCAGCAGTGTTCCAGCTATACAAAGGCTGTTTGTAAATAATCGCGAGTCTGAACTGGACAATACATAGATTGATATCATGATATCAATACGGATATGACGACATGTATCAATAAAGTCACCACTTTCGGTAAGTATGGGTTGCTGAAGATTACGACGAGGATCTTTATGGGTCCCACCCCAGATCAAACGCCATGATGAGTATGTGCAGGATTACAGTATTTGCAGGCCTTCCCTAACCTGAAGTCCCTAACCTTCCCTGACAAAAAGCTGTTTCACCTGACCATATCAAAGGTGTAGATAACAGAAGCCTCATGAGTGAGTGAGTGAGTGAATTTGAGTGAGAAGTATGAATTTTATATGGTTTTACACCGCATTTAGCAATATCCCAAGATCTATGGTTCTGCACAAGAATTAGAGTTATCTGCCCTTGGGGTATGCACGAACATTCTATAGTCTGTTTGCAGTGAAAACGTACCGATGAATTTCACTTTAAACAAAAAGGTAAATCATATAAAATGAAATTAAGATTGCGAATCCTCAAAATTTTACCTTGCGAATTGAACATTTAAATCTCAGAATTTTATTCAACTTAGGATAAAAGTTGTTTAACAAATGATCATAGTTTCAAAATTGCTATGATTCAAAATTGCTAAAATTGCTATATGTTTGTATAACAAGGGGGTATGCACAGTAAATGAAACACCAACAAAAAGCAGGGCTGGTCTAAGTTAACGCTCCTCACATACCGAACGTGCATTTGTTTCACTGTTCCAACTACTGCGCTTAACCCCTCGTAATGAAAACCAATAATAGCAATTTGAAACTATGATCGTTTGTTAAACAACTTTTATCCTAAGTTGAATAAAATTCTGAGATTTAAATGTTCAATTGGCAAGGTAAAATTATGAGGATTCGCAATCTTAATTTCACTTTATTTGATTTACTTTTTGTTTAAAGTGAAATTCATTGGTATGTTTTCACTGCAAACAGTGTTTCATGAAGGTTATCAATGCTTCAAGTGAGTGAGTGAGTTAGGTTTTACACCGCTTTTAGCGATATCCCAGCAACATCACGGCGGGGGACACCAGAAATATGCTTCAAACATAGTACTCATGTGAGGACTCAAACCTGGACCTTCAACATGATGAGTGAACGCTTAAAACTTGTCTACCCCATCACCCGAGTGTATACTGTACTCCTAAAGATGTGATACTGAGAGGAACTCACTGTCTGTACTGCTTCAGTCTCTCCACATCAACACTGTTGTCCTCTTTTGTATGCTTCCTCACTCAATTCCTGAAATAAAACACAACATCGTTAATTCAGATCTATTTCTCCAATACCATAACCACTTCTGAAGATCCAGGGTAGAACTGTTCTTCAGCAACCCATGCTTGTTGTAAGAGGGGCTTGAGTGGTCCAGACTTGACCATTTACATATGTTGTCTGTATATAATCAAGTTTGGATAAGATAATCCAGTGATTAACAGCATGAGTATCAATCTAGACAATTGGAACATGTGAACAACGTCAGCAAGTCTGACCACAAGACAAGCATGTTTTGCAATTTTAACTCGAATCTTCACATGTTCATCATGTAAATATTGCACAGTAAAATCATACTCTCTGATAGGACCAATCCAAAATAAGAGGTGAGGTGAAATTGGGTTTAACATCGTGCTTGAGAATATTTCGCTTATATGACGATGTGCATGCGTGTGTATGTGTATGTGCGGCTGCTTGTACTAGCCCAGACTGAAGCTGGTTTTATAGTGCTAGCCCACTGAGATACCATGCCGCAGTGAAGCATGAATACCCCACTCAGACACATTATACTGACTCCGAGCCGACCAGTCCTTGTTGTACCCATTAATGCCGAGCGCCAGACAGGGACCAACAAGTAGCATATTTTAACGTCTTTTGGTATGATGCAGTCGGGGAATCCAAAATAAGAGGAGTCAGAACATGCAAGATATATCATGGCCATCTGTAAATTATCAAGTCTGTGACAGTATGACAACAGTATGTTGAAGAGCATAAGGGTTGGTTGGATGTTTTTCAACGCCATACTCAGCAATATTCAAGCTATATGGGGGCATGTAAATAAGTCTAGACCAGACAATCCAGTGATCCTATGCAATTGGGATACAATGATATGTGTCAACCAAGTCAGCAAGCCTGACCACCCGGTCCCGTCAGTTGCTTCTTATGACAAGCATGGGTTGCTGAAGACCAATTCTAACCCAATTCTTCATGGGTGCAGCATATGGGTGACAGCATCAGCAATGTCACTCAATGCTACTACCTTATTCACATTTGTCACCTCTTACTGCATGCACTGGGAATCTGTTCTGTTTTGGGATCACCATGAGATACAAGCATAGGGCACTTGGGTCCTATTCTGACTCAAATGTGAAAAAGGGAAAGACATGTGATGCTTTGGAAGTGAGTCCACTCAGAAATCTCACTGAGCAGAAGCATGAGGTACTGAGAACCTACTCTTACCAGCAATCCCCAAAGTGAGCGAACATAGGGAACTGGAGACCTATTCTCACCTTGACTCCCCACAAGGGATAAGCATGCATGCTGGGAATGTCATCTGCTATGACAAGAGGGGACAAATTAAGGGACAAATTAAGGGATGATTAGAGATATTGGGATAGGAGTGAGTGAGTGAGTTTAGTTTTACGCCACTTTTAGATACGAATGGAAATACCACAAGAGTTGACTGAATATAGAAAGGGCTTCTTACCTTTTTCTACCAGCAGGTCACTGAGAAATGTTAAAGCCTTTATCTGAAGCTTCTGAGCATCCATGCTGGAATCGTCAAAGAGTCTCTTTAGTGCAGCAAGTCCTCCAAGTTCCAGGAACTTCTTCTGGGCATATGGGAAGTGTCTGGCTAGGGATGACAACGCGAAAAGCGTCTTCTTCTGCAGTGTGGTTGATGACGTAGTGGACAACATCTTGATCAGTTGGTGCATTGCACCGTGCTCGATAGCAGATATTTGAACTTTGGGGTTACTGGGGAAAAATAATATTATCATAACAAGGTTTTGTAATACATCTGAATATGCACATAGTATTTTGTTTAGCTTCAGGTGTCGAGGAAGTGAGTTGTATTGAACAGTAGTTCAGTAATAACGTAGCTTAGTGATGCAGGTTATAGATGTTCAACATGTTGAACAACAGATCCTGACGCGTTAAGGTATGCAACTCTGCACAGATTGATGTGGCTTAGATGATTGGACCAGCCTGCCTGTTACTTCAAGAAACTGTTTATACCATTCAGATAAGTCCAGCTGTTTGCTGTTTTCTGCTGCACTCAGCATTATTCCCGCTATATGGCGGCAGTCTGTAAATAACTGAGTAGGGACCAGACAAACCAGTGATCAACAGCATAACTATCAATCTACGCAATTGGGATACAATGACTTGTGTCAACCAAATCAGCCCTGAGCACCTGATCCCATTGGTTGCCAAACATGGGTTCTGACCCTGATCTTCACGGAATGGGGAAACTGGACTCTTGTCACTTATCTTTAAAAGAAAACAACTGATAAGACAGGATGGCCTTGTGTTGACAGTTACCTCTGTAGTGCTGAGCCAAGCACAAGGGCTGCCTCTTCCTGTATCTTTGGACTGGTGTCGTTAAGACTTGCTACAAGCAGCGACATACCTCCCATGGAGCTGAACAACTGAGCGTTGTCAATCTGGGGAACAAACAATACATCGATCCTGAGGATGTGAGTGAAAGGCCACAGTCAGTAGGATTCACCAGGTACATGAATCTGTGAATACACAATGACATTTAGAAAGTTGTCAAATGGCATTGTGTATTCATAGCTTTCAGCTTTGGGAACCATGCTAAATTAAAGCTAATTTACATTTATGAGAGGGGTACACAAAGTCTGTGGTCTTGACTATCAGTTGTCCGACTTCCATTTTTGTGGAAGCCGCGGCGGCTGATCGGGTAAGGCGGGGCTGACTTTGTGTGCTGGCGATCAGGTGTCTGACTCTGTGGGTGTGTTTCAAATCCCAGAATACCTGCCCTTGATTTGCATTTGCAAACTTCCCTGGATTTAATCAATGTTCTCCTCACGTGATCCAATTTCATCCAAATAGTCAGTCAAATAGACCTATTATACTAACATTTGCCTTTTGAACTTGGGACATAATTTGCATGAGAACCAAACACTATTTCAGCTGTTTCAAGAGAAAAAGGTTATTAGTTGCAAACATTTATTACTTCAGCAAAATACTACTGAGGATGGGTAGGTTGCTGACAAACCCAGGATCATAGTCTGCAGATCATAACAGGGATCATGAGGAAATTGATCAAAGACATGCATATCAGAACTACACACTGAACATCATGTTCCGCAAATCAATCTTCAGCTCAAGCATGTAAAGACACTAGGGGTGGGTATTGCAGAGAATTTTCTGATGGGATATATTGCGATGCAAAAGCATGTATTGTGATGTGTATTGCAATATATTGCAAGATGATTTTATTAACAAAAAAACTACTTATAATTGAGTTAACGTTTGATTTATAAAGCAAAACCACAACAAAATCACTATGCTTGATTCACCTTAATAAAAACATTTTATGATGACAAAGTAAAAATGTAAATAATATTTGGCACAAATAAAACAAGGGAAAGAGCTTAACAATCCAGTTAAATGTAATTTTCACCACAATCATTCCCACCACCCTTACCACAATTTCCACAATCAAGATTACCGAGTGTTACGAAGTGTTCCGAATGCATGTCAAAATACCGGTTTTCGATCAGCGTATCGCAATACGTATCATTTCCATGTGTGAACCGGTAAATACCGGTAAACCGGTTATATTGCGCAGCCCTAAAAGACACTGTGTTGTATTTTACAGTATTAGTACTAAGTAAAAGCCCAACTGACAATTAAACCAAACTGTTGGCAATACGGTCTTACCTTATGAAGATGGTATTCAAGTTCTGTGAGGACATTGAGCTTGGCATCGGTATCGGGAACCGACCTTCTTGAAGCGTTCCAGCAGATCACTGATTATCTCACCGTCAGTCTTCATGGCGATATTCATCTCTTCAAAATCTTTCTTCAAATCATTGTATGACCTGAACTTCTTCTTAACCTCTGCTGCTGACTGAAAGTAAATTCAGCAATATTAAAGTATTGATGAGTGAAAGCACATGGGGGTCTGATTAATCAGGACAAGCAGTCACAAAGTAAGAGCAGCTCTTCATGGACTATTTGACTCGTGAGTGAGTGAGTTTTACCCGCTTTTAGCATTATAATGGCAGGGGGACACCAGAAATGGGCTCCAAACATTGTACCCATGTGTGGAATCGAAACTGGGTCTTTGGCGTGATGAGGGAATGCTTTAACCACAAGGCTACACGACCACCCCTGTGATCATATGGTTGAAAGGTAATTTTGTAGATTGTAATTAATACATGCAAATATAAGCATGCACAACAAAACAATTTCTTTAATGGAAAAAATGAAATATATAAATTGAAATTCTGTTTGTAAAACCTGCTTGTCAATTCCAATTGTACCCTAATGTTTGTGGAAGTAGAAACTGTTGTAAATATATTTGCATCAATTGTCAATAGCAGCAAATGAGTGCAATACTGGTAAAGAGATATCAAGAACTGTCATCGACTCATTGAAAAACTTGTCAACGACATTTCTAGAATGGTTATGTACAAGAATTAGAGTTATCTGCCCTTGGTTGACATGTGTTTTTTCCAAGAAGTTTCAGATGGGGACAGTTTCATTCGGCTGGCTGTAATTGTGTAACTGTGGCAGGAGAGGCATGACAGACCTTTCTCAACTTTGATCTACTTGCCAAGTGCATGAGGTTTCAAACCTTGTTGTAAACATCAAATTGCTTCCAGTAATCAGTGCTCAGGTTTACTGTAGAGTTCATATATTAGCACAAGTGTGATATTTATTTTAGCAGTACGCTTTGTGTAAGGAGGCATAAGAGTTATGCCCCTTGGGTCATTGAGCGATACATAAAGAACCAACCATGGTCCACGATACAATGTCTTTCATGGTTTATTGTCATGTGTGGCACTGCCCATCAGCTACTTTCATTTTCAAAAATGGATAGAGGCCTCTTTCAAGATATTCAACAGAGATTACATTCTTCATATTCGTGAGGACATAAACAGTTTGGGGCATATTACTTATGGCTGCTGTAGACTATGTGACCGACTGTTTTGCCTTGTATTGAGTGAGTGAGTTAAAATGTATGGTCACGTTGGCAATATTTCAGCCACATTGTGACTGGAACAACAGTATTCATTAAGAAGATATAAATCATAGTATATACAACCTGTCGTCAAAGGACACCAAAATAACCAGAGAATCACAGATATATCATTTAAAACGTTTTTGCCTTGAAGCTTGTAAACACAAAACTGTGCTTTTAAATAGAACTTATTAAATTATTCATTGATTAAACATGTGAGGGAGTGAAGTTTTACGCCACACTCAGTAATACTCCAGCTATGTGGCGGCGGTCTGTAAGTGTAAATTTCGAGTCTGGACCAGACAATCCAGTGATCAACAGCATGAACATCGATCTACGCAATTGGGATACGATGACATGTGTCAACCAAGTCAGCGAATCTGACCACCCGATCCCGTCAGTCACCTCTTACGACAAGCATGGGTTACTGAAGATCAATTCTAACCCGGAGATATAACATGTTTAGTCCTATAGAGAGTACCTTGGGATCCTGGCCACTGGTGTCTGTGTGAGACTTGAAGTCCTTCAGTGCCTTCTTCAACTCATCTCGGGAAAATGACTTCTTGTCAGTGTTGACCATGCCTGAATATATAAATACACATGACTGGATATATTACCAACCATTAGACCACTTCTACTGCTGTGAGAAAAACAGTATGTCATTTCGGACTGGATTTTTATATCTTTTCTTAAAGTATTTTTCAGAGAGAGTTGCTGTGCTGGAAGGTCTGAAAATCAAAAAGGATAGATAGGTACATTATGGCTCTAGGCTTCTCAGGCTCCTCATAGTGAAAGCCCTTCACTGCTCTTTCTATATTATAACTGCCACAAGTCATAGTTCACCCCTGCTATGCAGTGTACAACTATGATTCTATGAATGAAGTTGAACTGGCCATTTTAAGCAGGATTAAGACCATGGTGACTCACCATCATGTTGACCAACAACGGATGTCTGTATGTCCATGGTGACACTAAATACTATTGCCAGAACTGAATGAAGTTGAACTGGCCTTGTTTTTTTCTTTGTCAGTTTAAATTTCTCTTTCCTTCCACTATCTTGTAATATGTTTTAGTCATACGTCAACCATATACATCTCCTAATTCTCAAGGACATACAATTCACAACACTTGGGATTAGAGGTTGCAGCAGAGACCATATACGGTTGCAGTAATAATTCCTGGTGGTTAAAAAGGTGTTTCACTCTTGTTGACACCAAAGTGAAGGGAGACAATCTGACAACATAAGAGTTGCCTCCCTTTGCTCAACAATCCAACTGTAGAAAAGATACGAATTACAAAGATAGTAATTTCATAGCGATCAATGCTTGATCATCCTCGATAATCTCCAGGGTATACGTTACGATAAATCCACTTGTACATTAGATGCATCTATGGCCTCGCCCGATAATATTATTTCCTCTCTTTGCTGGCTCCTCATTCTCACAGTAGCCAATCAGCTAAGCCACCGTTACAACCGAGCTTGCCAGTGTCAACAAAGATAGTGGCCGCAGCCACAAAGATTTGTTCGCAGAGCGACTCAGATTTAGGGTGAAATCGTACAGACAAACTGACAGGTCTGAAACCTTAAAAAATATATGCAAGAACTCTTTCTACCTCTTTCAGAGTACCTCTGCAACAATTATGTTGCCAAGTTCAAGTTTAATCGGTTAGATAAAAGAAGCAGAAAGTGAGTTGTGATTGGTATGCTCAACTTCCTAGCGTAGACACCTGATTGGATAAAAAGCCAGCCAATGGAGGTAATAAAATCATGGGGCCGTAGATGCATCCAGGGTATAGTGGAGATTTTATCGTATACCCTGGAGATTATCGAGGATGGTATTGATAAGGTCCATATAAATGCTAAATCCCTCACCTTGATGAGATCCGGCTTGCCAGAACTTATTTCCACCTTCATCTTCATTGAGTTTGGCTTCTGTCACACCTTTTTCTAAGTTCATCCTCACATGCAGCCCTTTTGGTATGGCCTGGCCTGCAGGATGATGAAGAGAAAGTTATTCCACTTGGTACCATTGTATAGATACAATACATCCTTGTTTAACATACATTCTACAGTGTTTCACCATGGTTATCAATGCTTAGGACTTGATACCACTGTGACTGACTGACTGACTGAGTTTGGTTTGTTAAACAACACAGGCTGTTAAGAAATGGGGCTTGACACATTGTACCCATGTAGGGGATTGATCGAACCCGGCCTTCAAGCGGACTATAGATACAGCCAAATCCTTGTTTAACCACTACAGGGTTTCACCATGGTTATCAATGCTTAAGACTTGATACCAAGCTACAGTTCCACCATGGATACCCCAGACACAGTGTAATGACTCCCAAATGATTTGTCCTTTTTCTATCCTATTAATGCTGTGTGCCAAGCACACAAGTATCATCTCTTTAACGTCTTTGAGTATGACACGCCATGAGATCAAATACTCTTGCCACTAGCTCATTTAGGCCGTCTTTAACATTATGAACAAAAGTGATGGAACTGAGTGTAGTTAAATGCTACCTTTTTTGACTGTCTGCCATTCTCTAGTTGGATAGAAGACATCATACTCCTCTACTTTCTTGTTTCCCTCGTCCTCTCCATTCTCTTCTATGGATATTATTCCATCTGAAAACATGCTACAGCATTAACAACTTCCAATCTCACATCCATTAATCTAAATGGTAAGCAAAGCCCATACACTGACTGACTGAGTTTGGTTTTTACGCCGCTTTTAGCAATATTCCAGCAACATCATGGCGGGGGACACCAGAAATGGGCTTCACACATTTTGCCCATGTGGGGATTCGAACCCGGGTCTTCGGCGTGACGAGACAACGCTTTAACCATTAGGCTACCCCACCGCCCCAAAAGCCCATACAAAGTCCATCAATAGTCAAGCTGCTTTGATGTCACTGAATCTTGCAAGTCTTCAAAGGTAAATGTATGTTTATCAAGCTTTCAACCTGAAATATATAGACAAACATGTTGTAACAGCAACACATTATTTTGCTAAGTTAAAGAAGTGAGATCAGTATTTGAAATTGTCAAACATTCAGGTTTGTGTAACCATATAGCTGGAATATTGCTGAGTGCGGCGTAAAACCAAACTCACTCACTCACTCAGGTCTGTGTAAAAGGGTGTTATGAATTAAATATTGGAGGGTGTTATGAATTAAAACCAAACTCACCCACTCACTCAGGTTTGTGTAAAAGGGTGTTATGAATTAAATATTGTCATTTATTGTAATTTTGTCCTCAGCAAGATTATGGTCTAAGAAAGACTTAATAGCATGATTATATAACATCTGTTTGTTGTTTAACGCTGCACTCAGCAATATTCCAACTATATGACGGCGGTCTGAAAATGATCGAGTCTGGCCCAGACAATCCACTGATCAACAGCATTAGCGTCGATCTATGTAACTGGATGATTTTAAAAGGCTTCTCCACAATCAATTACAGAAACTTGCAGTCAGCCTAACTGATCAATCATTGACTATAATCACTGACAGAAGCAATAATACCATTGTCATCCTCATCTGTCTCAACTACTGTCAGTGCCCCCTCTCTGCCTGGGGGTGTCTCGCTGTGCACACACAGGCTGTAGAAGGCACATCCCAGGAACAGCATCAGCACCATCAGGTTGACCACCTTGATGCTCTGCAGCAACATCGGCATTGGAGAGGTTGTGTGGAGTAATATCACTTATGGGGTGAGACTGATGTTGCTGAAAAGACAAAACAAAATGATGGTTAATGACTCATGCTTTCTAGCACAAAAAATATGATGAAAAAATAAGTTGTAATCATGATAATTAGTTTTGTTTCCGTTCCCCCAACCCTAAACCTAACTGTAAACCTAACCCTAACTTAAATTTTTGACTTTTAGTCATTTTGTGAGTTCTCTAGTAGATCTAATTGTTGTGTTAAGTTTTGTTAATAATTTTAGTATATTTATAAATATTATTTGGGATGGGGGAACGGGAGGAACTCTTACCCGAAACAGAACTAGCATGTCAAGACAGCCCTAATCCGATAAACGACCATGTAAAAAGGTACTCACATCAAGAAGCCAATACAATGGCGAGGTAACGGTTGTTGTGTTTTAAACTCACACGCGTTGGAGCAATATTTGATATGTTCACAGAAAATCACTTTGCTCGAAAGAAGCGTCGTCTATAATGTATATATCACTGCATGTCCGGGTCAAAATAGTTTGTCTGTTACGTGGAGTTATTATATCTGGTTTTGTTATTGAACGTCAAGCGTTTGCATCAGCTTTTCCACGAGTTCGACTTGGCGGATCCACGTCTCGCCACGTCAGCCATTAATATTTTGGAAACATCGAAAACTGTTATCGCTTCTGAAAACGGATCACGAAACAGTTGTTGGCTACGACGATAATGTAACTTGTATGGTGCACATAATCATCTTAATCTACATTTAAACAAATATATTGTCATTTGCAGTAAATCGTAGGCATTTAAAGTGAGATTTCCGAACGAAGCAACATTTGGGATGCTCCATTTCGTTAAATATATGTTTAACGCCTTTTACATTTTCCCACCGTGAGCTATCTTTAGCAATGGGAAAGCACCAGATCTATTTTTAGAAACAACGCCCGTTCATGTTACTGTTGCATATGTTCGCTGGTCTCCCAAATATGTTTCTTATGGTATATATGCATTTGGCTGTCAACTGGACGTAAAGCATTACATTCAATCTACTTTAAATGTACCAGTTAATACACGCATTGATATTGTTCAATTCTAATACAACATGCCAGATTCATAATAAAATAGGACCATTTTTAGTAACTTTTCCCCCTGTGTATAATGGTTGTCTTCAGCAATTGTTCAATGACCTTTAGGGACAAAACTAAAATTGCATTTCTAAGTCACAATATATCGTGAAACGATGAACAGAAGGTCGTAGTATCCACTGCAGTGAATAAATATTTGAAGTTTTATATCGTTTTTTTTATTGCAAGTTTGTGTAATCCAGTATCTTATATTAGGCCATTTACATATTTTTGTTACTTTTCATTTCTTTCAGAAGAAGTAGGGGATATATCGACCTTCGATACGATTTCACAATCACAGTGTTAAACATACCGATCTTCGCGGGTTTTGGAACACATGCCGATGCATCGCTTCGGGCTTTCACCCCGACACAAGGCTGCTGCTATGAACAAGGGGGATAGTTGTATGAATAAACAACTTTATATTATAAGTGAGTAAGTGAGTTTAATTTTACGCCGCCTTTAGCAATATTCAAGCAATATCACGGCGGGGGACACTAGTAATGGGCTTCACACATTGTAGCCATGTGGAGACCCGGGAACCCGGGTCTTCAGCGTGACGAGCGAACGCTTTAACCACTAGGCTATCCCACTGCCTCTTTTATTGCAACATTGTAATAATGGTCCAAAACACAGCGGCTAGGATCATTACGAAAACCAGGAAGTATGAGCATATATCACCCATCCTTAGAGAACTTCACTGGCTGCCCATCAGAGCCAGAATACAGTTCAAGGTGCTCTGCATTACATACAGATGCCTCAACAACACCAGCCCTGACTACCTTAGTGACCTACTTACTCCATATGTACCAGCTCGACAACTTCGCTCCAGTGACCGCAACTCACTCACAGTTCCTTCCTACAGACTAAAATCCTGTGGTTACAGGACGTTCTCTCACATCGCCCCAGTGCTGTGGAATACTCTTCCATCTGACGTTAAACTTTGTCCCACGTTCGAGCTGTTCCAATCAAGACTCAAAAAACACCTGTTCTCTCAATGCATCTGACTTTCTACTTACCTTCCTATCAAATTCAAACCTCTACTCCAGACTCTTAACGTTATTTTGTAGCTCCTTGAGCAGGCTTTATGTCTGGATTGTTTATTATTACAAATTATTATTATTATTATTATTATTATAGAAGTTGTTCATCCATAGAACTATCCCCCATCTTCATTACACCAACTTCTTAATGCCACTCGGGGCGGGGGTAGCCTTATGGCCCGTCATGCCGAAGACCCAGGTTCGATTCTCCACATGGGTGCAATGTATGAAACCCATTTGTGGTGTCCCCCGTCGTGTTATTTCTGGAATATTGCTAAAAGCGGCGTAAAACTAAACTCACTCACTCAAAATTATACTCAAAGAAAGTATGTCGTGATATGACTGAAATGCTGTCCAAATCGGCGCTAAAGACATCTCACTCGCTGTTATCATTGGTTATACGGATGAGTCAAATAAACAGATGGGAATGGAAAATATTTTAAAAAATCAAACTTTGCATGCAAAACAATAAACGCAGCAGTCAGTGCTACCACAACCACTTCATGTCGGACTGAAATTATGGAAACTGGACTAACTGACTGACTGACTTTAGTTTTACGCCGCTTTTAGCAATATTCCAGCAACATCACGGCGGGGGACACCAGAAATGGGCTTCACACATTGTACCCATGTGGGGATTCGAACCCGGGTCTTCGGCGTGACGAGCCAACGCTTTAACCACTAGGCTACCCTACCGCCCCGAAACTGGACTAACAATCTGGAGCACCGCAGGGTCAGCAATTCAGTTTATATTTGATTGTCAAGATAATGCTATCATATATCCTGCATATCTTACCATGAATGTCGAATTCTGAATGGCTGAATCCTATTCTATATTTTTTACTGTTTACGTGTCAGGTATATTTTTGGTCCCGCCTCCAAACAGCGGATCGAGACATTGTATTTGCTACTTTCCAGCTCGATATAATTATGTGAGACTACATCTCCTGATATTTACATTTTCAGTATGAATTAGACCAGGGGAGATAACTCTGTTTTCTGTCGTCTGCTGTAAATGGCGCTGAGAAGAATAGTTTTCGCCAACACTATGTACATTTCACGAAATACATGGGGAGAAAGCAGCCAGACTGGTATTTTATAAACACCCTACAACAAACTGTGGACTTTACATGTAATGGTTTAGGTAACCGTGTGCAGGGATTGCATCTTTCAAGGATAACCATTTGTTTGGTTGGTGTTGTTTAACGCCAAACTCAGCAATATTCCATCTATATGGCGGCGGTCTGTCAGGCGCTTAAAAAGCCATTTTTATCGTGCAAGCCCGATAGGTTGCAAAGCTTTATATTTAGATAGTATTGAGGGCTTGCCCAACCTTTTTAGTCACAATCATGTGTACTGACTGACTGAGTTTAGTTTTACGCCGCTTTTAGCAATATTCCAGCTATATCACGGCGGGTGAAACCAGAAATGGGCTTAACACATTGTGCCCATGTGGGGAATCGAACCCGGGTCTTCGGCGTGACGAGCCAACGCTTTAACCACTAGGCTACCCCACCGCCCCTCACAATCATGTGTAAGCCCGGGCTGTTTTTAATAATGGTTGGCTACGCCCTGTCTGTAAATAATCATATTTTGATCAGACAATCCAGTGATTAACAACATGAACATCGATAGATAGCCATTGGGGCAAGTGGAAACACTTTTTAAACGACTGACACTTGCATGGTGTAAGCCACGATCATCCAAGGAAGAGATTTAAATCTAAATTTAAAAATGATAAACTAATTCCTGTGGAACAGTTATTATTTGAGATAACAGTCCCAGGGTACCAGTTATCTGGAGGTTTGAACATTCTATAACAACACCACAGACTTTCGCAGGAGGAGACCGGGGCATTGCTTAACAAGAAAACAATTTTCCCAACAAGCGTTTAATGTGTTCCTCTTGTTAGAATTGGTCTTCAGCTACCCATGCTTGTCGTAAAATGCGACTAACGGGATCGGGTGGTCAGGCTCGACGAATTTGTTTGACGAATGTCATCGAATCCTAATTCACAGGGTGGAAGCGCTGTCCACGCGAAATGTGGAGTGCCCCAAAAGCAACTCCATTTCCTCGCTGGACAGTGAAAGAAGAACACGTGGCGCAAGAGTAATGGTAAGTTTTCCCTCGCATTTGCATTATTTTGCATTATATCAGGTTTTGCCATTTGGCAGAAGGATTTAGAAAGTTACAGACCTTTCTGTAATTGCTTGACACCCTCTATATTTATTACAATTGCGCGTTAAGCGAGGGCACCCTCCTGAGTATCGAGACAAGATCGCGGAAAATGATCGTTTCAACACGAAATATGACATCCTCATCAGCAGACACACCTTTTTTGCTGTCAATTCTTAGATATTGTTATTTTAGGTCTTCATTCGCAGTTTAGGCTTTAATGCGTCAGTATTTTTTCAATTATCGTTGAAAAATCAATCTGTACATTTTATATGGAGTTGTTCACGTTTAGCAAACAAACTGTCCATTGTGTTGTAATTTTACTGTCCAGGAGTTGACAGTTTCTAGTTTTAACCGTCAGGTCATCAAACGTTATTCTAGAGATATTTGTTGTGAAGAAGAATGTTTGTTACTGCCTACCTGGCGTATTTATTACGATTTTTTATCTCCAAGTACGATTGTACACCCTCATTGCAGTTTGTACCCTGACTGGGATTTATTGGATGCAAACCTATAAAAACACATATTTATTTGTTTAAAGAAAACATGCATTCGTTTCACTTCAGCTTTACTTGCCAGCGTAAACACGACATCAAAACGAAACTAAACAAGAGTGATCTCCCTTTCAAGTCACTTTCGCGCGTACAACCGAAAGTTAATTTATTCAAAATCGTGACCGTAATGTATGTTTATTGGATGATAGATATAGATCAAGTACTTCGGTAGATGCCGTGAAAATACAAAGTAATCTGATTAGCATATATTCCCGGTCCCTATCGACGGGTTCCCGCGTATTTGCCCGGTTTCTACCCATCTTATCCGATTGCTTCCCAACCAGTGGCATCATGGCGGAGCGTTCATCGGGCTCATATGGGCCATAGGATTCAAACATTTTACAAAATCATGTACGATCAGAAGTGTATTAACAAATATACAAATATACATCTACCCCAGGAATAACCAAGACCAGGTTATTCCAAAGTATGTACATTGTTCATACTACCATTCAGATATTAGTATTGCACATTCGGGTAAAGCACATCACTAAGCATCTGAAAACCAAGGGACATCTAACCAATGTTGAATGTGCGAAATCAAATACAATAATGACTTCCTTTGTTCCCACCGGTGGCACCAACATCGATATGGACAAGTCAAAGACGGTTGTAAAAAAAATAAAGCAGAAATCCAAATGACACAATTTAATGTGAAAATGAACTTGCCGATTTTATCTGCAGACCTCCTTACGAAGACAGTCAAAACTGTGTTGAAGTTGATTGATAAATACCATTCTGGTATTCAGGAATGTGTCAAATTTTCTTTCTTATAAAATAAAATTGTACACTTTTGACACAAATTTTGATTTCACAACAGTCTCGTTTCCTGGTGACTGGGGCCGTCCTATTGCGCACTCAGTACAATAACCAGTTCAGAATTTTAAGACCAACTCATTCAACTGGATATATAAATATTAATCAGTATTATTTGATACATCTAATCACTTGTATATTGGACACTACTCTCCTTCTAATCCGTACTCTGTCGTACAACGTGCTCTGACAAACGGAAATCGTGGAAATCTCAAAATGAGGCTCGGCCGCGAGAAAAGTTTGGCGGTCTTGTACGCACTTGATATTATATCAATCACATTGTATGGTACAAAAATACACTTGATAAGCGCAAAGAACACATAACAGGTGTAACCAGTGAACCAGATGAATTATGAAACATTTTTACGACCTCATCAAACAGGGGCAGTCTGTGACGTCTTAGCAGAGACCATATAATAATCTATTATATGGTACCTGGTCTTAGTTAACGTCATGCTGCCTGAACCTAGCCACAAAATATAGAAATACGATTTTATTAAAGTTTAGAATTAAAATTCATTTGTAAATACCAATGTCTTATGGAACAAGGAATTGGAATTTAGTGTAACCATAGTTGTCTGTAGTGTCTCTTTTCACTTTCACACGAGAAAATTCAGATCGGCTGAAAAATAGGTCATTGTCTGGTTCATGAGACTCATATGTTTCGGTTTGACCGCTGCCACATATGCAGCAAGTTCTACAAGTCTTCATTTGGCCTCAGACTGCATGTAAGGGGATCCATCACAACAACTACCGTTTCCATTGCCAAGTCTGTGGAAAAGGGTATCAACAACTGTGGGATTTCAACAGTTAATGCTCTAAAATCCATGCAACTATATGGACAGTTACTTCAACGTAAACATTCAAAGCAATGGACAGTTTCAAAACAACTCCATGTAAAATGTACAGTTTGATTTTTCGACGAAAACTGAAAAATTACCGATGCATTAAAGCCTAAACTGTGAATGAAGACCTAAAGTATCTATATCTAAGAACTGGCAGCAAAAATGGGTGTGTCTGCTGATGAGGATGTCATATTTCGTGTTGAAACGATCATTTTCTTTCGACACTCAGGAGGGTGTCCTCGCCTAAAGCGCATTTGCAATAAATATAGAGGGTGTCAAGCAATTACAGAAAGATCTCTAACTTTCTAGGTCCTTTTGCCAAATGGCAGAACCTGAAATACTTGCAAAATTATTCAAATGCGAGGGAAAACGTAACATTACTCTTGCGCCACGTGTTCTTCTTTCACTGTCCAGCGAGGAAATGGAGTTGCTTTTGGGGCAACTCCACTATTCGCGTGGACAGCGCTTCCACCCTGTGTAATTACGCAGATCGATGCTCATACTGGTGATCACTGGATTGTTTGATTCAGACTCGATTATAATATTTACTGACCGCCGCCATATAGCTGGAATATTTATGAGGGCTACTATAAACAACAGACACAAATAAACAAACACACAATTTTTTCCTCAAGTAACAATATGGAATATCATAATCTTTAATATACATTTCCCCCCTCAAAATTCACTGCTTTTCATTACTTGTGTAATCATCATAATTTATGCAGGCGTTGACTGTATTCGAGTCACGTGGACATTTCTCGTGGAGTTCGTGCGCGATTCTCGTGAAACGTTCTTTTTACCCGCAACAAGATTGCGCTTGGTCGGTCACCTGTTGCACGCCAGTAGACATGGAAAGGGACGCAAAGGAATATTTCTGGGGTGAGATAGTTTTGTTTAAGGCATACAATGTGATACATTACCTCAGGAGTTCAAAACTGTTTCCAACTGAACTTTCTAAACGATCTCTGCTGGGTGGTATAACTGTGCGTGTGAGTGGCATGTGAAATGCCCTGTTCCAATACCCAGTGGCCCAAATTAAACATGTCGGACGAGTTAAAATGGTCGTTTGGAGAGTTTTAAAATGACTAAAAGGTCTGCCATATGTATTAATTACTTGTTTCATATTCATGAAATAAAAACTGGACACGTGCTATTTGGGATTGTTGATGAATTAACTTCTACACACTACAATCTTAAAAACGAATATTGTAAACAAAGCACTATTTGTCATTCATTTTTTAAAAGATTTCTGAAAAGTTATAATACGTTTTGTGACACATAATACACAAAACTGTCGTTCCCCGATCCCAAATAATATTTATAAATATACTAAAATTATTAACAAAACTTAACACAACAATTACTAGAGAACTCACAAAATGACTAAAAGTCCAAAGTTTATGTTAGGGTTAGGGTTAGGGTTAGGGTTAAGGTTAAGGTTGGGGAACGGAAGGAAATCCAACTCAAGCTTGACCAAAGCCTGAACACATTTCTTTCAGAAACACGTTTTGCAGATTATAACTGGATAATGAATTACTTTAAATTCTGTCTTGATTTTGGTTCCCACTTTTCACTTTCAACCATCTGCAAGCAAGAACCAAAAATACACGTACCACATACAATCATCATACTTTGTTCTGACAAGTCATCCGTTTATCCGGTCATCCCTGTTAGAAATCTTCCCCATCAGCCCATGCCCCCGTTATGTGTGATTCTTGGAGGTCCGGGTGAGAATTGGTCTTCAGCAACCTATGCTTGTACAAAGCAGCAGTAGGGTTGGCTGGACTTTGTTGACCCACTATTGTATCCCAATTGAGCAGATCGATGTTTATCCTGTTGATCACTGGGTTGTCTGGTCCACTCTCGATTATTTACAGACCGCCGCCATATAGCTGGAATATAGCTGAGTTCGGCGTTAAACAGACGTAACGGAAAGAGTGGTCAGAGTCGCTCACATTGCTAATGCATGTCTTAGATCGATAATCATGATGTCCAGACTCGATTATTTATAGACCGCCGTCACACAGCTGAAATATTAATCTATAAATGGGTGGGTTTGATTCAAGTTGCCTTTAGAGACAGGTTGTGAACTGTATTGAGAAGACTCCCAAACATGTTTTTCTCTCAACTTCAAATGGTGGTTACCATCAAATATTCCAGCAGTATGACAACGGTCAGTGAATAATCGAGTCTGGACCAGACAATCTAATGATTGCCATTTTGGGTATTGGTCTGTTAAGACACGATGACAGGCATCAACCAAGTTACCGAGCCAGACTACCTAATCCTTATGTATTGTCTTTACGGGGATACAGCCTAAACCTAACGCTAAATGAAAATTAATCAATTAAATTGTTGTCTTGTGATTATTTGGGATGAACTGTTCTCACAGAAAATTTGCCAGCTGACAAAGGTTGCCAGCTGACAAAGGAGTCCCCCTGCCAAACATGGTCCTTTCAGGAGGAGGAGGAAGACTCGGACTACCTCGTCCACACCCTCTTCCTCAGAAATGTCAGTAATTTTTCCTTATCCTGACTCATGATCTTTCGCTTATCTCCTATGCGAATGTCAGTATTTTATTGCATTTAGTTTACTCGTTACTGCTGTACTATATGTACATATCTGTCAGGCAGTGGGTTAGGCCAGTAGTTAAAGCGTTGTCACACCCAAACCCGGGTTCGATGGGTAAAATGTGTGAACCCTATTTCTTGTGTCTCCCGCCGTGGTATTGCAATGATTATTGCTGAAAACGGCGTTAGAAGGTACTGTCAAATGTGATATTTGAGATTAAGATTTATTCCTATTATGGAGTCGCGTGTTTCAGTCTGTCCTGGGAGCGGAGGCGGTGAAAGGAGAACTGAACATTGTACAGGTGGAGACGAAGAGTTTTGAAGATAAAGACATCAAACAACCACTGTTCTCGTTACGGAATGGAGGACAGGAAACGGTAAGTTTCCTTCAAAATGAAGGCCTCAAAACATTTTTGTAAGGTTGTAGCTAGTCCTGCTTGACTGACTTAAAAATGACACTTTTGATAACGGGTAAACGTCATGTGCTCAGTCGTTTAAAAGCGCCATCATTGAATTCATTCCTGAGGCGGCCATAAACAAAAGACAAAAATGTATTCAACACGCATTCACAAAACGTAGAGATTTTAGGGCCGCTTTCGTTAACTTAAAGGCCGAAAACCTGCCGCCCCATTGTGGAATCCTGGCTTGAATTATTATATGCCCAAACAATATTGGATAGAATTAATAACGGATTGACTCCGTTGGGCAGGCTCGGTGGTTCATGACGTGTCTTTGTGCACTGACATCGTGGATTGTCGTACACTACATCAGTCACTGGATTATCTGGTCAAGACTATATAGTACTATGTATCTGGAATATTGCTCAGTGTAGCTTTAATAACAGCTTTTACCCACCACTGAATGCATCAAAATGTGTTCATATCATGATTCCATGTTATGTAGACGGCTGTAGATGTATGAATAGTTGGTCTATCAACAAAATCAGAACTGTCAAACGTATAATTAGAGTAGTCCCCCTTTGACCATACAGCGTCCTTTTTCACTTGCCGATTTGAACTTTTATCGTTCGCTTGTAAATACGTTTCGGCGCAGATGTTATTACTTCTGTCAAAGCATTTATTCTAAAAAAAAATTCAAATCGGTGTAGTTGATTACAAAGCCGAACAACCCCACCCCACAAAACAACCGAAACTCACATTACATAATTTGTAGTTGTTTAAAATGTTATGGATATTTTTCAGTTAACGATGGACCTGAGTTTTGCCGGCGCCTGTAGCACAACGTTCCGGCTGGTTGAAGGATCAGGGCCGGTACACATAGGTGGACAACATCTAGTGGGTATGTCGACATACCGAGAGTTGTGATGTCATACCGATAATTGGGTTAGCTGATATGTCAGATACGATAGTTGGTATGTCACGATGCGATAGTTGGTATGTTATGATGCGATAGTTGGTATGTTATGATGCGATAGTTGGTATGTTATGATGCCGATAATGGGGATAGTTGGTATGTCACGATACGATAGTTGGTATGTCACGATGCGATAGTTGGTATGTTATGATACCGATAATGGGGATAGTTGGTATGTCACATCGACTCCGATAGTGGGCATATCAGTGCCATGTTTTGCCACCATTTCAATAGTATTTAATGATACCAATAGATCGTATGTGGATATTTCGATACCTAATATTACTGGACGCGATACTGGGTATGTCACGGTAGTTTGCATAGGATGATAGCACCTATTTCAGGGGTGAAAATAACCCATTGCCCGACGTCCGAGTCCAGTGCTATTTTCTGTCGGGCAAGCAAATTTGTATATCACGCTGTACCCGTGTCCAGTTGACTTTCCAATGTTAATAATGTTGTTTATTTAAAACATTAACAAGAAAACGGCCGGTATAGTGAAAAAATGATCAGGGCAAGTGATTTTACATGTTCCACTGTACCGGAGTACACTAGCAATTTTAAAGTTATTTCCACCCCTGTTATTTGAAAGTACAGATTGAGGGCGTCTCTGCATCGTGTTATGCACGTCAGGATAGTAGTCAGTAACCTTAGTGGACATACCAGGATGCAAACTGAAGACGAAAACACGTCTTTAGCAAATCATGTGTGATGCAACATTAAGCCACCTGTTTAACATGTGCCCGTCTCCTGTAATCCTGTTCCAGAGTTTCCCCCCGAACACAACATGAGTCAAGACGAGTCCGAGTTCTTTACCGAGGACGACATCGAACACGAGGAAGATGATGACGAAGATGAAGAGGAAGAATCGCCCAAGGGGAAGAAGTCCCAGAAGAGGAAGGCCAGCTCACAGACAACGGCAAAGACGAAGGTTGGTTCATGTCATTTGCTGGACCATGAATGTTCAGGGATTTAACCACGTCTTATTAGCGACCACCAGCGTTCCACAAAACTGTTGTGGCCCTCATGTGATCGTAGTGTCCCTACTTAACTCAAGGGCGGTGGGGTAGCCTAGTGGTTAAAGCGTTCGCTCGTCACACCGAAGGTCCGGGTTCGATTCTCCACATGGGTTCAATCTGTGAAGCCCATTTCTGGTGTCCCCCGGCTTGTTATTGCTCGAATATTACTAAAAGCGGAGTAAAACTAAACTCACTCACTCACTTAAACTTAAACTTGCGTTCCATATGGCATAATGAACGTTTTCTGAACGGGCCTGATCTTATTAATATAAGGGGCGGTGGGGTAGCCTTGTGGTTAAAGCGTTCGCTCGTCACGCCCAACACCTGGTTTCGATTCTCCATATGTGTACAATGTTCCCCGCCGTGAGATTGCTAGAATATTGCTAAAAGCGGTGTAAAACTACTCACTCCAGTGCCAGTCAACTAACACGTGAGAAATCAACGCAAAATCTCCCACCCCGTGTTTTAACCCCTTTGATGCTGTATATTAATTGTTTGCAGAAAGGAAAGATGGAAGTGAGTGCTGAGGACGAAGACGACGATGACGATGTAAGTTTAGTGTGTGTCGTTGCAGTGTGTGTGTTCTCAGGAAAATAACCGTGAAGATCCAGGTTAGAATTGATCTTCATCAACCCATGCTTGTCGTAAAATGCGACTAACGGGATCGGATGGTCATATAGCTGGAATATTGCCGAGTGCGGCGTAAAACTGAACTCATTCACTCACTCTCAGGAAAATATAGAAGTTTGTTTAATCAACACATACTGACAGTCAGGCAGGTTTCACTGAAGTCATTTTCTTGCTGCCTTGAATTTTATGATGTAGGTAAACTGTCCTATAAAGTATCCTGAAGAAAGACACGATGTCTCAATTTCACACATGCAATTGATTACGTCTAGAACTTGAAATAGGCACCACGCAATGCGGCAATAGTAGTTCTTTAAACATACTCAACAATAAATCTACAATAAAAATGGTAGGGCAATTTTCTTCTGGGACCATGTATAACCTGAAAATTAGACACATTGTCAGACACGTGATTTAGATTCTTGCCTCACCTGTTTGGAAAGTCAGTGTTTCAATATTTTACTTATGCCTACATAACCAAACACTAGTGTTATTGCTGCCCCACACATTCCCACCGAACCAACTTTTACCCTTAGACCAATTGGCAGGCTATTTTCATATCACTCGCGCTGGTAGAATTTTTGTGGGGGATGTATCGGTATCTGGGGTAAGTTAACAGGTGCTTCAAATAACGGGAAACTCGTTGATTGGGACAGTATTACGAGGTTCGACTTTGTTTCCCTTGATGACCTAGGCGTTAAGGAAACATGATGAACTACAGGATATGGCTGTGCTGACTGTTCATGCTGTCAGCCATTGGTTCTTCTGGTTTATTTTCAATTTACAGAACTTGTAATGATGCTGATTGTTTTGACTTAACTTCGGACAACAGGAAGCACCTAACAAAATTTTCCCTCTATGCGCTAATAAAGGAAGAATATTGATACCCCAGGCCCCCAAAAGGATGGCAACTCTGGGACTGGTAGTACATGGTAAAGCATTGGAGATTATCTTGGGGCATTCTGGACTGGTGCCCAGTATCCTGAACAGACTATCAGGTGGCGACATTGTCATCCGGGGGCGGTGGGGTAGCATAGTGGTTAAAGCGGTCGCTCATCACGCCACACCGAAGGCCCGGTTCGGTTCCCCACATGGGTACATTGTGTAAATAAAGCCTTTATCGGTGCTCTTGCTTTCAGTCACCGGTTTGTCTGGTCAGATCATTTACGTGCCTTAGCAATGTTGCCCAATGCAGGGTTAAACAGAAACACTCCTTTCTCCAACTGTTCTGTTTCCAGTTGCATAGTTATTTATAGTTAAAAACTGGGAAATAATTTTAAAGGGGAATCCCCAGCTGCGTCATACTGAAAGACGTTAACAGATAATTTTTGTTACCATGCCTTGTACTTGCCATGAAAGGAACAGAACAAGGACTGGTTCGCTGTCACCAAACTGAGTGGGGTATTCATGTTAAACTGCGATTGTCTTGATGGGCAATCACTATGAAACATTAGTCCCGATTATAAGAAGCTGCCACACACAAGTACACGTTGGTATGTAAGTACAATAATCTTGTACGCCACGTTAAACTCGATCTCACCCGATCTCACCCAACCGTCTGCTTTTGTCAGCACTGTTAAATTTTTCTGTGTTTTTAAGTAGACATGCTAATCTTGCACGACACATACTTAATAGACCCAGAATACCTCGGCTCATTTTGTTAAGTCACGATTAAGATTGTTACTTATGGTCATCAGTGAAATGAAACACTTTTAATTAGTCAATTTGAGAAATTGCTACTAGCATCAAGCAGATCATGTTGCCGAACTGTTGCCTGTCGAGCGAGGACGCCCGCAGCATGGAGGAATGTCCTTGGTGGCGGGGGCAGTGTATAAAACAGACGCTTGAGATGAAACAAGATTTATGTGAGGCTTTGATTTCACTACTTTACTTCAACATACTGTGTTAGTACTACATTTTCTGAATTTTTGGATCAGATTCAAGTGCTATCATTTGGACAAAATTTCAATCAAGTGAAACCCCAATCCTTATGTTGTCACCTTGGGTTATTTCTCGTGTTTATCAGCAGACGGGCTAGGGGAACAGGGTAGGTTGAGATTACAGGTGGAAATATGGCCCGAAAAGCCGATTAGCCCCGGAACAGATGTTGATAGATTAACTCTGTGGCTGCTGGCGGCGATGTAATGCGACCTGAGAGTCGCAAGCTGCTGATACACTAGTGCGGCTTAATTCCCTTCTCACTCACTTCACTCAGGCCATGTTTTTTTAAAAGGGTTTATATTTTTAAGGAGTAAATATGTTTAGACGTCTTATAGACCGTGTTTGTTTAACACAGCGCTAAATGACTGCGATCTGTAAATAATCGAGTCTGGACCAGACAATCCATTAATTGGCTTGATTGATAATCAAATGGGATGTCGCCTTGAAGGCTTCTACTACATGTTCAGAAAAAAACTACATGTTCACTACAGAAAAATAATACAGCTAGTTCAATCTCCGAAAGTATTGGGGCGGTGAGTTAGCCTAGTGGTTAAAGGGTTCGCTCATCACGCCGAAGACCCGGGTTCGATTCTCCACATGGGTACAATTTAGGAAGCCCATTTCTGGTGTCTCACTCTTCACGCCAAGTGATTCAGGTTTTGAAATCAAAGCAATCATTGGATTGTCTGGCCCGGAATTTGATAATATACACAAATACGTCATACAGCTTGAATATTGCTCAGTAGGACGTCAAGGAAGAAACCCCAAATGTTTTATCACACCAATTGTGTTATGGTCCATTAATAAATCGGTTCTTTCGAAGTAAATTTGACGAAAGGCTCTTGGCAAAATGGGTTCCCTTTAATGCAGTTTGTAGTCAATATTAAAGTAACACCTGGCCTTTGGTGAAGTTTGTATGCCCTTCTACTCAAGGGTTTGGCTACACACGTGACCGTTTCAAGGTCATGACTCACCAGACTCAGTTGGTCTTACCGTTGCTATTAACACGTGAATTTGTTTTAGCGTGAACATCCATGATCTCGGAGAGACTTCATATGCATCGCGCACGGTCTGGTTTAACGAGGCCGGTTGGGTAGCCTAATGGCCTGGGTTCGATTCCCCACATGGGTACAATGTGTGAAGCCAATTTCTAGTGTCCCCCCGCCGTGATGTTGATGGAATATTGTTGAAAGCGGTGTAAAACGACACTCACTGCTTGTTGAACTCCGCACTCGGCAAGATTCCAACTATGACGGCCGTCTTTAAATAATCGAGGCTTGACCAGACGATCCAGTGGTTCTCACCACGTACATGGATCAATGCAATTTGGACACCAGGTAAGCGAGCCTGGCCTCCAGATCCCGTAGTCGCCTCTTACAACGGGTAGCATCGTGCACGATTTCCGTAACATTTACCCACGTAGATTCTGGAGAGTTTACGTCCTCACCAAAGGGGCTTACATAGTAAGATTGCTTTGTGTGGTACCCCAATTGTGTTTACCTGTGCTCATGACACTAACAACCGGAGATGACTCACTTCTGTACAGTCGGTGTCCACGCTGGGCATCCGGTTCTTCAGTAACCCATGCTTGTAATAAAAGGCGACTAGCGGAATCAGATAGTCAGGCTTGCTGACTTGGTTGATGGATGTCACCGTGTCCCGATGTCTTAGATCGATGCTGATGACGTCGATCACTGGATTGTCTGGTCCAGATTAGATTATTTACTGAATGACGCATAGTGTGAATATTACTGAAAGCGGGGCAAAACACAAGTAAGCGTGAGGTAACTTTCAGTTACTGTCTACACGAATAGGACGCATGGATTTCATTTCCTTATTCAGTATGATCAAGGAATCTATGAAATTGCTTTCACAAGTGACTTAAACAGATTCTTGTTTACGTTCGTGGACTTGAATATTTTAAAATGAATACCCTAATCAAGTTTTCATAGCCATTTCGAGATAGTCAATATAATTTACCAGCAGGTAGCAGCAGATGGGTGGCACAGAAAAGGAATATTCTTAGCAAAGGTTGAGTGGTATATGACAAGTACGTCCGACACCGTGTTGCTAAAGTTGTACAATGAGGCCTTGAACTGATCTATTGGAAGTGATTAGAATCGAGACAAAGCGGTAGACAAACTCATAACTCCTACTCTTCTGTGATGTCGGATCCTAAGTCTTCAAAGGTAGACTGTTTTGTAAATAGGGATTATGGGGCTTGTTGACGGAACATTCCCTATCACTGTAAGGCCCCAGATCTTTGACACATTGGAAGGCGATTTAACCAATCTTGACACCATCTTGCTCACATGTGACAGCATTAGTGTGTTCACACCTGTGTCGGTTTGCCTGTGCCAGACAAGTTCGCGCTATTGACGTAGCCTCTTTCAGCATGGTTCAAGGCCTTTAACTTTGAGTGGCTTTGACCTTCTGAGGAAAGTAGGTTTGTTTGGGTGACCTCACCCCAGTGTCAGTTTTCTGTGTGACCAAAATTCTTGTCACTTCTGATATACTAATCAAAAGATGTCAAGGAACATCCTGTCTATTTTCCTTTAGAATTTATCTGTCGTGATGTGACAAATTAGTCACATGAAAGAATTGGCTGATCCATATAGGTGGTATACAAGAGCCTTATTTGTTTATTGACATTGTTTGGATTGTTTAAGCAAATCAGACGGTGTTGACGCTACGATGTCGAGCTGGAGATTCGATTTGTAGTCCTTTCTAATTTTCTTGGAAACCGCTCTGGAAACATGTCATTTTGTTTGTATCGTTCGTTAAGTGTATGTATCGTTAAGGTGTCTGTATCGTTAAGTGTCTGTATCGTTGAGTGTCTGTATCGTTAAGGTGTATGTATCGTTAAGTGTCTGTATCGTTAAGTGTCTGTATCGTTAAGTGTTTGTATCGTTAAGTGTCTGTATCGTTAAGTGTCTGTATCGTTAAGGTGTATGTATCGTTAAGTGTTTGTATCGTTAAGTGTCTGTATCGTTAAGTGTCTGTATCGTTAAGGTGTATGTATCGTTTAGTGTCTGTTAAGTGTCTGTAACGTTAAGTGTCTGTATCGTTAAGGTGTATGTATCGTTAAGTGTATGTATCGTTAAGTGTATGTATCGTTAAGTGTCTGTATCGTTAAGTGTCTGTATCGTTAAGGTGTATGTATCGTTGAGTGTTTGTATCGTTAAGTGTCTGTATCGTTAAGTGTCTGTATCGTTAAGTGTTTGTATCGTTAAGTGTATGTATCGTTAAGGTGTATGTATCGTTTAGTGTCTGTATCGTTAAGTGTCTGTATCGTTAAGTGTCTGTATCGTTAAGTGTTTGTATCGTTAAGTGTATGTATCATAATCATCCGATACTGTTTTCCGTGAAATTAAATAATTTATTTACAGTTATAAACATGAATGGGTGGCGGGGGTTAATGGTGAATTTATGTTAGTCTTTCGATCATTCATACTCATCATAATTCCCAGCAATGAGTGAGTGAGTTTAGTTTTACGCCGCACTCAGCAATATTCCAGCTATATGGAGGCGGTCTGTAAATAATCGAATCTGGACCAGACAGTCCAGTGATCAACAGCATGAGCATCGATCTGCGCAATTGGGAACCGATGACATGTGTCAACCAAGTCAGCGAGCCTGACCACCCGATCCCGTTAGTCGCCTTTTATGACAAGAATGGGTTGCTGAAGACCTATTCTACCCCGGATCTTCATGGGTCTCCCAGCAATGACGTCACTGTAGTAGTATATGCGGTGGGGTAGCCTAGTGGTTAAAGCGCTCGCGAAGACCCTGTTTGGTTGGATTCCCCACATGGGTACAATGTGTAAAGCCCATTTCTGGTGCCCCCCGCCGTGATATTGCTATAATATTGCTGAAAGCAGACCCTAGCTAAATTCACTCACTCATAACTATTGCAATACGTACGGTGGTCTTCTACTTATTTTGAGTAGAATACATCCATCACCTGTAAGGCCTGACTAAACCTGGTATCGCGTGGTTACTCTGTATAACTAGATAATAGTCCAGATGATCCCTCGCTGGTAATATAAGCAGTATAACCTACTAAGCACTGGCTATAATAGACAGACTACTGCTACCCAACGTAAGAACTTTGATGAAGGGCCATATTGAATTCTCCCGCTTTCTTCTACAGTGTTCAAGTACAGTTAGCGTTAGGGTCACTCAGTCCGAATGGTTCCAGGTGGTCATCTAAACCAATTACTGTCCCCTCTAAGTCCAATTGGCAACTCGACCCCAGTAAGTTGAGCTCAGGGGTCTTGTCTACAGTGTAACCCTCCTGGGCCCCATTTCACAAAGCTCTCGTAGACCTAAGATCTCGTAACCTTTCTCGTAGCATTCAAACTCCCTATGTTACAGTATAGGAGGTACGAATGCTGCGAGAAAAGTTACGAGATCTTAGGTCTACGAGAGCTTTGTGAAACGGGGCCCTGGACATCACACTAGATCACAAGCCCGCCATGACGGGGCAGATTGCTTCGATTGTTCGTTGACATGTTCATCATGTGGATTTATGACCAAGGGTTCGCAATAATATACTTTTCAGCCTCTGATAATCATATATTTTCCTATTTAAATGTATACTTGACATTATTAAAATCACGTTTTATGTGTTAAAGGTGTATTATTACGATATGGTAATCTAGCGGTCAAAGTGTTTGCTTCCTCCGATTTCCACGGTTTGATCCCTAGTTTAGGTAGGGTATGAATCCCATCCTTAGTTTAGCGTTGACTGGCGTGTCACCTATTCATATCGACATTTTGACATGTAAACCAGCATTGAGAATCCGGGACAGGAAAGTCCCCTATTTTGATGAAAACACATTCACGAATAAAGGATGGGCACAATTTATCTCAACTTAGGTAACCTTCTCCCAAAATATATACATCACGACTGTCGTATAATATCCATAGTCGCAGAGGCAGCAGGAACCATTATACTTTATCTAAATATGGACAGTGCAACCCAATAGGGGCTGAGGTCCTATTAATGCCGACTGAAAATTGTTTGGTCAAAATGCTATCTGGATTTGAATTCATACAATCACATACACAGGGGTTCCGGGAAGAATAGTGTGCCGACCTGTACTGTTATTAACTCGTATGCAAACTCTCACCTGGTCTCTTTAAACAAAGACATCACTGCGATATTAGGCATAGTTTGCTTCGTTCAGTCGGGGGGCGGCGGGGTAGCATAGTGGTTAAAGCGTTGGCTCGTCACGCCGAAGGCCCGGGTTCGATTCCCCACATGGGTACAATGTGTGGAGCCCATTTCTGGTGTCCCCCGCCGTGATATTGCTGGAATATTGCTAAAAGCGGCGTTAAACCATACTCACTCACTCGTTCAGTCGGATGTGACAGCTATTTAATGAAGCACATGTTGTGTGGATGAGTACATGTTTGTGGTCTTGCAGGAGGACGAAGAAGACATGGGACGACGATGACGACGACGATGATGAGGAAGACGAAGATGAGGAAGAGGAAACACCGGAGAAAACGTAATGTTTTGTGTTTTTCTGTATATTGTAAGCTTTCAATGGAACTGACGGTTTAGCCATACTGGTAAAGCGATTCTTGCAAGTGATGATTGGACAGGGATGTCTTTTAGCCCTGTAATTTACTGTGCAGAGTTCATCAATTGCATGCCAGAAAGGTTCTGCTACAAGGTTCTATGCTGACACTGTACCTGTTCTCGAGTGATTCAGGAAAGTTGGTAAACTTCTGAAAGGTGCATCCTCCAAGGAATACCAGGTTTTATACCAAGCCAACTCATTGCACATGTATACAGAGGGGGAAGCTTCCATTGCTCCAGCTATCGACCACTGTTTTTATGGTCCAGTGCACATATGATATCATTCATTCTGACTTGGCCTGTATTGCACTTTATCTTTGAACATAATCGACATTGTATGTCGGGCCCGGTGCTAGCGTCCCAGTGCACGTTGTAGTTAGATTGAGACGAGTTTTCATGGTGCAAATATGGGAAGCCAATCGTTGTAAATATTTATGTTCGTATCCCTCTCTTTATACTTGTCTTGGTGACAAATGGTGATGTGAGACTTTACTTTGTTTGCAGAAAGAAGAAAGGCAAAAAGGTGAGTCTTTTCTGGTTCAGAGTTGACATTGATTGAACCAACTGGGATCATGGTGCTTGTTGGACTCCTCACTCTTTTATCCGTGGTCATGTTGTGGCCAGGGCGGTTGGGTAGCCTAATGGTGGTTAAAGCGTAGCCTAATGGTGGTTAAAGCGTAGCCTAATGGTGGTTAAAGCGTAGCCTAATGGTGGTTAAAGCGTAGCCTAATGGTTAAAGCGTAGCCTAATGGTGGTTAAAGCGTAGCCTAATGGTTAAAGCGTTCCCTCGTCTCGCTGAAGACGATTCCTCACATGGTTACAATGTGTGAAGGTCATTTTTGATGTCCCTCGCCTTAATATTGCTAAAAGCGGCATAAAAACCATGCTCACTCATTTTGGGCCTAAGGGGATGATACGTCATCCTACCCAGATTGCTCAAGGGAATAAAACAAGGACTTCAGGTTCAAGTCGACAAGTGGTGATGGTGGGTTATACATGTTAAAGTTCCGAATGGTGACACAGCACTAAACTGGACAAGTGCACGCACATACAAAGACAGACGTACAGGATGCATGACACGAACACAGGTACATTTTTACACATAAAATCACCTTTGCACGTTACATATGTGCAATCATCTCAAACGCGACGTCAACTCCATTTCACTTGACCTATCGAAATGTAATTACCCTACCTGCAGATGGAAAGGATTTTAATCTCGCCATAAAAAAAATCTTGAATTGAGGATTAAGTGAATGAACTTTGATTTTGTATATATCCGTGTCATGTTTTCTCAGCCGTCATGGGAGGGGCCGATAGTGAGACAGGTGTGGGTCAATGCCCCCTCCCCCCGCATCAGCCCACCCATCATACCTCATCCATCATACCCCATCCATCATACCCTGCCTAACGCTGGTGTTGTCGGAGTTGTTAGCGCTCATTCTCCTGTCTGTGATACTCAATACTGATTTGCACAACCTGCCCCACTATTCTCTTTGGTGGTGTTGATATGAAGGATAATATGTAATTGTTGGAAGATGGGGAATTAATGGGAATAAGAGGGGAAGCACGTGCCACAGAGACAGTTGGTGCATTAATCGGATAAGCGGTATCGTCAGGGCAGACAACAGGGCATTGTTAGCCGTTATACACCCGCCATTTGACAACGGCAGTGTAGTATAAAATATTACTTATCTATGAAGCTTGGCGTGGCGAACAACGGGGCGCAACGTGTTCTGGTAGCTAAAAAATAGTCCCACTTTCATCCATCTGCTCGCATCTTGCTTTCTAACAATTATTTTGACGTGGCCTGAGGGATGATTTATTTCGTTATAATTACATTAAAATCAGTTATTCCGCTGAACTGGCGGTTAGTGTGCCCGTACCAAAGGTAATGGCGGCCGTTGCCTCTTCCAGCGCTTGTGACACGCAACCGTACAACGACGTATTGATCAAAACAGACAACCGTATGATCGTGTTTTTGCCGGTATTTAGTTCATAGAATATGATTAATAGAATCGTTTTGAGTCATACGCTCCAGAGGTATATTTGAAAAGTAACAGGCGACACAGTTGTACATGGTCCCAACTAGCATATCTGTATCTGTTTCTCTGACAAAAGTTAAGTTCTTGGAATATTTCTCCAGCTCAATGACATGGCGTTGATGTCACATTATTGCACTATGGGCTGAAAGCCGTATGACTGACTTTTATGGTAGGTCATGTTCGCATTTTTTGAGAATGTTTATCAATTGAATGGTAATACCTTCCATTGGTGCCTATTTGTGAATATAATTGATCACTTCATAGAGGGTTCCAATGGGATTCCTCCGGGGCCACCTGTGAACTCCACCCCAAGTCACGGCGGGTTAGAGACATATAAAACTACCGATCATTGAAGCCAAAACGGCCATTTGAATAGGATTGTACCCGCATAATAAAATCAAACCTCCGCGAACCCTTCTCAATAGGAAGACACCTGGTCGGGTAGAGGGGTGAACTCGTGGTGTAGGTTTTGGGAGGTTTACTAACACGAGAACGCTGGCAGGGAACAATAGTCACAACTCGCAGACAGGGTGAAGCCGTACTAAACTATGAGATAATCCCTATCAACATTTCAACTGGTGTTTGCCATGTTGGAATCTGTCCTTTGATCATCGGCAATTGTCCGTCTCGTTTGACCAGCGTCTTGCCTCTTTGAGACCGAGTCTGCGTGGCTTGGGCCTGCCTCTGCATATCATTTCAGGATTATAACATGCATTCCTATGCTGTCTGAGGCCCTGTCCAATCGCTGCTAATCTGCTTCCATTGTCCAATGACGAGCGACAGTACTCCAGCCACCCGCGCCTTACAAGGGCATTGTGAGCCCTAAGTCTGTCACAACACAGTTAATTGGTAGCTGTCGCGCTTCGCTACTTCATTTATTTTTTCAATGGGCTATCTGGTTTTGTGTGCTGTGGTAAGTTTCGTCAAGTTCATTACCACCCCTACTTAACCCCCTCCCTGCGTGTCTGACGTGGGACGTGCGGATAGATATGTAGTAGGGATCAGGAACCGCGACCCCTGGGACTCAATCCGCTCCTGACATGTCACTGATTGCGATCCTCAGGCATGTATTGATGTTCCAACAGGTTAACGTACATATTGCAATAATTTAAGCACCCTGAAATAGATGTCCACACTGTGAATGTCTTCATAGAATAAATGGTGGGCGGTGGGTAGCTAAGTGGTTTAAGCGTTCGCTCGTCACTCAGATGACTGTTCGATTCCCGACGTTCGGGTACAATGCGTGAAGCCCATTTCTTGTCTCCCGCCGTGATTTGGATGAATATTGCTTTAAAATGGCGTAAATCTGAACTCATTCACTCGTAGAATATAGGTTGGCGACTTTGGGTAGCCTTATTGTTAAAGGGGCGGTGGGGTAGCCTAGTGTTTAAAGCGTTCACTCGTCACGCCGAAGACCCGGGTTCGATTCCCCACATGGGTACAGTGTATGAAGCCCGTTTCTGGTGTCCCCTCCGTGATATTGCTTGAATATTGCTAAAAGCAGCGTAAAACTAAACTCACTCGCCTTATTGTTAAAGCGTTGGTTCGTCACTCTGAAGACCCTGGTTCGATTCCCCACATGGGTACAATGTGTGAAGCCCATTTCTTGTACACGGGCGTGATCTTGCTGGAATACTACTAAAAGCGGCGTAAAACTAATCTCACTCACACTCTATAAAAGTCAACGTCATAATGTCTCCTATCCAACGAGGGGCGGTGGGGTAGCCTAATGGTTAAAGCGTTAGCTCGTCACGCCGAAGACCCGTGTTCGAATCCCCACATGGGCACAATGTGTGAAGCCCATTTCTGGTGTCCCCCACCGTGATGTTGCTGGAATATTGCTAAAAGCGGCGTAAAACCAAACTCAGTCAGTGAGTCAGTCCTATCCAACGAAAGAGTGAGAGTGGTTTTACGCCGATTTGAGCAATATTCCAGCAATATCATGGCTGGGGACACAAGAAATGGGCTTCACATATCCCAATGAAAGAGATACCACTGGGCATAAATTGCAGTGAAAGTTATGAATGGATCACTGAAATTCTGTGACACCTGATGTTCGCGAAAGTAAAGCGTCATTTACTTGATTCGTAAAAACCAAAGTATTTTATGCTGTATATTTATCGGAGACAAATAGACTGTCTGTTGTAGTCTGCAGTTATATTAAAAATATATTGTTATATTTTATATTAAAAATATAACTGAAAAAGACAAGGTTTACAGGGATCATGGACTCGATCAACGTCAGCTGTGACAAAAGACAAACAAAACCAGGGCCTTTTTAGCAAACGTGTCTTGCAGTCCACCGTTTCTAATGGATTTGAGGTGACATTTACAATACATCGTATGTCCCTAAAAAGCAACAATAGGACAAAAAGGCACAGTTGATAGATTCAGAAGCTGACTGTTATCTCATTTCTATTTTTTTCTGGCTTCCATTTAATTTTGATGAAACATTAGATGGGCCCGGGTTAATCGTTTTACAGAGTCAGGCTTGTCACACCTGTCACACTGAAGACCCTTGTCTGATTTCCCACACAGATAAGAGTGTCATGCTTATTCTTCGTGAGCAGTTTCAGGCTGGATGTTATTGGACCACTGTGGATAAAAACCTCACTCATGTTGATGCTTCCCCTCCTCCCGTTTGGTTAGGAGAGGTAGCCTAGTGATTAAAGCGTTCGCTCGTGACGCCAGAGACCCGGGTTCGATTCCCATGGGTACAATGTATACAGCCCAGCTGGTGCATCCCTTCCTGATATTGCTGGAATATTGCTAAATGCGGCGAAAGACTATACTTACCCTCCTCCAACCTGGTGAAACTTTAGTGCTGTACATCTTTTCACCCTGATTGTTTGTTGGCTTGTCAGCGCCACACCTGTTCTCATTGGTTTCACCAAAGTGGTAACGATTTGCATCTCATTTATGCTTGTGCTTTTCTACAAGTTAACAAGCAATGCTATGCAGACATGGGTTCAATTACTTTGAAATGTTATTAATTAAATTACAATTACTTTGATTTTCCTCAATTACAATTACACCTTAAATTAAAATGTACTTAATTAAATTACAATTACATTACCAATGTAATTAATTACATTACAAATTACTTTTTTTTAAAACAAGAACAAAACAGATGTATTTCTGTATTCATTTAATCAACAAGATATAGATGTTGGTACACACTGGTCACTAAATCCAGTTCACATTTTTGTCATCAAAAAGTGAAATGCAAAATTATATTAAATCTACAATGTACACTATTTGATCAGGTTTTTCTTTTGCATATTTCTTTGGGCTTATCAAATACTAGTACACACCTATCATCACTTGTTGCAAAAAGCACTTTGTCCACCACTGTTACATTAGGCATACTGTATCGTGGCTCATCATTACAGGCCTACATTACAATATAAAATCTGCCGGTCTCTCTATCTGACATAATCCACATTAACATACCAAAGGATTTGTCAACTTAGATTTATGGCTTATTACATTTCATGATTATAAAAATAGGACTACAGTTCAGTAAGATTTTGAATATCATATCCTATGAGAAATAAACTAAAGAGGCCATTTTGAAAGGAACTTGACTAATAGTAAAGTTAATCCCCCATATCCTCAAATACTAACCTACATTCAGTCATGCGTTACTGATTCCCTTTGTTTCACAAATGTTCAGATGGTGATAGTTGCAAAGGCTTAGACATTCAAATCTTTCAAAACTTAACACCTGCTAGAGTATATACAGACGGCAAGCATCTAATTGAAAATCACTACTTTGTCCTCATTATACAGGATATAATTGCATGGGTTGCCTGATGAAAATAAAAAAAAGATGTAATTATATGTAATTGAAAAAGTATTTGAAAAATTCAATTACATTGAGATATTAATAAGTCAAATAACAATTACAAATTACATCTTGAACATTCAATTACAAATTACATGCAATTACATAGATTTTTGTAATTAATTACATTGTTACAATTACAAATTACAATTACCCCATGTCTGATGCTACGACTGAAATACTATATAAAGTGACATAAAACACTTTGTAAATCCCGTCTCGGTATGGCCGAACCTTGCTTTACCTACATTTGTTGACTTAGCTGCCTGTTTGACCAATGTCTACAAGATATCGCGGCCGCTTCACCAGTGTCAAAATCTGTCTGTCTTGTGGAAAACGTAATTTTCCATTTTCCCACATGGGTCAATGTGTGAAGCCCATTTCAGGTGTTTCACGCCGTGATATTGTTGAAATATTGCTAAACGCGGCGTTTAACTAGACTCATCATTACCAATAGGGCTGTGCAATATTACTGGTAAACCGGTATATACTGGTACAATATCTCGCGATACGATTATCGCGATATGGTTCAGATTCTGCACTATATTGGGTCATCCAGAGTTAGCTCCATATGAATTATCTGCCCTTGATTTCCATAGCAAACAAATATGCTTTAAAAGTGCCAAATATATTTTTATTTCTGTTGGTTTTATGTAACATTTTACAAGTGGAAGTGTCATAAGTAGCTCCAAAATTGCCAAATAGTCTACCAAATACTTGACGTTTTGTGGGTTTGAATGGTTTAATTTGGAGGAATTAAGTGGCCTCAAATGGACCAATTTTTATTTGGACTTATTAGTAGAGCCTCTTGCTCTGAGTGAGCATTTCACAGTTCACAGTATTTTGTTATTTTTGTTTGTTTCATAATGGGGCAGATGATGTCAATTTATCCTACAGGCCTGAGTCTTAGAAAAAATGACATTCCAGTCATCTTAGCTATTGGAGATCACATGCGATTTAAATCCCAAGTAGTTCAACTAAATGTTGTTTTTGTTTCATTTGGCAATAGTTCATGTTAACACATTGAATCTGAATGAATCACATACAGTAACAATAAGTACATACTGCACTGAAGCACATTCTGTTTAAGCAAACAACACTGACAATGAAAATCATGTTATACTATTACCTTTATCATTATATTCGCAAAACGTTGGTGCAACATATTCCACATTAAGGCTCTATATTATTTTATTTATCTGTAAACGATTGGCATACAGCCATACACAATGGGTACGGGGAGCCTGAAAGTATGGTGTAACAGCAACGGAGAAGATGTCGCACGCAGAGAGCTATTATGAATTTATAATGTACGCACTTTGGCAGAAACCTTCAAGTCAATATATCACTCTATATATTGCAATATCTCTTAAATTATTGCAGTATATCACAATATGAAATTCAGGGCAATATCCAGCCCTAATTACCAACTTTTTTTCAATCTCTTTTAAATAGGGTAAAGACGATGCAAAATCTTCGAAAGCAACAAAGAAGGCGAAACCAGCTTCAAAGGTATTAAATATTTTCTTGGTTTAGCATCAATGAAGATCCTGGAAAAGATTGGTCTTTACATCCCATGCTTCTCGACCAGGCTTTGCTGATGCATGCCGTCGTATCACATTTGGGAGCGGTGGGGTAGCCTAGTGGTTAAGGCGTTGGCTCGCCATGCCGAAGACCTGGGTTCGAATCCCCACATGGGTACAATGTGTGAAGCCCATTTCTGGTGTCCCCCGCCGTGATGTTGCTGGAATATTGCATAAAGCGGCGTAAAACCAAACTCGGTCAGTCGTATCACATTTGCCCAGTTCGATGACCAAGATGTCGGACACTGAGACTTATTTACAGACCGTTGTAATGTTGACTGATGCTTTAAACGATTCAAGAATACGACACGAATGACAAACGCAGTTTATAGCGTTAGATCGCAATCCACAAGCAATGCCAGACAATAACATTCTTAGTAAAATACCGAAAACCCTATAATTTCTCAGCAGGAATCTGATTTAAATGTACTACTCAAACACATCAGAACACCCGACTTCCATATTAGTCCTATTAACTGGAACAAAAAAATCGGCTTTCCTATAATTTGAGTGGTACTTTTTAGAATGGCGCTTTTCATTAGGGTATATATCCACTTTGCCAAATGAAGCTCAACATCACAGATTAAGTATTTTGGCAACTATAAACTATCCGATTTTTCTGACAATTCCGACTGGATCAAAATGAAAAGACAGACCTCTTTACCATAACGCATATTTGAAATGGTCCCGTTAAATTTTATCATTCGATTACATATTTCACATCAAACAATACACTGTCAGTCCATTCTGAGTTATTTGTCAATTCTCTCACACAGAACGTCATGTTTCTACGGCGACGTGGTGATTCAGATCATGATGGAGATACGTATTTCTCAGTATACTCAGTCTGGTGGAATGTTTCCCTAACAAATGGCATGGTCTAAAAGTAGCCCGACACTTAAATACACCTCGGCCAAGCAGTTTTATTTTAGATTTTGTTTCTATGGTCACGTACGATGAATGTTGATGAGGAAACAGTGAAAGGTTGCCGAATGACTCCATCCCATGTCAGCACTGTTGACTTAAGCTCCCAACTTCTACTTTCAGGCCCCCGCGAAGAAGACGGTGAAAAAAGGCAAGAAATGAGAGCCTCTCCTCGTCTAACCCTGTATTAAAGTGCTGCTGTATTTATAGTAATCTGTGTACATTGGTGGGCGGAATAAATCTCCTGGAACGTGCAGGCGTTTCTTGACTAGTGTTATCGATTTGTCAGATATAGTTCTACGTTTAATACTGTACATGTTCTGGTCAAAGAAAGTTCAAGAACACCTGTTCTTACACTCGACTCGTTAATCTGTCGTGGTTGGGTATTGCCATATGGCCTTTCCAAAGGTCGCTGTTCTTTAACTTTATTTCAGGTATAAATTACCGAGCACATTTCATTTTACTGTTTACGTGTGTTTACGCTGTGATCTACTCAAGTGTTCGCTTGAGTACTTAATTATAACCTAAATTCCATTTGAAATTGACGACATAGCTGTGCATAGCTGTTAACGCTGTCCTGTCTGAAGATCCGGGTTAGAATTGGTCTTCAGCATCCCATGCTTGTAAGAGGCGACTGACAGGATCGGGTGGTAAGGCTCATTGACTTGGTTGACACATGTCATCGTATCTCAACTGCGTAGAACGATCCTCATGTTGATCACTGGATTGTCTGGTCCAGACTCGATTATTTACGACCATATAGCTGGAATATTGCTGAGGGCGACGTTAAACAAAAAACATAGTAGGGACTGAAGAATAAGAAATCGTGAAAGGAAGCCCCACGCAACCTTGCTGGTCTTACTATTGGGTATTCGAACTGGCTTGGGTGATGACGCTACTTGTGTGAACCATCCACAGATGCTACATCGTCGACTGCCGTCTCAGACAACCCATAAAGTATCGAATAATTGTCATCCTGAGAGGGTACGTAAGTCCCAAAGCTTTCAAAGTAAAATTTAATTTAATTTTTGTTATTTTAAATTTCGGTTAAATTTTCCTGCAATCGCCAGCGGCTGAAGAAGGATGGCGTAAACCCAACAGGGGTCCATGTAGGTAGCAAAAACACTAAGTCCTCATGGTCCCTAGTATGGTGATCTACCTTCAGTTGTTGGCGACCTACAGCCTGTTTTTATGTTGTATTTTCTCGTTAATGATGTAGTTTTAGACTTACATGCTTGTTTTTAACACCATTTGTGATACTCTAATAGTTATTTTACAGTCTTTCGATGACTGGTTATTTAACGCTTTATATTTATTGTCTATGCAAAACCTTTCTCGTCACTATATGGCTGAAATATTGCCGAGGTGACGTTAAATTTTAACTCGCTCCCTCTCTCTCTCACACACACACACTGACCCGTGAAGGTCCGGGTTGGAATGAACCTTCAGTAACCCATGCTTGTAAGCGGCGACTAACGGGATCGGGTGGTCAGGCTCGTTGGCTTGGTCGACACATGCCATCGGTTCCCAGTTACGCAGATCGATGCTCGTGCTGTTGATCACTGGATTGTCTGGTCCAGATTCCATTACTTACAGACCGTGGCCATATAGCTGGAATATTGCTGAGTGCGGAGTAAAACTAAACTCACTCACTCAAGCAATCCCAGTTGATTGTTCTAAAGCATGTTTTCTGGAGTGCTTATGAAAATAACTCCTTTCGATTGGTTTTGGATTTGGGTGGGGATGGCAGTAGTTGTACCTTGAAAACGACCGCTAATGTCCAGTCCAAAAGTGATCATGCTTTTGTCGGTATGTCATTGTGTGGGATTCAGCAATGCGTTAAACGTTTCGCACCTGCTTTCCGCCACATTTCGCTGATGTTACAGAAATATTGTGGTGAATGTGGGCGTAAAACGTCGTTAGCCCACTCATGGTTGATCTGGTAATTTAGGCTTTGAGCAGTCACTTCCAACCTCAACCCCTTCCGAAGTACCACAAGATCATCAGAGCCGTCCTGAATGCAATGGGTCGGACCCAAATTACCGAGTGTCATCCAGTCGACGGCGTGGTACGTTGCTCTTGCTTCCGGTTTTGTTTGGGTAGTTTACGCCGCATTCAGCAAAACTGCAGCTTTCCAGAGGCGATCTGAAAATGATCAAGGCTATACAAGACAATCCGGTGATCGACATAAGCATCCGCCTACCCCGCCAAATAATCGAACTTGATGTGATTGAGACACTAAAGTACTGTCGGAAATAGAAAAAAAACCTGTTTTTAGGCTGTTACTCTGTATCCTTAAAATTTACACAATTGCAAATAGCATATGTCGACATAACCCAAATCGGCCTAACTGGGCGTTCAGTGGGATGCGTAATAGAATATCCAGAAAAGCATGTTTACTCGTAAAATCGGGCAAAACTTAGAAGAAATACGAACAGCTGCTGAAAACAATAGATCAGACTATAGATGGTAATTAGGTCGCTCAGCCAGGTATGACGACGGACCGTCAACTCACTTGGCATGAAATGCACGTGATGCCCACAGACACAAGGGGTCATCTCAAATATCTTTTATGCTTTTTCATGTGTATTGCATATGTCTCTAAAGATTATCTAATCTTAGTTAATATCTCTATCCCCAAGCCCGACCCCAACTACCGTCAGCATCAGCCATCTTGGTTTTGCTTTTGAGACGACCCCTCCTACCTGTTTCTTTTAATAGTGATAGTGAGACTCAATGGTATCTACATCCTTAATAGTTTCAGTATTAAAGTTGTTATGTTTTACGTCTGCTATCGTTTATTATGAAGCTAAATCTAGTTTCAAAATGGACATTCAAAAAGGGTCGGTCGAACTTAGTTCAACAATGACACTTTCCATCCCTACTCGCTCAGTAAGAGTTAACGCTCACTCTTAAAGATTTGGTACCCGTGAAGATCCGGGTTAGAATTGATCTTCAGCAACCCATTCTTGTAAGAGACGGCTGATGGGATCGAGTGGTCAGGCTCGCTGACTTCGTTGACACGTCATCGTATGTCGTAGATCGATGCTCATGATGTGTTCACTGGATTGTCTGGCCCAGACTCGATTATTTACAGACAACCGTCATATAGCTGGAAAATTGCCGAGAGACGCATTAAAAACAAACAAAACAAAAGTTTAACTATGTTGGTAATTTGGAGACGTCCACAACTTAAAAACTTTCAAAATGCTTGATCCTCATATGCTGTATCGAGTATGAAATGATGCTGATATATATACATCTATTTAAAGAAAGGTAAATAGCCAAACACCGTTTTGTTGAAGTAGATGGGACCTCCGTAAATCCGAGATTATCCGAGATTCCACACAACCAGTGAAAAACAACTAAATAATAATACGCAAGGACAACCTTTTACTTCGAGGGGCGGTGGCTGAAGCGTCCGCTCGTCACGCTGAAGACCCGGGTTCGATTCCCCACATGGGTACAGTGTGTGAAGCCCATTTCTGGTGTCCCCAGCTGTGATATTGCTGGAATATTGCTAAAAGCGGCGTAAAACTAAACTCACTCACTCGCTTTTACTTTGGGACAACAGTAGGTTCGACAGAACTGTTTGACGTGTTCAACACCAATCCTGGGTACCGATCCACAAAGCGTTCGTAACGTTGCGACCTGTCGTAACTCAGACTTGTCGTAGAGCTACGAACGCTTTGAGGATCGGACCATGTCTCAGAATGTGTCTAGGTTGTCACATTAGAATGTCAAAGGTATTTATTGAATTTGGTATTTCTATTTTGATTGGTCACAACTGAGTAAGGGTGAATTCTGAAAGCGGAATTCCAGAAATGACCAGCGCTGACCAGGGAACTGAATCAAACCCAAGTTGGACAAGGGATCGCCACGTGAGTGTCGGCTCGCCACCAGATCCCGCTATTGTCACACGGAATCCCGTGAATGGAGCGCAGACCGCCAACATGGCAAAAGATTTGTAGCAGCTAAGCTGTACTAGCAATTTAGCGGTATTTGGTCAATGTTAATTAAACGTCCACAGGAAGCCGCGAGGTACGTCGAACGCTGATGTTTACCCTCGCTCCTAATCCCGAAGCCCAAGGTAAACTTCGTGTTGAGGAGTGGATTGATGGGGGTATCTCTGTTTGGTCACCCGCGTTGTCGGTTTCATCACTTTGTTACATACTGTGGCCCTGTGTTTGAAGAGAATGGCCGTCGCCATTCACCTCCTTACCTCGGCGTCTCATAGGCCCTCACCTTTAATAACATGTATTCCCCGCGTTGTTAACACCATAATGTACCACTCACCTTACAATGTGCAACGTAACATTTATTTTTCTTTCTTCGCGTACTTCGTGTGAGGACAACCGAACCCGTGATTAAAAGATCTAATTGGACTAAACCCTGTGACCCGATACGTCTTCAGCAGGAACAAACAGAAAATCTCTGACAATATTTTTTACAAATATTTAAACATTCGTCTGATATCTCGTTAGGCAATTCTACATGACCCACAGATCAACCGCCTTTTATATACATAAATCATTTCTGTGTATGAAATATGATTTTTATGCTTCGTTAGATTTCCTTGAAAAAATGTAGATATGATTTCATTTATCAAAGTTCTCGACAATATGATGTTTCTATTGATGGCAAGGCATCTGTAACAAGAAGTATCTTATCAGTGATCTTGTATAACGAGCGACTTTTGCTGGGATATCTGTCAGAGCCGTAACAGTGATTGTTGTTAACTATTTCAGTTACAGTGAACAAACCCACAAAACAAGGATGAGTGACGTGGAGTATTGATGGCATCTTGGCGGTTTCATTCATGACTTTGATGGTATCTCAGACTCTTTGCCTCTTTGTCCAGTATGTGTGGAATGTGTTCGTTCACCACACAGCATCCACTGAGGACGGCACCGTGGGAAATCTCGGGCAAGGTGCCTCCTGATTCTTTTACTTTGTTTATGAACTACGAACCAAATTTTTTTCCTGCAAAATTAAAACTATAAATATTTCCTTCTGCCTCCTCGAAAAATTTCCAAAATTTATTGACAACTGAACTGAAATGCTAAGTAAAGCGTTGATTTTTGAAAGACGACGGGCGTTGGATTGACCATTTAAAAAAAAAAGGATTAATGGTTTTGCTCGTTCTTTCAGAGAGAACTATTTCAGGCGAAGAAATAAATTCAGTACCTCCTCCCATTCCTCTCTCCTACTCTTCGGAGGAATGTATTTTATTCATGGGGATATTGATTGTTAT